GCAGTTGGATTAGATTAGGGAAATTTAGCCTAATCAATTTTAAATGGTTACTTTTTTGTCTAACAAAAAAATAGTGATACATTTGTCCATGTAAACTCCACAACTAATATTTCTGCCATTTTTTCAAAAAAAAAATCCATTAAACAATGGAACGGTTACTAGGTGAGAAAATTATCTCATGGAACGAGAATAAGTATATGCATAACCGTCCTATACCAACACGATTGCGAAGTGTAATGGCGAATCCCCAACCCAGGTCTCCATCACTCCAAAGTCCAAACCCCCTTTCATTTCATTTTTTGCAACTCCGGTTATCTCTCGTCGTCTAAAGTGGCAAACAAATTAAAGCAATGCTTTCCACTCCGATCCACTAAAGTTTGAAAAGATTATTTTATAACCTATTGAGTTAAAGTGTTACTTAATTAAACATTTACTACTTAAAACGCTACAAATAGAATAGCCAGGCCAGGAGGCCATTGCAACTGTCATGTGGAGTTAATTACAAAATTGGGCCTATAAAATTGGAGACTACACTCGAAAAACGTCATAATGTGAGTATTTCCGAAGAAAATAAAATTAGCCCTAGGTTCTTGATATCATGTGAGTATATTTTGGGTAAAAGGTACTCCAATAGGAGTCCTGGTTTGTATATTTATAATAAGAAGAGGTCAAGACATACTAGGAAACAAATATGCCTAATAATATTCTATTACATAATTCATATTTTTTGTTAACATGATCTCGAGTTTGTCACATTAATCTCGTGTTTCCAAGGGCGTATTCACAAGCACAAGTAGACTGAATCACTACAAAAAAATGGGATATATTTTGAGGCATAAACTTTAGCATATAGAATAAATGTTTTTTTCAAATTCGGGGTGGACAAGGTTTGGTCAAGCTCCCCTCCCCTAGCTCGGCCTCTGTATATAGTTAAGAGATATGGGATATATTGGTTTTCTAACATGTAGTTCAAGGTATAATTGTTACAAATTTAGAATTATGTGTTTAGCTGCTCTAAAATGAAGTTGGGTGCTATATTTTCTCTCACACGTTAAATTTCAAAGATATATTTGTTCTACTCCCATATAATTAATAAGTAACGTAAATATAAAAAATCAAATTATCTTTTTAATGTGTAGTAAATAGTAATATCGTGTCTTCTTTAAAGTTACAACAATTTGACTTTCACTTTTGTTAATGCACACTTTGACTATAATGATATTTAATTACGCATTAGTAAACATTTAAAAAGTTAATATTTTGAAATTTTACATTAATAAAAATTTAATAACATTTATACGCAATAATTTGATTATACTATCCTGCGTTCCGTTTTAATCGCAACATGTTGAATTTTACACTATTCACATGCTCTACTTTGACTACATTTTACGCTATTATTTTATGAAAATTATTATTTTTAAAAAATATTGTTCAATTCATCTCATTACAAATTTTCAAAATCTGATTTTTAATATTTTTTTACTAATAGAATTAAGATATAATTACGGTTAAAGACGTGTGTTGGCAAATGTGAAATGTTGACCGTTGCAACTAAAAAAGAACGGAGGGAGGAGTATATTATTAGAAAATTGTAGTCAAAATAAGGTACTACCTCTATCCCAAAAAAAATCCACTTACCTTTTTGGGATGTTGTTAGAATCCCACACCGGAATGTCCCACAGGATTAACAGATGTCCCAAAAAATAATTCTCATTTCCCTTTTTGGAAAGGTTTGTGTTGTTACCATTCATTTACTTTTTTCTTACTCAACCACAATCATACATTTTCACTTTATTCCCACCTTCTGAAACTCCGATTCAAGTCAAACTAGGAAGAATTTTTCGGGACGGAGGGGTATATGAATAGTGCTGAAATCCAATGTTACAACTTTTAAAGAAGGAAGGAAGTATTAGTTTACTACTCCGTATTTACTGGTCAATAGAGTTAACTTGTTATCTCTAGTACTTGTGTAATTAACTTTCGTTTATCAATTTTTATTATTGTCGAATTCAATTGTAACATTATTTCGATTGAACCAGTAAATCTCTATTGCAGAATTGTTTGAATGAATTGTGCTACGTATTTTTTATTAGTCATCTCAAAAAGTTATAATTAGACTTTAAGGCCTTGTTTGGTTCAAAGGAGGGGAGGGAAGGGAAGGGGAATGAAATAGGAGGAAAGGTTTAATGAAAATATTTTCGCAATATACTTTTATTTGATAGCCTACTTAGAAAAATAGATACATGTCTAATTACTGTGAATATTACTCCTATGGTCATGAGTCATAATTTTACTTTTTACTTTTTTACTTTTATAATTTTTCATTTTTCGGTTTGGAATTTTTATTTTTTTAGTTAAATTTTTTTATTTTTAATTTTTAAATTTATAATTTTTAATTTTTTTAATTTTTAAAATATTTAATTTGTTAATTTTTAATTTTTTTAATCTTTAAATTTTTTAATTTTTTTAACTTTTCAAAACTTTTTATTTTTTACCTTTTTATATTATAACGTTTTGTTCATTCACGTAGGAGATGGATAGTTTGTGGTTATCAACACGTTTCCTCCGAAATACCCCGATTTGAAGGGTTTAGAATGGGAGGAAGTGGAGGATTTTGAAAGCCTTCCACTTTCCTCCCCCTATTTCCTTCAACCAAACACATAAATCCCTCACTTTCCTTTCCTCCCTTCCGAAACCCTCCAACCAAACAGGGCTAATCAAATAGAAGGAACATTGTTTTGCATCTGGTATTGTTCGACAACCAACTATACCTTCATCACTATTCTTTTCCAACGCCTAAAAAGTCCTATAACCTTATAGGGGTCAAAATATGTGTTCTGGTTATTAATGATCCGAACTTAGAAGTTGTTCTTTTCGTCTGATCTAAATGTTTTTGATGTGAATTTTTTAGGTTCTGATCTGATCTGAATCTTTCTGATTTGATCTGATCTGAATCTTTCTGATCTGATCTGATATGAATCTTTCTGATCTGATCTGATCTTAACTTTCTAAACTGGTATATAATAATAATATCAATAATATTTATAATTATAATAATAATAATAATAATGATAATAATAATGATAATAATCATGATAACGATAATGATAATGATGATGATGATGATAATGATAATGATGATGATGATGATGATGATGATGATGATCGATAATAATAGAATATTTCCAATTTACTATGAATGTTTCTTATCTGATCTAAATCTTTCTGATCTGGTCTGATCTGATCTGATCTGAATCTTTCTGATCTGATCTGAATTTTTCTGATCTAGTCTGATCTGATCTGAATAAAATAAGAATAAGCAATAAGTAATAAGAATACGACGAACAGAACAGCGCCCGCACAGGTAGCTCAATTGGTCGAGTGGTGAGAAAATTGGACCAAGTGACCAAGGTTTGAAATTCGCAGCGGCCGTGTGGAGGTTACAGAACCTGAAATAATGCTGGACCTCTGGTGCGCACGTGTATAAGGCCTACCGCCGCTTTGCTAACTGAATCACAGTGACTAGCCTTTCCACCATCTTATCGGGTCGGGGTCGGGGGCTCCTCGGGTGAGAGATTAACAAAAAATTGGACCAAGAGGAACAAAACAGCTTCTTAGCTTCTAAAGTCCTCTTGGCTAGTCAGCGAGTAACAGCTCAGCAACCGTCCAGACATAAAGATTTTCGAATTTCGATCTTGATTGCATATGTAGATATGTTCACGATTGAATTATGTGTCAAAAATAGTATTTTTCATGATTGAATATGACTAAATTATTATTAATAGTTGAAATATACCACTCCCTACTACGTAGTGCGTACGTAAGAATTAAATGCCGAAAACAGTCAAAAAGAAAAGGGTATATATGCATGTGTGATCACATATTTGATTTGTAGAGTACTGAGCTAAAAACTGTGAATGGCAGAATGGGAATAGGTAATAATCCCTCCTTTCTACTTCACACGAAGGGGGCTCCGGGGCGGATGTACTTGAGGGCAGGGGTGGGCTTCAGCCCAGCCCAATCATTTTATTTTAGTATAGGTATATGTTAAATTAATCAGCCCATCCCAAAATTAATCCCAGTCCATCCCAAATTAATTCCCAGCCCATGAGCCCAACCGGCGAGCACATAATTCCCAGCCTAGCACTTGACTTATTTCCCAGCCCATGAGCGCTGCTTTGAACTGGAGCGTCCATCTACTCTCGATGAAAACCGGAGCGAAGCGCGAATGACGATTGTAGATGGAAGATGACGGTGCGATTTGCGAAGTGCGAAGGGCCTTGACGGAAACCTGCGAGTGAATCAGTCCTTCTTCTCTCGAATCCGGCTGACTGCCTCCCAGCCCTCTGCCTCTAGCCTCGCAGTCCGCCTGACTGCCTCCCAGCCCCTCCCTCGACCAGCCACCAGCCGACCAGGTATTTGCAAATCCTTTTTTAATTTCAATTTCTTTGATTATTAATTGAATTGTTTAATTGTTATTTGTGACTAGGAAGCACGGAAACGCCTATCTCCTTCAAGTTTCCGTCCCGGAAACGTTTCGGAAACGGGAAACTAACGGCCTGTTTGGATTGAGTGTTAGCGGGTGTTAGTAATGGAAGTGTTAGTAAGTGTTAGTAACGGTCCAGAAAGGAAGGTAAGTGTAAGTGTTAAACATAACCTTACCTTGTTTGGGAGAGCTAAAAAATTGAAGTGTTAGTAATGGAAGTGTTTTCACATAAATTGACAAAAATATCCTCAAGTGTTAATATTAACTATAAGTCTATATATAATAATACATTCTCCACCTAAATGCTCAAAAATTGCAATATGATAAAATTAAAATATTCTACATTAAAATATTTTATTCTACAAGTGCTAAAAATATATTTTGTGCAATATGCTAAAATTAAAATATTCTACAGATATATGTACATATCCTACGTAAAGTGTTAAACAACGTGGATGGACACTACACATTAAACTAAACCCTTAACTTGTATAATTTATTTTTCAAAGTCACGACTCTCAATTTCAATTATAAATTACGACCATTCGAAAAATGTGTAATACATGGGACCAAAAAATATGAGCAAAATTAGTTCCAAATCATCAAATAGCAATACAACAGTTCCAGACCAAGCAAAAGTAATATAGTCTCAAAGTGCATAAATTGTTTGAACGTTAAATTAAAAAATATAATGATAAAACGTCAATTCGCTAGCTCATGCCATCATGTCATAAAGAAGACTGCTCTGGCTTTCAACTGGACATCCAAGAAGAGCTCTCAGCATATCGGGCTTCTGAACAAGAAACAGATAGCATGCATTACGATGCTCAGCAGCAATATTTAAATCAACTAATAAATTCCAAACTTCACTTTCTGAGATTGGAAGAGTGGTCGCTTTAACGATTTCAGATGTTGAAGTTGTGATAGCTTGAGCGACATTATCAAGTCCTTCTTTGAGAAGCACAACTTCTCCATCAACTTTAGCCTTCTTCTTCTTGGCTTTTCCCTTTGAGGATGCCTTGTCATGAGATATTGAGTGAGACCGCACAATTTCTTCTTCATTTTGAGTAGGGACCCCTTGAGCTGTATTTCTCTGTCCACTTTGTTGAGATGTAAAAGGGTTTTCCACATTAACATCACTTTCAAGTATTGAATCCAAATCATCAATATTATCCAATGATGTGTAAACTTCGCTCTCTTCATTAAAAGTATTTTTTCTTTTTCTCATTTCAGCTGCAGTTTCCGCATGAATCCCATCAGCTCTATCTTTCGCAAATAGCAAGCATAACTTGTGAAAGTTACGCATTTGCTTATTTTTCCATTCTGCAGCTTCTGGTTTCACCTAAAAAAATATTTTTCACATAAACAACATATCCATACATACGAAACTTAAAAAAAAAATTAATATACCTCAATCAAGCGTTGCCAAACTTCAGGTTCAGCAGTGAACATTTCCGTCGCGGGATTCCAACCAAAGCCACTAGCACCATATTTGAATAAGTCGTAACATGGATACCAAATCCTTTTGATATTCTTCATCCGATTTTGAATCTTATCATTGTCAATCGGTTTATCAGGAAACTTTTCTTTTAGTTCCTTAAGGATATTATCATAAGCGTGTGTAGTGAAAGTTCCACCCACTCTGTTGCCTAGAGTATCTTGATTCAAATATGCATCAATAAGAGCATCATCCATGAGCTTAGACCAAATTAATGAGCTAGTTGATTTACTTGCACTTGAACTGTTGTCATCCAAAGTTTTCCTTCTAGGAGCCATTCTTCACAAATATAAACACACTAATATATTATAATATGAATCAACATAGTTCTTAAATAAAAATTCAAATTAAAATGACAAAATTTATTACACTAGCAGTTAATTCAATGGTTAAAAAAACAAAAAAAAAACAAAAACACATAGTTTGGGACATAATCATTCATGTTTTACATATTGTAATCAGCCCACATTGATGCGGCTATGGAATCTCTAATCGCTTCTCCTATACTGGAGTCCTCACCATCACCACTACAGTGTCGCTCTTCTGATGGATTGGCATTTTCAAGTGCCTCATCAACTCGCGCAATCACATCCTCATCAGGATCAGCATCCATCTTGTAGTTGTGCAAAATAAAACATGCTAAAATAATCGCCTTTTGAGTTTCAACCCCATAGTGAGGGTGTTCACTTGCAATAATAGTCCAAACCATTTTTAGTACACCGAAGGCACGCTCAATCGCATTCCTTAACGCTGCATGTCGAAGATTGAATAGTTCTTGTGCGTTTCGTGGCGCATTGCGGCGGGAGTACTCTTTCAAGTGATAACGTTGTCCTCGATATGGTGTTATAAGACAACGTTTCAACATGAATCCCGCATCAACAAGATAATATTTTCCTAAAACAATATAAATTGATCATATAAATTTTTATATTTCAAATTACTCAAAATACACTTACAAAAAGTTATACTTTATAATTAAATACCTTCCGGGACTTTTAGATGATATTCTCTTGTTAATGCATCTTTGATTATTCTAGAGTCAGATGCCGTACCCTCCCATCCAGCTAACACATATGTGAATTTCAAATCAAATGAACATGCAGCCAAAACATTTACTGTAGGTTTATCTTTTCTACCACGATATCTAGGAGCTTCATTAGGAGACACTTTTACATGAATGTGTGTTCCATCAATAGCCCCAACACAATCCTGACATTGTAAATTTAATTTAGTAGTTTGATTTTGTAGTAGTGCTATATATACTGTTCAAATAAAATAAAAATCACCTTAAAAAAAGGATAGTATCGGGAGTTATTGAATATTTCTTCAGGAACTTCAAATCCATTTGGTTGTATGAGAAATCTGTCTTCCACTTCTAAAATAGCTCTCAAGACGTTATGAAAATGGCGACTATTTGTTTCTTTAGACCGATCAAAAAAGAAACGTAACGCCCGATTGGTCACACCATGTGCCAACACATATAGGGCTTTTGCTACCTGTTCTTCAACGCTAACTCGTATTGTGGGTCGAAGACCACCATATCTAACTAAGATATCACAAAGTCCTACGAATGCTTCTGCGCTCAATCGTACAATACCAGGTCCTGAATCATGAGTTACAACTCTATCGAACAGTATAGTCCTTACCCTTTCTCCCTCCAATGACAATACACGATTCACATTGTTTCGTCTTCGCAATCCAACCCAATACATAACAATGCATATGACTTTCGCTATAGCTAAATGTCGCATTCGAGTCAATTTATACAAATCTTTTAATTCGATCCTTCTACCGGTCATCCTTGATAAAAAAATATAATCATAAAAACACACATGGATTAAAAACATATCAATAAAATAGAAAATACATATACATATAAATAAAATAGAAAATACATATACACATGAATATATATATATATATATATATATATATAACCCAAATGCGGATGAATACCAGATGCATATACTTCGTATGTTAATTACATGATGATGATGATGGAAAATCAATTGATGGTAAGAAACACATGGAACAATATAATGGAACGGTGGGAATAGGATGGACAGATGATGTTGTGACCGGTGGAATCAAGATTTGAGTAAATAAATCAAGAGAAGAAGGGCAGACTTTGTTGGAATCAAGAAAAGATGAAGAAGAACGGAGAAAAAGAGAGCACAAACCTGGAAAACGAGCTGGAAGAAGTTGGAAGATGAGCTGCAAGAGGTGAACCGACTCTCTCTGCTGCGGAAGAAGAATGGACAGAGAACTTGTGTAACGTTGAATTATATTTTTGAAATAAGGGCAAAAGTTGTCCAACACTTCATTACACCCCAAATTGGAGTGTTTAAAAAATGGTAAATATAGGTGTTAGGAAGGTTATGAGTAACACTCTCAAACACTTACTAACACCCTTAAAAAATTAAATTTTTCTCCCAAACAAGTGTTAGACTAAACACTCCTTAACACTTCCATTACTAACACCCCTTAACACCCGATCCAAACAGGCCCTAAGGGAAACGCTGGGGAAACGTTGGGAAAGGCCAGGAAACGTTTCTAGGCTATTGGGCTTTTGGGCCGGGTTGGTAAACGTTTCTGATACGTTTTTTTAATTCATTATATGCGTTTCTTTCTGAATCTGAAGAATACCATTCCTGCTGTGCCGCACTATATCCGCAAACGAACGTCGTCCGCAATCCTTCTGCAATCCTTCTGCACGACTCCCCAGCCCCGCACTCGAAAACGAAGGCTTGAAGAGTTGCGACTCCCCTGTCCCCAGTCGACTGGAACAACAAAGTCAGACAGTCTGCATCGGACTTGAACGATTGAAGAGTTGAAGCTGCCAGCGACGAACCCTTGTGAAAGACACAAAGGCTCTGGTGTTGCTTTGAAGGCTTGAAGAACAGGATATCCCTTGCCGCTTATTTGTGAGGCGGTGAGCTTTAAATTAATTGCTGCCAGAGTATTAAATTGCTGTCACAATAAGTGATTCATCTTTTTAATCTTGAAATATGGGAAGCATTGAAGTTAGTGGGTCTTCTAGTGATGCTGGCAGTGGGTCGGGTTCTTCCATAGGGATTGATAATACACGGTAACATTACTTATACTAGTAAAATTTTAATTTTTAGTTCGACGTTTCCTTTGCCGTACCCGTATCTTGATATTTTGAGTTTAGAGTTTCCGCGTCCCCATTTCCGTCCCCGTTTCCGTTTCCGTTTCCGTCCCGGTGCTACTTAGTGAATTGAAGAGTAGAATTGTGCTGTGATTGTTTTATTAAATGTGTTAATTAAAGAATAGAATTGTGAATTGAAGAGTAAAATTTCAGGGGCGTATCCAGAAAGTCACAATGGGGTGGGGTGGGCTGGGCTGGGCTGGAGAAAAAATCGAAATACACATGCATAATAATAAGTCACGTCGTAAACAATTTAAATATTTATCAAAACATCATTTAAGTTGTGCCCCACACGACTTCAAAGTATAAAAATCATACATAATAGAATCTGCATCTATATTATTGACAAGGGCACAACAATTTAAATATTTATCAAAACAATTTAAATATTTATCAAAACATCATTTAAGTTGTGCCCTACACGACTTCAAAGTATAAAATTCATCAATAATAGAATCTGCATCTATATTATTGACAAGGGCACAACTTTCTATTATTGATGAATTTTATACTTTGAAGTTGTGTAGGGCACAACTTAAATGATGTTTTGATAAATATTTAAATTGTTGACGACGTGACTTATTATTATGTATGTGTATTTCGATTTTTTGTCCAGCCCACTCCATCGTGACTTTCTGGATCCGCCCCTTTTTATCGTGTATATTATTTCCATTAATGATTCAAGTCATGCCGCGTATTAGTCACTATTAGTTATTAACTTTTTTTAAAGAGTTATCAAAGTTAATATTGACTCTGGTTTGGTACCATAAATAGAAATTGCCCGATATAGGATTAAACATAAAAATAATTACACAAATAGGAGTAAAACTTAAAGCTTCCTTCAATAGGAGTAAACATTAATTTTGTACCCTTAATATCTCTAACCTAGTTAATTCCAAAATATGAATTATTTGATCCCATTAAAAAATCTAAGTTCATTATGATACATTTATGCAAGCCATTTAATTTTAAAAATAATCTAAGTTCATCCCAACAGTATTAAAATATTTAATATTAAAAAATTTATTTTGGTAAAAAAAACTTTAAAAATAAATAAAAAATAGATAAACAGTATTAAAAAATATAAAAATATTATACAGGCCTTTCCCGCAGCCTCGGTCATCACCCAGAAATGTCACCTCCGATCGGCGAAAAATGCCATTTTATATAAAAACTGCCATTTGCTTTGAAAATGCCATAAAGATGGCAATTTTACTCTTTGAAAATGCCAAATTTTCTTAAAATCTGCCATCTTGATGGCATTTCGAGAAAATGTTGGCATTTTTTTCGGTGATTGTTGAGGTGGCAGCAGGCGCCTACATATTTTTTTATATATTTTTTTAAATATTTTTATTTTTTATTTTTTTTATTTTTTAGGGAAAACTATCAAATAACCCCCCGTACTATACCGAAAAAGTCGATTAGGCCCTCGTACTTTACAAACACTCAATTAAGTTCTCGAACTATTAAAAAAAGTTCAATTAAGCCTTTTTGGTGGGTAAATAACCGATTTCCCGGTTAAACGACGACGATTTTGACGATGTGCTTGAACCCCACCAACGGCGGCTTCCGGGAAACAGGTTACATTTAACCGGGAAACCGGTTACTTACCGACCGAAAGGGCTTAATTGAACGTTTTTTAATAGTTCGAGGACTTAATTGAGTGTTTGTAAAGTACGAGGGCTTAATCGACTTTTTCGGTATAGTACGAGGGCTTATTTGATAGTTTTTTATTTTATTTAATACGGATTATATTTTATTTGATATTTTTTTTGTGTTTTTTTACAATTTTATTATAAATTAATTAATCTTACAGAGTATTTATTTTATGTTTTAATTATTAATGAAAGGGTTTTGGACTTGGGTAGCAGTATACTTGTCCAAACACTAAAGTTACTACTATTCAAAACATGGTACTCCTATTTTTGCATTTTTCCCATGTTTTACTCCTAATCTCCTATTTGGGAAATTCTCTCTATCATATACCGTCATTTTTGTCAAATCCATGTTTTGCTTTCATGAACGGCCTCGGCATGTGGTCTCAAATTTCAAATAGCGATGACAAGTCATTTTGCTTCCAGAAAATAACAGTAATTAGTCTTTTTAATTATGAGTATACAATTATTATACAATAATGAGAAGGGTATATTCGTCATCACGAAACGACGTGGTGTTTAGGTGTTATTTATTTGTATTTACAACTAAAACAGCAAAAGAATAAATAACAAAATTGAAACATCCTGCACTACACAAACTTCCAACAACTTTAATTTTCTCTACATTTATTTAGTATTTACTGCTATAGATTTTGTCAAGAATGCATTTTGTCTTTTCTCCATGGATCACTTAAACTAGCCAATCCATTTCTGAATCCATTTTTTATTCACAAATGATGTATGAAGTTAGGTATAATGACAAGATATTTGTGACTTTGTTTGAGGAAAATTGAATTGTACTTGCACATTCTTAAGACATTATTTTAGTAATAAAAAATGGCATTTACTTCCAAATATTCTCTTACTCGACACATGTTTGAATTGTATGTGCTTGCAAGAGTCTCTTTGATAAATCTAAGATTGACTGAATTAGTTCAATCTATAAATTTTTTAAGTGAAATTGAAAAACTATAAAAAAGCTCTCATACTATCATGAAAAGATCAATTAAACCTCACTAAAAACACCCAATTAAGCATTCAAACTTCTAGATATCGTGCGATTTACATTTTAACTGATTTTCATTAGGTTAAATGATGATTCGTGAAGTAAATTTCATTTCATTTTTTATCGTGCTAGACTTGCACAAGTATATAGGTGCCGACTTTAATAATAATAATTACAACTAAAATGCTGGGTCTATTAAGGAGAAACATTTATTTCACAAAGTTTGAGATATGAAAACTTAAGTATACAATGATGTAAAATGCATGAATTTTCGTTAAACTTATGAATACATCATAAATATTCGCCTAGAATTTACTACAGTCTAATGCAGGATAACGATGTTGTTATTATATTTCCGACTTTGGTTAAGGCAATGACATCAGGGTGTTGTTTTCACTACCTGTGATTCTCATTATGTCTCACATTCATGTAAAAGAAACCCCGTAGAATATTAAGATATCACTCACACATCGTACAAGATCAGATATGTTTATTCATTTAGAGAATGATTTATATTGTGATATATATTGATCATATAAACCTCTAGATACTATGCACTGTATTTGTATATATTGAGTTCTATTGAGAATAAACATAAAGTCTTCACAGAGTTGTGTACCGTAAAGAGGTGTGTACCGTAAACCTCTTGTTGAGGTAGTATAACAAACCTAAATCATGTCTCGCTAACAAGTTGAGTTAAGACAAATATATCTTCTTCCATTACTAATTTGGAGATGAGATCTTGACAAGAGTTGTAGCCAATGTTGAAACAAAACTAACCCAACTAGAGTTAGCCGATTCGGTCCTGCCAATCAAAAGTCAAGACCTAGTTATAAGTAAAGCCTAATGTGCAAAAATAAATCCTATAGTCATAGTGAAATGTTTCATGATGACACTGGCACTGGGGCACCGATAATGACACCGACGGTGAGTGACAATAACATTCATAATATACTAACACTAAAATAAGAAAATTATGAGTGAAACACAAAGATCATATATCAATTCCATTTGTCCCGTTAAGATCGTTCCATCTTTAATTTTATTTCGGTTAAGATCACAAAGTCCTGCTAAGATTGTCTTATACCAAATAGGTAAATTTTATGTGGTTCTAAGTCATTCTTACTTTAACAATTATCTGTCAATCACATAAATTCACTTTTCTTAATAATCGTACCACTATCACTTGTCTCAATATTAGTGGGACGGGTAGTAATAAATGTGAGTAGGCGGATTTTTCATCTGAAAACTAATCAGCCCTGCTATTTGTACTCATTCTTATACTTAAGACATATTTTGTCCGTGAACAGGATTTACCCACAAAAATGAAGCCTTTCACATTGTTGGTAAGTATAAAAGTGAGTATAAGGATGAGTAGATATACGATTTTTTAAAACTAACAAAAAAAATGATTTTTTAAAACTAATACTCCGGGTACTTCGTTTCTTTGTCCAGCACAATCATCCAACGGCCCAAGAATAGGAAACGGTCCAAGTTCAGCACCGCAACAGCCATTCGGATCGACGAACGCCAACTGCCAAGTCGCCGACTCGCCGGCGCGGACCGCTCTACGCCTCTATCACCTACTCCCGACGCTTGGCCACCCTGCGCCCCTGCCCCTCCTCACTTCATCAGCCTTCTGGTGCGCCGAGCTCACTGCTTCAGGCTTCACGCCTTCACCGGAATCACCGCTTCTGCGCCTCAGCAGTTCAGCCTTCAGGTACTCCTCCGACCTGCCGAGTGGAGACCTCCTTCCTTATTCCCTAAAGGCTTAATTATTTCTCTGTTTTAGAGTGTTAGACTTTTTTCTTTTATTGATTAATTAATATGATTATTTGATTAGTTTATCAATTGATTTCGTCCATAATTGTTTAATTTTTATAAATAAGTAAATGATTTGTTGGTTGTTGATTGTTGATAAATGTTTAGATCATACATTCTTAATTGTTGATTGTTATGTATTGATTGTTGGTGTTTTAATTTGTTGATTTTGTTAGTTAAAATTTCAATAATGATTAAATCTATAAAAGGGGTAACCAGGTAATTACTTATCAATGCAATTAACTAAAGAGTCAGTGAATTTAAAATAAGAATAAGTATATACCAATAACTAATAGCTCAAAACTTAATTGTTATATAATGGTTCCTTAGCGGTTCTGCATACATAATTTATAGGAACCAACATCCAAACCGTTATTAAAAATTAGGAACTGAACCGTTAAATGAATAACTACTTAAATGTTGGAACTGAACTGGGTTATAGCGGTTCAGTTTACCGGTTCTTCATTCCAAAGTCCCACGGTCCCACCCTTAGTTTATAGGGTTGTTCAGTTATGTAATTATGTATTTTAAATTTTTATTAAAATTTGTCTGAACTGTGAAGTATTGAAATTTGATCTTTTCTTTATTTTTTTTGTTACTATGATTCTAATTTATTTAATTCAACGAATTACAAGTCATTTCTTTATTATAATTCATTTGAAATATTATTATTTTTTACATCTTAGTTTAGATAAAAAAGATTTTTCTAATTTTTATAAGATTAGGCCCATTACAGAGTACCCGCCCCTAGGTCCTGAAACACTCACGACTGACCCTGCTACTTTCTTCTAAATTGGAAATTCCATTTTAGCAACATTTGTTGACCGATCTACGACAAAACACCATAGCGACGTAGCTATAAATATGAGTTGATTTCCGGATCTGTAAGTCTATGTGTGCAAATATATCTATAATATTATTATAATTTTTTAAGTCATGTTTCTGATATGATTTTCACCACAGGCTTTAGATCATCTATGAAGATAATAGATCCTTTTTTTTACTATCCTTGTAATAGTAATGTTAGTACATGAATTAAGATTCTTAAACCTCTTGTTGAATCACTTTTTACTTGCATCCCTTTTGTTACTTGTTAGGCAGTTAAGATTGTATTAACAAGTTTACTTTCTCAGCGCGTTCTTCCTACCTATCACAAGACTCCTCTGTATGGATGTCCACTCATTCTCTATCCATACAAACATCTCTAGTTTTTCTCTGACGGGAGAACTCAGTACTCCATTCAATTTACTAAATTATCACCAATCACCTTGCTTCTTTGCTGCGCAAGCTTATCTGTACATGTATTACATACATGATACTCTTCTCCCAATCTGCCATGCACAATACTCGGTGTGAGTTTGGTCACGGACTCACGCCAGTCGAAGCATTCAGACACCTCCAAAGTCATCGATCAGCTTTTCATTATTTTGGGCAGTATACAGACATGAGGTTGTAACCCATGAGCATGGAGTCCTTTTATATCTCTTTCTTTTCATTTTGATGAATGCTTCCAAGTTCCAAGTATTGAGACGGGATTTTTCTCAAGTAAAATGAATGTTAACATTGTTCAACAGTTATCTATGTTCTTTTGTTGTTAGTGGTGAATATGGAAAAAAGGGGACCAGGTACTTCTTCCTTTCTGTCTTCCATGTTAAGGCCTTTAATCAGTCTCTTTTCTGGAACTCTATTTTGCTTGTCGGCATTGGGCACCCTAGCTAGTGCTAAATCTTTCTAGGTGTTGTTCAGACTTCAATAATGTGAAGAACTTAGTTTCTATGTGTATCAGAATTTTTTATTTGTAATGTTTCTGCAGTTTACTTGCATAGTATGTACTATTTACATCAGAAGTTTCTTTTCAAAAACTGCATTATTTTCTTAATTTTTTGTAAGAACAAACACGTGTAATTAATCCATGCTGTAAAAACAATGAATTACAGAAACTTGTTGTACTTCTAGTGACGTTTTTTGTGGTTTCATTTGCCAATATTTGATTATGATATACACAAAACAAAATTTAATATCATATACTCCGCATGATTGTTGGGATCAAGGCTGAGTTGTTGCCGTGTATGAAGGCATGTGATTAGCTAAATGATTATCTTTTCTCTCGTATGTTCGTTTTTTGTTCAGACTCTCTTGTCCCATCACTCATGAAAAAGGTTATTTGAGTCATCAAGGAGAATATGCTGAAGCTTGTGTCTCATGAGTTGTATACACGTGCAAGGAACACAATTAGGTCTTTTTTGAATGCACAAATAAGCGCTTCTGTTCACAGTGGTCAGGTATGGTATTTTTCCTTAGGCTTTGACATTCACAATTTTTGTAGTTTCCACGCGTGAATCTTGATGTATATATTTTCAGTGAATTAAAGGAACATAACATTATTATTAGCTGGAGCTATAAATTGAGGCCTGAGTGCCTGACCATTGGGGAACTGGTTAATTAGATCAAATATGACTTGACTAATGCCTAGGATGAAAGGAAAAATCAGTTTGTACACGTTTTTGTACATTTTTTTTGTACACGCTGCCTATTTTGTTTGTTTACAACACTTTACACACAATTCGTCTAAAAAGGCAGTATTGTCTGTGTACACGGACAACTCGAACGTGTACACCCAAAACGTGTACACCAGGAACGACTCAGGGACAAAAGAGTGACACGTAGGGGTTCTAGGCTAAGAAGCACAGAAGCCTTCCATGGCTCACAGATTCTAGGCTAGATAATAGATGTAGGAATACCACGACACTTTTCAGAAGTGATAAATATAGCAACTAGGCATTAATGTAGGTTTAATACATAACTACCCGGACTACCTACGTGGGAGATTGTAGGACTAAGGCAGTTTTGACTTGTGCTTCAATAAGTTGTAGCTGATTGCGTCCTTTTATTGTAGTGTAATAACAGTGTAGGCTCTCTTCATCTCAAAGCTTAAAAAAGAGTTTAAGTAAGCATAGTAGCGCTGTTGTGACGTTTGCCAAACATATTGTTTTTTGCTATATATATGTTCAGACCCTCTCCAAAATCTTTTGGGATTAAGGCTTGGATGTTGTTGTTGTTGTATGTTCAGACCCGTTGCTCGCCTAGAAGCTTTTTCGGTGTGGAGGATTTTGTAGATGATGACAATAGCCGGCCATACACGTACCAGAAGGGAAAAAAGTCAAAGAACCCAGGCAAGCATATTTCTTTCAAACAAAGGACAGGTGCTTTCATGGAACCATTCACGCTTGATGTCTTCATCTCAAAGCGCTTTGTTTCGGCCTCAATCACACACAGAGTCACTTGCAAGCAGGTCGCGGTCGCAGGTACAAATTCAAAGGATATAAAAGCAATGCTGAAATCAAGGAGTGACATACCCGCGTGTTTGTCCGTTGGACGGATTTTGGCTGACAGGGCAAGAGAAGCTGATGTGTATACCACTGCTTACACTCCCCGTGATAGTGACAAATTTGAAGGTAAAATCAGGGCTGTCGTTCAGTCCCTCATTGATAGTGGCATTGATGTCAAAGTGTACCTCGACTGACCAGATGAAACATTTTGCCTCTAATTTCATTCTAATACTGTTTTTAATGTTCAGAAGAATACATTAATTTGGTGATTGTCATTGTGTTTTACTGTCTTTAGACTTTAGAGAGCTTTTAGCTGAGTGAATATCTAAGCAGAAAAAAAAACTACACACATCGATATAACCGTTTTGAGTTTTGACAGTATCATTTGAGCCACTGCCAGGCTGCCTCCTATCCCACCTTTTTTTTTTGGATAAACCTGTAACTATATATATCATCCCAAAAATTAACATGCACACATGTGTCCAAAACTATAAAGCAACCCACCCAGAGGGGTCACCATCTAATCTAGCAAGTCATAAATCTCACTAAAGGGTTTGGCCCTAAACATCAAGTCAAGAATCAACGTGTGCTGCAAGGTGCACACACTAAAGTAACAAAAAAAAACATACATTAGGCGCATCTAGGGGTGGACCCGGGCCGGGTTGGTTCCGGGCCGGTCCTGGGCCCGGGCGAGCTTTTTTTTGGGAAAGGGTGAACCGGAACCGGCCCGGGTAGTCGGCGGTTCTGGGCTGGGTCAGGCTGGTCCGATTCAATTTTTTTTTTTTTGCTTTTCTAATTAACCCCTGACCCTCACCCCCCCCCTTCAGCCCCCACACCCCAACCCCCCCCCCCCCCAAAAAAAAAACACCCAGCCCTACCAGGGAAAACCAAAAAACATTGAAAAAACAAAAAAAAAGGCTCGGACCGGGCCAGGTCTGGCCGGGCTGGTTCACTAAATTAAGGGCCTGTATCCGGCCCGGCATAATCCCCCAACCGGACCTAGGCCTGGAACCGGTTACCCTAGACCGGGTCGGGCCGGGCCCGCACAGTAGCGGGTCGAGCCGGTTCACGAGCTGGGCAGCCCGGGCCCGATCCATCCCTAGGTGCATCTAAACAAAAACATGATACCACAAGTATCAAAACTTAATCAACTCGTAAGGATAAATGTTGTAAAGGATCTTGTAGACCATGTGTTTGATCTTGGCCACAACATTTTCCTCGGTCTTCATAATATCATCAAAGCAGCAAGCTTTCCTTGCATACCATGTCCAGTAAATAGTAGCATAAAAAGCCAAACAGACCGTCTTTGATTTGATGAGCGCACCTCTATAGTCCCTCCTAATCCACTTGATAGCTTTTGCCAACATGTCCACTTGATAGCTTTTGCCAACATGGTCATCTCTATATGGACACCAATCCAATCCTTCATCTTCGTCCAGATCCTGCAAACAAACGGACAAACAAAGAAAAGGTGTGATTTTGTTTCCAACCCACCCTTGCAAAGGTCACACCGGTTAACCATGTTTAGATAAGCCAGGTTATCTTGTGTTGGTAACCAGTTTCGGAAAACAAGCCAAACGATAAAAGAAAATTTAGGGGGAATGTACCCCTTTCGATTGAATGGCATCCGTGGTCTATCCGATCCCTTTGTGCGCAATAAATCACAGACCTTTGCCGAAATAAGTTTGTCGTTGACGCGCATGTTATTCAAGGCCATACTAGCCTCATTTGTATTGTGGAAATGTTTGCAAATCTTATCACGGATAAGGCAAAGCTTCTTCAAAAGTTGCGAGTCACGATTGTGTGGGGGGAAATCCCACACGTTTCTCCACTTGAGATAAACGTCATTCACCCAACGGATCCAAAGAGTGTCTTTCTTCTTATGTATGTTCCAAAGAGTGCGCAAGAAGAGTTTCATTCCAAACATTAGCATTATGAATGCCAATGCCACCTTCTGCCTTTAGGAGGCAAATGTCATCCCATGACACTTTAGAGTACTCCCCCCCCCCCCCCCCCCCCCCCCCCCAAGAAAAATTCTGCAAATAGATACAATCCTATCCAAGATAGATTGGGGAACCAGAAAGACTTCAAACCAAAAGGATTGAACCCCTTTCACAACCGATCATTCATATCTTTCTGAAGTTCACTTTTCCTTGAAACAAAGAGTTCGAGTTCTTTACTTAGCAGCTGCTTCAACCTTACACTAACAGCAACCTACTGCTCGCCCTACTGCTAAGTTGTCATCTTTTGTGAGAACTGTTGTTACCTCCATCATTCCACAAATGTTTAAGGAATGATGGATAATTGATACCCATATCCTATAATTTAGAAGAGATTGAACTCAAGAATGAAAAAGAAGATAAAATGTATTGAATGTATGAATAATGAATTGAGACTTAGGGTTTACAAGTTCCAAAAGGAGTATATATAGAGAAATTCGGGTTTGGGCCTCTAATATGGGCCTGACAGACCCAGTTACATAAAAGGACTGATAACATAAAAAGCTAATCTACAACACCCGAATAATAATAATGTACAATAATATAAATGCTATCTACTGAGCGTACGTGGGCCGTTGTGCGGGCCCAACAGCCGGCAGGTCGGGGGGTCGGGGTCCATATACTCCATCAGTCCCCCACTCCCTGAGTCGAGAGTACATGAGGTGAAAGGGAGTAGTCCATAATCGTATCTGCAACGTTCTTGTGTCTTTGATTTCTTCCTCTTCGGTCGTGGGGACCACCACCCTTGTCCATGATGGGGAGGTGCCTCATTAAAAACCTTTACTATGAAAAAACCGTGGGAAAAATCCTAATAAAGGGAAAAAGAGTACACCTAGCACCCCCAACATGAAACAAGGAAGGTAAGTTTCCTCCGGCATAATCAATTCTGTCTACCTCAGCTCCTCTTCATCCGACTCAGCTTTTGTTCCTCCTCATGCGTGATATTTTCTGCTCATCTAGAAACTCTGACCCCTCAGTCCCCCAGTCCCCCACTCCTTGAGGCGAGTGGAGAAGAGGTGAAAATGAGTAAAGTTGTCTTCGTACCTACACATTTAACATGCATATAAATTTTTTTCTTGGGGTTCATGTTTCCGATTGGGAGTTCGTCACTTGAAAAAAGTGGAAATGTGAATTGATAATGTAATGATAAAATACTTAGTAGAGTGGATGTGTGAGCCATTCGTACGCAACGCTCGCCACTTTTGGAATGACTTAGACCGGTCTTCATGTCCGACTTGGTCGGGGCTTTGTGCCTGAGCTGGGTCAGGGCTTTGTGCCTGATCTGGGTTAGGGCTTTGTGCCTGATCTGGGTCAGGGCTTTAAATCCTAGTGATGGGTCTCAAGTCATAGTCTACTAGGCATTTGATCATAATTGTGTGATAGTTTGACATTCGCCCGATAAAAAGAAATGATTTAAATAAATATAAATAATATGAAAATTAAAGAGTACTTATCTTTTGATGGGCTGAAATATATTGGATTGACTGAAAAGATTGGGCCTATTCATTGGGTGGCTCCCCTTCACGGCCCAAGTGCTCTGCCAATTGAGTTTGACCTACCATGTGGCTATCTGGACTCCTGCGGTTGATGTCTCTGGGAGAATATTTCCTCCGAAACTAGACAGTAGAGTGACCCGATAAATCCTCTGTCTTGAAGCCTGGTGGCAAAATGCTTCTGGCGGCCCTGAGGGGCGGCTAGACCACAAACCTAGAGTTTCAAGGCTGCCGACAGGAAAGGACTCAGCTAGGCTTGAACCGTTGTTGACCCGCGGTGGTGACTGAAGAGTAGGTGGCGCGACCGGGAGTGAAGATGGAGACGCCGTGAGAAAGCAGGTGGATCCCGCACCAGAAGTTGGTACCTCGCCGTTGGCCGCTAGTTTGGTGTGTCTCGGTTTCTAGCCTAACAGAGGACCTCAACAGTGGTGTCGCCGGTTTCTTCCCACGAGCTTCAAAGCACCATTAATGGCGGAAACAGCGGAGTCTCCGATTGGCTAGATCTCTTAGGCCTCCTTGACGAACAGATATAGTGAGAAGAGGCTAGGGGCTTTGAGCGACTAGTTCCGGTGTTGTGACTGCTGCGGTTGACCTCTTTAGAACGGTTTGGATTCTTTCAATAAACGACTGACGGTCTCTGCTCCAAGTCGATCCTCGGCCATACCGACTAGAAAGTCATTCTTTCTGCTTTGAGCGACTGATGGATTCTTTCAAAGGCTAGGGGCTTTGAGCGACTAGAAAGTCATTCTTTCTATAAGCGACTGATGGTCTCTGCTCCAAGTCGATCCTCGGCCATACCTTCATTATCTGCTTCAAGATTACCTTGGCCTTGGTCGCCTAAATTCTCAGTTATGGACAAGATTCTGCCCCAAACAACAATTCAGTTTCAAGACGCTCATGATATTGATGACTTACTCACATTCATGTGATTTGTCATGTTTTCGCTGCGATCAGTGCCGAATGTGTTTGGTTCAGGGGTGTTCATATGAACACCCAAAAATTTGAAAATTCAATACAAAAATACATGTTAAGAATTTATGCATGTAACTTTTGTGTAATATTTTAATAGTAAAATATTTTTGAACACCCAAAATTTAGTAGCAAGATCCACCACTGGCTGCGATACGCCTATACAATAGAGTATTGACCGGTTGCTTTCATTGTTAATCGAGTAAAATTAAAAAATTGATAAAACTTGAATGATCATTGAAATGCAACAATTCTTCTGAAAAAATTGAACACAAATTAATGTTAAATAATGATATAATGGTTGGTTTACGCTTAACCTCTTTAACTCACTTTAGACCCAATTTTTTGGAAGGAAATTACTCATTTTCTGGAAGGTAATTTTGTATATAGTAAGATTCTCAACTTCTATTGATATTTATTAATTTTATTATTATCAAATTGACATCACGGGGCATGTCCCGGGTGTTACACTAGTTTTGATGTTATATTTCAATAGGAAACTGCTATTCTATAGGCATCTTTGGGAAATTGATTCGAGTCTAAGATTGCCTTGGTTGTTGCACTTCAAAATATCGTCCTCAGTTTATAAATTCAGAGCAACCTAAATTTGAATAATGTTGAGATTTGAATCGATTTCCTGATTTTCCTCCAACCTCTCAATTTGGTTAATAATCTTCTCAAAGCAAACATGAAAAATTTAACAGCTCTATTAACTATTTGAAAATTTCTATGTTTATGGAAATAAGGATATTAGTTACATCCACACTTCATAGAAGGAAAAATAGATTAACTATATATTCTACTTCTAAAACCTATCTTTATTTGCCTGGAATGGTATTCCTTAAGTATCTTCAGAAAATGCATAAATGCATAGCAGTTGACATTATACCGTGTGGTAATACGGTAATACCTAACGATGATGTCCCTTAAAAAGTGATGGGTCACATGCAGCTATTGTGGTGAGATATGTCAAATGTGGCCTTTCCACATGACTATGGATGGACTGGGACAGGTAGGCCCAACCCAGGCCCAACATTGTTTAGGCCCAACCCGACCCGTTACTGTGTAGTCCCGGCCCGGGGTCCGGACCGGTGGCTATTAGGGCAGGCTTCAGGCTAGATTTTTTTTGTCCCAGCCTGGGCCCGATCACACTACTGTTTTAATTTATTGCTTAGTCCCGTCCTAAAGCCCGACCCGACCTGGTACTGTTTAGGCCCGGCCCGGTCCCGGTACAAACCCGAGCCGATACCAGGCCTGAAATCCTTAAGCCCGCGCCTGCGCAGTCCCATCCCGAAGCCCGGCCCGATCCCGTCCCAATCGATCCCTACACATGACCGTGTGTTGTCAACTTCCTTTTGATGGATGCAGCACGTTGCTGCAAGTTCTCCTATAACACACAATAAAATCACATTGGAAGAATCAAAGTTGTATCACATTTTCATATACCTCGATGCCTTCCATGACAATATCCACGTCTTCCACACATTGGCTATTTACTAGCGAAGCATGACACTATTTACCTGTTTTACTTTCATTCTTGTATGAATTGTGGAAGTCTAGATACATACACTTAGGAGATGTTACTCTTTTACTTACAATTGCTGATCTCTGTCATACTCTCAGGGAATGCAAGCGATGTGCTGACCACCTAGCATATATGGCTCATTGTCCCCCAAAGGCATCACGATCCTTGATGCAGCCCCGTCCAAGTTATCCCATGTTCTCTGGGAAGATAGGAACAGCGGCCAAGAAATCATTCGACTCCGACTTTTTGATTGTTTTTTCTCTTTTCTGTTGTACCCAAAAAAGAACTAGTAGAAATATACCAACACCCCCAAAAACACACTTATCTACTCAGCAGACTGTTTCAAGACAGATTTGAAATAACAGTGTCTTCATTTGTGCGGTTATATGTTTCCTCCAGCTCTGTGAAAAGACGAGGTAAACGCTATATTGAAATATTTCCTCACAATCATGCAAATAAATTATAAATCCTTCCTAATTTTGTGCACCCTCTTCAGCGTCCTGCAAAAGAACTCCTCTGACTTTGGCTCTGCCACAAGAATGTATAATCAACAAACAGTAAGTGTCTATAAACCACGATAAAGGTTGTTCAAACCAACAATAAATCAATAATAACCTGCGATGAGTCGGCACAACACGTTTAATGACTTTAGTAAAAGTCTGTTGTCCTCTTTTACTATCTGCATTTTCAGAACAAAATAAAATAATGAGCATAAGGAACGGTTCTCTTGTCAATTTGCCCAGAGAAAACATCAGAGAATAGTCTAGGACATGCAACCGAAAGCGATTGTCATCCTCCTATATCAAACTAGAAAGAAATCAGGAAGTCCAAATTCAACAGAGCTATTTGTCGTAAATCTAAGTTCGTCACACTTGAAAACTGTCTGCCAACAGACAACCTAAACACGCAACTCAAACTATACAGGAAATCTCAGAAAAACAAAAGGCGCCACTGTATGAGGACTATATCACAGTCTAGAGATTTCCCTTGGGTCTAATTTTGTCTTTTCATTTTCTTTTCTGTGTTTTTTGCTTTTTTTTCTTTCTTATTTCCACTTCACGCATTGTACTATTTACTTTTATCAATAAAATCACTTTTCTTTCAAAAAAATGAACAAAAGTGGCAACAAAAAACACAACGGAATCATTCTGGGTTCTCTGTGGCAATGAAACAACATAACCAGTTCAAAACTTGAACCAGGCTGGATAATCGTTTTTTAACTTGATTTTTTCTTTAATTAGAAAAATAAAATCCATTTAGGGGTGGAGGGAGTATATATTATTATTATAATATTTTATTTTTTAGAGCAAAGATTATATAGCAATTTGAGTTTAAGATAGCATATATTCGTAAATTCTCAATTGATTCAATACAGATGGATAAATATGAAATAACAATAAGATAATGTTAATATTGTTGTTGTCACTACTATTATAATACATTTAAAATACTAATAAAACCCGTTGATTCTGGTTCAAACTGAAAAAATGTGGGTTTTAGATGGAGAAGCCTGGAATCTAAAGTTGTAATATTTCATACCAGAAAAATGATATAGATATTAATATATTATTCCAGTTCGGTTCGAGTTTTTCCAGTGTGTATACACCCTGACAAATTAGAAGTCCACACTTCACAATTGAATCAATTGATACCTGGAGAATCATGCGAGCCCATGATAGATGCAGCATCTGATAATGATTTGTCGGGTGCCTTATTCAACTTCTGCCTTTTTAAGTACATAAATTCACCCAGTTGCTTCTGGAGAGACTCATTCTTTTCCTGCCAAGCAAATAATTTGATTACTCTAAAGAGAATACATTGATTATGATGAGACAATATGATTAATTTTGAACATTATATATTTGCTCAAAAGGTTTGTGCTACATGGCATAAGTGAAGGTTAGCATCATAAGTGTTGATGTCACACTACCTTCTCTACTGATAATGCTTTATTCAAGTCACAACACCGTTCTTGCTCTGAAAAATAATCACCGAGAAAAGTAAATTAATTCTTCAGTGAAACATATTCCTGGGGCATGAAGATTTTAAGCAGGACACATGCAACAACAAACAACAACATCCAAGCCTTAGTCCCAAAAGAGTTTGGGGTGATATAAGGGATGCAAGAGGACTTCCTAAGGAGTTACCCATCCTAGTACTACCCTCACTCGAGCACACATAACTTTGGAGTTTTGATGGGATTCGGTGCACCTGTACTGGTATGATCTTACAATGAGTGCAAAAAATAAATGATTGCTAGGCCATGAGGAAAAAATCTTACATGCTTTAGAAAAGTAAACATCAAGTTTAAAATTCCAATTACCAAAACACATTAGCTCACAAATCATTTAAAGAAATAATGAGACATGACTGTTCACCAATTTCATCACTAGCATGTAGAAAATTGTTACTCAATAAGTCAAGAATAGAGCATCACCACTTATGAGTACATTCTGCACACTCTTGAATGATTTATAAAGTTCTAAGGAAAGATTAGCCATAGCCTCACTTGCAGCAGCACCAACCAGTTTACTGAGTGATATACTGATTCGGGGCATTCCCTTTGCTTTCTGAGCAATTAATTTTGCACCAACAGCATCTTTTCAGGAAAAAAGGAATGAAATTTAGTACTCACTATAGCAGTATAGCATTATTATGCAATTCAAAGAACTATAGCTGATCTGTAGTCTCTTAAACTGAAATTTCAATCAGAACTAAGCCCCTAACTTGCCACTTTGTCTACATTTAAGTCGGAATTTTTTCAATTAGATAAGGGAGAATTGCAAGGTATAAATTACCTAAGGAGTTTCCATCCAGAACAAGCTTTACATCCTCAGATTCTAACGAGGCTAGAACATAATCTACTAAATCAGACAATGAGCCTCCTATGCCTGTAATGTCCCTCTGTAAACACAATTTATAACTATAATAGTAAAAGCACTAACAAAATGAGAACCTAATTAATTAACTCATTAAAAGGAACAGACAGAGAAATGAGGGTCGAGGAGGAACCATGTCTTCGAGGTCTTGCTCGGTCTTGAGAGCTTCCCATGTGCTGGAATGGAGGTCAGTGACGTGAAACCGGAGTGCGCGCGGGTCACTTGGCAAGGCATGGACATGGAAGAGGAATGACCGCAGAGGCGTTGTCGGGGGAGCTAATCCCTCTGCCTCGAGCTGCCCAAATATCGACTTCATTAATGGGAAACCTATCACCGTTTTCTTGTTTTTTGAATTCTTCTGTCCGCTTTCTTCTCACTCGAAGAATATACGTAGTACTACGTATGAGAAAAGAGACATGAGCCAGAGCTTTACCTCAAAGCTACTAAAGAAAATAAACCCGAGAACTGTTGGAGAAATCCGGAAGACTGGGAATATCCGGGGCATCTATGAAAATATGGAATAAATAGGGTGAGTAACGATATAAATGGTCAAACTTGAAAGACAAAATAAGTAAATTATAAAAAAAATCATTACAATGAACGCTTCAATAATATTTGACTTATATTTAATATTTATATGCTACAGCCTAATCTGTATAACAAATTCATATCTATTAATACTAGTATGGTACATGTGGATGTGAGACAATTCTTTCTAGGATAATTGTGTTTCCTTGCATATTTTCTAATCAATGTAATTTTCACAATACATAAATTCAAAAAAATAAAAAAAATAAAATGTAAAATGTAAATGAAATGTAAGCTTATATACAACACTTTTAAATAATGACATGAAAAGAGCAATATACTATTAGTCATGAGTCATGATCGATTAGTTTTTGTGAGAATATTAGACAACAAATACCTAGCAAATAATACAACACGAAAATTATGCACATTTATCAGTTATAATAATATTTTTTCAATAAAATACACATCTCCGATGAAATATCAAATATTAATCCCAAACAAAGCATAAAAAGATGAACTAATGTATCATCATAATGGAGTAGCTCAATACATTTATCAAAACCAATAGAATAGCTCAAACTTGTGGCTCAGCCTTCCTTAATAACACTATATACGGAATTACGTAGGGAGTATACTTTACATGCTAAAAAACCAGCGACCTCAATCTCAACTCTCAAGGCACGGTTTTAAGGTTTTAATCTTTACTCTTTTATTCAAGGCTGCAAAAAATGATCAAGATGTATATCACACAAACCTCAATCATAATGCCCTCTGCGATTTATTAATGTGTTTTCACCTTGTCTGCCTGTTTTTGTTAACATCTTTGCTAATTGCACTTATATTCAAGGTTGCAAATAAGACAATGAGGGTGTTTGGTTATGAGTTTATCCAACATTTTTTGGCTGTTTTGATCATTATTTGGCTTTATGATCAGATTAAGCGGCTAATGGGGTATTTGGTTAATTGACTTTTTCATTTGACTTCTTATCCTAAAACGCTAAAATTTAAAACGCTAATAAACCTAATGTTTAGGTGTGGCGATTTGAATAATTAGCCGGCATCTATGTTGTATCCACGTTAGTTGCCTTCTCATCTTCTTCCTCCTAGTCACTAGCAAGCCTTCACCTTCACTTTACTTGACATTAGTTCTTCCTCCCAGAGTCCCAGGAATACCTTTATACCTCTCTTCTTAACATTAAGATCATCAAACTCCACGTAGGCCTGAATTATATGATCATAGACTAGCAGTTCTGATAAGATTTTATAGGTTTATAAATATTCAAAAACATAGATTTTTTATATAGCTTATGAAGACCGGTTCCTAACATTAACCATAAAAATAAATTGATGTCCTCAAAAGTCATTTAACAAATTTTCAACCGATTGTAAAGAGTCATTTAATCAAACACCATTTTACAAACAGCTAATACTATCCGCTAATCAAAACAGTCAACAGAATCCGCTATTATCAATCAGACAACAAAATCAGCCAACGGCTAATAACTAACAGTCATTTGCCAAACACCCCCAATTAGAATCTCTAATCGAGCCATCTACGTAATTCAGCTTGATTTAAAAGTAAAGAATGTTACAATCATTGATATGTCAAAAATCGGACACGTTTACTTCAAAGGTTACTAAACAATGTTTATTAAGACTTGCGTTAATAAACGGCACATAAAATAAGCATTGCTATAAACTTATGTTTACTTCACAAGATTTAAAACACTGTTTAACAATAAAATATCCAAAATAACCATATACATATATAAACACAAACCATTCATGTACACAAGTATACATGGTATAATATAATACGTGAGGGTCACCTCGTACGCGTATCCATACCCCCTACCCCACCCTCCTACTCGACACTTACTAAATTTGGTAAATTATGTGTGGTTCTAAATAATTTTTACTTTATTCTTACTATATCAATTCAATTTCAATCACATAAATTCACTTTCGTTAATAATCGTGTCATCTCTTCATGTCCCAATGTTTATGGGACGAGAGTAGATTATATATAATAGGTTAGAACCGCGAAAAAACCTTTTGAGCTTTCAATTATTTTTTTGTATTACCTCCGCGGCTCCACACAATCTTTTATCTAAATATCCAATATATGGACTAGAGTTATCATAATGCATAATGCATATAAGGTTGTTTTTACTTGGACGGTAATTCATCCCAGACCAGACCAGACTAAAACAAACCAGACCAGACCATATTTTATTATTATTATTATTATTATTATTAGGGGTTTGCACCGGTTCAAAACCGGACCAGACCGTACCGGACCAGATATCATTTCGGTTCGATCCGGTTCCGGTTCGGTCCGGTTTTCCGATTTAAACCGGACAGTGCACGCCCCTAATTATTATTATTATTATTACTATTATTAATATTGTTGTTGTTGTTGTTGTTATTATTATAATTATTGTTATTATTATTGTTATTATAGTTATTATTATTATTATTATTATTCTGGTTCGATATGGTCTGTTCTGTTTTGGTCTGGTCTGATCTGCTTCGGTCTGGGATTGAAATCAGACCAAGTAAAATGATAACAAATTTTGATAATTTGGAAGGGATATTATTATTTTTAATTATAAATGAATAAAATATAATTATTTATGGATTATAAAATATATATAAAAAATAAAATCTTTATGCAAAAGATATAAAAAATAAAACTTCAAACCAGACCAGAACAGACCAGACCAGCAAATTACGATCTAAGTAAAAACATCCTTATACTCCGTATACGACTAGACTAGAAGTGCGTGCATCATTTATAAGCACATTGCATAAGCATAACATAATGTTTTTGCATATACATTTTCAGAAACAAAACAAGATTTGACTCAAATTCGCATTACAAATGTCTCCCTCTCTGGACACATTTTATGGTTTGCCATTTTTATTTGTCATCTTTCCTATCAAAGTCACTTTTCAAATAAGTAAATAAATACACCAATAGTGAAGCGGTCCGTTTTAAGAGCTCTAGGTTACGTTGGTCCCAACGTCTGTTTTCGTTGGGTTATGTTTGGCTGGGGGCGTTTCGGGTGGAGGCGAGCTACGGAGGGGATCCGAAGTGAATTGATCACTTCCCCTTATTTGTATAAATTTGAGTGTTTTTTTTAAAGCCTAGTCCTCTCCTCTCTCCTCTCCTCCTTTCTTTTTGAATAGCTTAAATGCTTTTTACCCTCCTAAACTTGGATCAGGAGCCTCTATCTTGCTTTAGGACAAGCAACAGTGTTCAACTTTTGGAAATCTTCCCATAAAAAATTTCAACACTAAGAAATTTCGAAGTCCACATCTCGAGGTTTCATTTATTCCATCATACGACACTCTACCCAATGGCGGACCCACTAAGGGTCCCATAGGGTCCCGGGACCCCATGCACTTTCAAAATATACCTATATATATTAGGTATATTTTATACTCCCGTAGTATAAAATTAAATAATATCTGTACATTTAAGTCAAAAACAACAAATGATTGAAAGAAAGAAGCAGTGAAATGGCACCATGGAAAGATTTAAGGCTCATCTTGTGGCCGGGGAGATACTGAGTTCGAATCCCCCTTGGTTGCGCCCCCATTTTAATTTTTTTAAATTTAGTATTCTAAAAGATCAAAATTTAGTGTATAAAATCCGTGAATACTATTTTTGACTGCATTTCATCATCGTCAATAAAATACACTCTTCATATTTTTATATAAATCGGTTTAATAAAATATTACTCTAATTAAATAATTATAATTAATGTTTGGGGTAATTTGAGTTTGCACCCCATATTGTTGTTCAAAATGGACTTTGTACCCCATTTTTTAAAATTTTTGTTTTTGCACTCATACCCCATATGAAAAGACAAAAATGCTCTCCGTTAGAAATATGTTGAAATGTTACGTTTCTTTGATATTGTACTTCACTTTTTATTAATGATATATTAATTGGAATTATGTTAAGATAGGGATCCCATGACTCTATTTTTCAGGATCCGCCGCTGCCTCTACCTGCAAAGCGGCACATGACGGGAATCTCAATCCCATAGCATCTTTGTATGTAAAATTTTAATGTCTTGTTTTTGTTTTTGCTTTTTGATATTGTAACATACTCTATTCTCATTTATTCTCACTATGCAGCAACATTTATTGCAATAGTATATATAGAGCGCATGTTTAACTTACTTTTTATCATGTTTTAACATTGTCCTTTAAAACTTTGCAATTTTTGAATTTATTGATTAATCATGTTCAACTTTGGTCAATTATATATTTTTGTAGGGATTTATTTATAATATAAAAATGTTATGGAAATGTTCTTTTGTTAAAGGACTTTTATAAAAATATACTTCCTCTGTTTTTTAGTTACAACTAGGGATGTTAACGAACCGAGCTTTTATCGAACTATTCGAGTTCAAGCTCGGTTTCGAACCTAATGAGCCGAGCTTAATGAACTCTCGAACTCGAGCTGAGTTTTAAGTTCGAAAACTTAATCGAGCCGAGCTCGAACATAGTAATATTCGGCTCGGTTCGAACTCGAGCCTATCGAACACATCAAATTATAAATATAATTTATATATATTTCAAAATTTAAATATAATTAGTATGATTTTTTGAATTTAAATATGATTATTAACGAATCGAATACTTGTCGAATCATTCGAGCACGAGCCTATTAACGAGCATCACCTAAATTTTTTAATTCAAGCATATTTATCGAGCTTATCGAGCACTCGTTTCGAACATCGAACGCCTATCGAGCCGAACACGAGCCTAATTTGTAAAGCTCGTCGAGCTTCGAGCTCGAAGCCGAACACCACTAATTCCTTGTCGAGCCGAACTCGAGCTTTGGGTGTTCAGGCTCGGTTCGGCTCGTTAACAGTCCTAGTTACAACATTTTCATTTTCACTTTTGTGAATGCATAACTTTGACCGTTATTATATAAAATTCTTTATTAGTAAAAAATTTAAAAATTGAATTATGAGAACTTATAATAAGACGAATTCAAAAATATTTATTTAAATATATAGTTGTTACACATTAATTAATAAAATGTCATCAAAGTGAAACATGTAAATAATGTAAAATTTTGATGTTGTAACTAAAAAGTACGAATGATAATAATTTTTATCTTTCATAATATTATATTAATCAAAATTATAGTCTAATTTTTACGACCGTTGAAATGAAAAATGAAAGATTACAAAATTTTAAGTGAAAAAATGTTGCTTAAACGTTATTCCTTCGAACCTTCCCTCGTGAACCAAACACACCGTTACTCAGTCTAGTCTAGACCAATAATCCAACATATACTCCGCAATTACAGTGTTTATTCATTTCGAGTTTCAAGTTTCAACCAGGCCGTGAACCAGCCCGAAAATTAGCTTTTACCGATTTTTGTTTACCAGCGAGCATTAGTTGCATCAATACCACATCCTCGTCATCTTTCATCCTCGATTCCTCCCTTCCTCATTCATTGCATCCACTTCAACTTTATACGCGACTGTAATAACGTATATAAACCAAACCAGATCTCCATTGCCCAGATATTTTTCTTCCATACACTCATATATAAATGTGTACACGCGTATGTCTTTGCGGTTATTGCATTTCCCACGACGATCTGTCTTTGTTGGTGGCCGGTACTTTGGCAGATCTCTCACCAGGCATTTACCTATCCCCTGCCTTTTCTTTAATGTGACATATATTGACAAAAATAACATCTCTTTCGTTCTCAGATTTCATAACCATTTTTAGCATTTTGATTGACATTTGCTTTTCCTGAATGATGGGTATTGTTAAAAAGCTTATTCTTTTCCAATTGTTTACTCCGCAGTATTCATGTGTTTCTCCCATATCGCTTGATTTGGGTCATCCTTTTTTATGTGAATCCCTCTTGTATTTATCATTGATTTTTTTTTTGGGTTTTTAAAATTTTGGACTAAATGGGAAGGATTTTAAGGAATTGGTAAGCAAGTTTACAACTTTAAGTTATCTGGACTGTTCTCATTTTTTGTTGAAAGGAGGCGTATTCTAGATTTCTCTTTGTTAATCACTCACTTTTATTTTAGCTGCAGAGGCTGGACTTTTAAGCTTGATAGCACATAATTTTGACCCCTAGTAAAATCATCTATCTATTCAATAGTAAACAAATATTAAAAGTTGTTATTCAGAAAATATTTTTTTCCATAAACTTAACAAAAAACATGTTATGATTTGCGCCTGTGCATTAAAAATATATGGTCAGTATATAGCTTAAAAGGAAAACTGTTGCTGTTATTAAAGAGTGGAGGCCGGAGGAAGTGTCATTTAATTGGTTAACATTGTTCTTCTTTTTGTAAAACTGTGTAAGAATGAGATGGAGCTTTTCTGGGGTACTAATATCTAAAATGATTGGCACTTGCACAGCTAAAGTCTCTGAATTTGATATCAAACAGAAGGTTACTATAAGATAAGTTCTGTTTGGACTTTGGAGCTCACTCAGAGATGAAGGGAGGAAATGTTGGGAGATTATGGGGGAGGCAATTTTCTCTCACTGTAGCTGCTCTCTTGCTCACAACCATAGTCCTTTGGTTTTGTGAGAAAAATCCACTTATCACCAGTTTATTGTCGGCTGAAGACCAGTTTATAATGCAGTCCTCAGGTTTGTCTGTGGAGCCATCCTCTATTCCAGTGTTCCTTTTTTTTTTTTACCTTAGTGAGGCTTAGTAGTATGCGTTAAAAAAATATAATGCTAGTAGATGCTTAATATACGGCTAGCTAAATGTGTCATCGATATCATCATATTTGTTTCTCACTATAGGTTTCGTGGAGGATGGCACTACTGATTCTTCACATTCACTCAAGTCAGAAGAGGATAGTACTAATGAATATTCACATACTCATATAGCAGAAACTAGAAAATCTGAAAACAGAGAAAACAAATTTGGTGGTTCTGAAACAATTGTGACAGTCTCATCTTTACCTACAAAAGATCAAGAGAAAGGAGGTAGGCCCGTAGGCCCTTTTGCTTATTCTTAAAATCTTTTATATCTTATGGGGATATTTCTTCAAACTTTCTGAAAGGCACCCATTACTTACATATATTAATCTCTCATGATTATCTTTTGCATAGTATGTAATTACGCTAAAGGAAAATGGGTTCCAGACAGCAAGAGACCACTGTACTCTGGACTAGGCTGTAAACAATGGTTATCCGATATGTGGGCTTGTAGGCTGACCCAACGTACTGATTTTTCTTATGAGGGATATCGGTGGCAACCAGAAATGTGTGAGATGCCACATTTTGAACGATCTAAGTTTTTAAAGAGGTATGGCTCCCTTTCATCCTCTTCAATCTCTCTTATACAAGCTGTATTGCTCTTAATCTCACAATGGAGTTTTTATTAGTTTGAAATTAAGGAATTGAAAGAATACATATGTTATACGATAGTATTATGTATTCAAGCTGTATTGCACTTAGTCTCACAAAAATGAATAAATTGAATTATTTTAAATTTGTTCCATTCAAAAATTATTTTCCATAGTGAGTATGTTTTCATTGTGAAATTAGTTCAGCATATCATTTTCAAGTATACTTTTCAAACAAAAATGTTTTGCACATCTATTCGTACATACAAGTGGATGCATATATATATGTGCGCGCGCGCGTGTGTAAACATTTATGATAAGAATAATGCTCCTATGAAATCAATACGCTAAAAGAATTATAATACGTGGTAGATATATTCTAGATTTGTACCATGGTTATCTTTACTATATAAGAAATTAAGTAATAGACAATATATTTTCAAATACATTCTCAAATAGTTAAGAATCTAGATTTTATTTCGTAATACATGTTAGGGAATAATTGAATTAATTATATACTACATCTGTCCCAAAATGAAGTTCCCATTCAGTATTCACTTGGTAAACTTAAATCACTCTTAATCTTTTACTTTATATATCCAACTTTTATCAAATTTGAATAATTTTTTTGTGACTTAATAATTTTTTTAAAGTAGTTTCTGAATATACAAATTTTATTTACTAAAAATAATTTGAGTGTTGACAGTTCTCGGTTAACTTTATCATCACTCAAACATCATAAACTGAAATGAGAATTTTTTTTATAGGACGTAGGGAGTATAAAAAAAAAATTATGTGGTGCGTTGTATGCTCTCAAAAAGTACCTCTTATATATAAATAATAAAAGCTTAGTTGTATTTTTTTAATGTATAAAAGCTTAGCTGTATATTTTATTCGTTTTGCTTTAATTTGGTGTTGGTTTTGTTCGGAGTTCGGACTAATACAGTTCAAACATTACCAAACTAAACATTACCAAAATATACAGCAAAGCTTTTATACAACCAAACTAAAACCGTATTACATATGATTCTGTATTAGTCTAGTTTGGTTTGGTTTACTATGGCGCGATCAAAAGGATTCAAAATGCCAACCCTTTGATTGAATGGATCAGGCTTTAATTCACTCAACAAGGGAAAACATGGGACGTAATATGTCTAAGGTTCTTCTTAGTTGGACTAGACGTAGATAATTGTAAAATCAAACAAGTCCAAACTTAGAGAGACCGGATCAAACCACATCATAAAATTTCAGTCCAATTAAAAACATTTTTATACAAATATGGATAGGAGTATTTAAATATAAATATATGAGCATAATAGTCCTATTTGTGGAAATAAACATAAGTTGCCCTAAATGTGAATTTCAGGCATGTTTTTCTCTTACTCCTATTGGACACGATATCTATTACTATAACCCTGAGAATTGTTGTCAAAGATGAAAAGTAGTTTGGAACTAGAATTTCACACTTAAATGTAACCATATTTCAGAATGCAGGACAAAACAATTGCTTTCATTGGAGATTCATTGGGCAGACAGCAATTCCAATCCCTCATGTGCATGGTGACTGGTGGAGAGAGCAGACCGGAGGTTGAAGATGTAGGATGGAAGTATGGCCTAGTGACACCACGTGGAGCCGTCCGTCCCGATGGATGGGCATACAGGTTACCCACAACCAACACAACAATCTTGTATTACTGGTCAGCCAGTCTATGTGGGATAGAACCACTCAACATGACCGACCCCAGAACTGAATTTGCCATGCATTTGGACCAACCCCCAGCTTTCCTGACCACATACATTGACCAGTTCGATGTTGTGATACTTAACACAGGTCATCACTGGAATAGAGGGAAGATCAATGCTAATAGATGGGTTATGCATGTGAAGGGAGACCCAGTTCGTAACAGTAAACTTGCTGCTGTAGGAAATGCCAGAAATTTTACCGTTCACAGTATAGCCAGATGGTTTGACGGTAAGATTAAATCACGACCTCAGCTTCAAGTTTTCTTTAGGACTATATCCCCGAGACATTTTTCCAATGGGGAATGGAACACTGGAGGTAACTGTGACAATACCATCCCGCTTACAAAAGGGAGTGAGGTGTGGCAAGATGATTCAAATGACCCTGTTGTTGCGGCTGCTGTTATGGGTACCAGGGTAAGAGTGTTGGATATAACGGCCATTTCGGAACTCAGGGACGAGGCCCACATCTCGCGTTATAGCTTAAAATCTTCGGTGGGCATTAACGACTGCTTGCATTGGTGCTTACCTGGCATACCTGATACATGGAACGAAATCCTTTCGGCTCAGCTTTAGCTTGGGATTAAAAAAGATCCTCTGGTAATATATTTGATGAAAGAATGCTGCTCATGGAGGACTGCAGGAACATTTAGCTGCAGGAGAAGACGATCAAGTGTAGGCGGGGTAAATTTTGCCTGAAATCTTAATTTATGTAAGGCTTATCAAATCCCCTTCAGGCTCTAGAAATCCTTGATTCCATGGGCCCTGTGTTGTACGGAGTAATACACAAACCTTCCCATCACGTAGTAGAGAAATAGTAATGGCAGCTTAGCATAATTATGATGTTCAATTAATATCTCATTTTTTTAGTTCCAGCCCGGTTCTCTTATTCATATGAAATTGACACTTTTCTTGCCAAGAACATGACCATGTAAATGGCAGCTGATGTTTCATCTTGTTCTTGTTAGGCTTGTCTCAATTTCATTCTTTTTAATAGCTAGTGATTTTGTTGGAGGCGGGGGTGCTTAAATTTAGGATGCCAGAACGTGGCGGAAATGTGTAAAAAATACAAATTACAGAGATTTATCCACAAATATATTTTTTACACTTTTTCTATAGAAATTTTGGTATATAAGTATATAACCAAAGAATAGTCTACATGTTTAAACTTCGACGTTATCACATATTAATATTACATAACTAATTATAACATGAACTTTATTGCAAAAAGAAGTATAAAATGAACCTTGGAGGAGTAAAACAAGATATTTTTCCCTAAGACTACAATGTTTTAATTTTCAAAGCATGATTTTTTACCATTTCAATACTAACCAAACATGGTTTAGGCGTCAGGGTGTAGGAGTTTGGAGTTTTATTTAGGTTTCTTAGAAACGAACTATGCTATTTCCAAATTCAAAATGCATGCAAAGTAGGGATGGACCAAACCGGCCCGGCCCGCCACTGTGCGGGCCCGGCCCGGCCTGCCACTGTGCGGGCCCGGCCCGGCCCGATTAAGTAATGGGAGGTTCGGGCTTTGACCCGGCCCGGGGGAGGGAGCGGTTCGGGCACGGTTCATGGAATAGGCGGCCCGGCCCGGCCGGTTCGGTCCCGGTCCCGGTCCGGCCGGTTCGGGCCCGGTCCCGGTCCGGCCGGTTCGGGCCCGGGCCCGGTCCCGGCCTAACGGCTAATTTTAAAAAAAAAACTTTTGGCCATCCAAACAGGCCTTAGAGCCGTTGTAATTCAACCCAAACGGCTATATAGCCGTTGGGAGCCTTCCAGGGGGTCCTGGGGTGTTATATATTTATTATTCTCCTATAAAACTAGTTAATTGTTAAAACTAGTTAATTGTTAAACTTGTTCGCATTATTATTTAATTGTAGTTGGTAGATTACATTGTTATATTTTTAATATGGAGCGTGCTAGAGCTTCTGTAGATATGGGTAACCTCCGCCGCAACCGAACAAAGGAGATTGTGAGGAATCATCCAAGGTCACGCAAAGGTAAGGGAGGGGCCGGGTCTTCATCTCAAATCCGAGATGATTTTGATGCGGATTACAACCAAAGATATGAGGATGCGATGTCCGATTGATTCTTATTTATTAAAAAGTGTATTTCATGTTTTAATTTTTGCTCAATTTCCAATTGTACTGCATATTTCAAATAAATATATTTTAAATTTTTTATGTCCAACTAATCTTAATTTAATATTTAAACAAAAAAAATAGCCCGGACCCGATCCGAACCGGCCCACTACCCGGCCGGGTAGGCCCGACCCGGACTGGACCCGTTATCACCTCGGGCCGGTTCCGGGCCCATGTTTCTACAAAAAAGCCCGCCCGGTTACGAGTTATTTTGGAGTTATTTTGACGCGATGGCATTTTCGTAATTTTTTTGGAGGGGGTCTATAAGTTATGATTTATTGGGTATAAGTTCGTGTTTTGAGCTTATAAGTTAGACTTCACAGCTTCTCAGCCTAAGGGGGACTTCTCACATGATCTTCTCTCTCTATATATATATATATAATAGCCAAAATGATCATCCACATAACTTTAGCCAAAAAATGAGAAAAATAATTTCAACCTCATTTATTTTGATTGTTACACAATTCAACGTGTGAAACTAAAATTGGTTAATTAAGCTGTTGGGCTGAAAATTGGGGTTACCAAATTAAATGGACTTATAATTTTATTTGTTATAGGCGTTTCTATATTTGGCTATGACTAAAATTAAACTATTTCGATTTTAACACATGCATAGATTGGTCCAATAAAGCGAGAGTTATCGAATGCACGGTGACGTGGTCGTACAAATGCGCCGCATACATTGTCCGAAATTGCTCACCACGCAAAGGCGCTATCCAATTGTAAGTACACATTCATTTTTAGACAAAAAAAAATCAAGTCGCTAAGAGATATATGTGGAAAAAAGATAAAAAAAATATGTTGGACATGAAATATGGAAATTTATTTATTTGCTTTGAAATTTGCATTCAATGAGTACCTAATCACCATATCTAATGAATGGATAATCGTAAAGGATTTTAAGTATAAAAGCAGTTCTTCTGAACCATAATCTAATCCATATTAAACATTTAAAAGCAGAATTCAACTTGTAAAACATTATCATCATGGCCTTTATCCGATGCATAATTCTTGTTGTGTCCTTTCTCTTTAACTTTTGCTCTTCTCATAATACTAATGCAACTATGAATGATTTTTCACCTGCCATTGCAACATGGTATGGTCCACCAGATGGATATGGAACGGGTAATCACAAGTCATCCATAAATTTATTTTAAATTATGTCACGTTGAAACGTTATACCCACCTAGACTCATGCTTTATTGAATGTACATGCTATTGAACATATTTTGGTATGAATTTATATATGTGCATGTGTGTGATTTGCAATTTCTAAGGTTGATTATTGATAAGTTAAAACTTCCATGCTAATATTCATATCAGTATTGATAATTCAAATTCTTGTTTAGAAACTAGGTAAAAGTTATATTGAACCAAATTCGCAAACAATAAAAGTTTGATACTAACGATTATAGAATAAACACAATAGGTTTATTATAGACAAAGAAAAAATACAAATCATTTCATGATAGATGAAGTACAATATACACATAGTGCAAATATTCTACACACACACACATAATGTGATTCATGTTTATTATCCAATTCCAATAAAAACCAGTCTTCCCATGATAAATGTGAAAGTCTCCACTTTTGATCATCTAAAGTGCTCTATTGCATCTAGATGATTTTCATCATCCACTGTGGCTCATCCACTATACACTTTTGGACACAGGAAGTCCACTTTTTGGAAAGAAGAAAAACTTTAATTTATTTGCAAAAATGTCACCGCATTTTAAATCCATTTTAATGCATTTTTAACGTATTTAGAGTCATTAGATCTTAGATTTGATGCACCAAATTTATTCCTACTTTTCATGGGAAGAAGGCTTTTTATTTGATCCAATATATATATATATATATATATATATATATATATATATATATATATATATATATGTGTGTGTGTGTGTGTGTGTGTGTGTGTGTGTATGTGTATATATATGTGTGTGTGTACGTAGATAGGAGATCAAATGCAAACACCTTCTAATTTACAAAGTATAAATTCATCTTTGTCATCCGTTGAATTGATCTAAAGGCTGGAATCTCACAGTGCTCATTTCGGTAATAAAATCAAACTTTTTTCAGATTCAACTCTTTCTACGATAATATGTAAGTTTTATTTCATTGAGCACTAATATGCAACACTTTGAACCTCAATATGCAATACAATTAGAGTTTTGATGCACTGTACAAACGTTTGCACAATAAACATAATTTGAACCAGGTCCGCCCCCTATATAAGTATGTATATATAGTTATATATATTATTTAAGTGTCCCAATTGTTACTGTTACATTATACACTCTCTTAGCACTATTAGATACCGGAGCTTGTGGATATGGAAATGTGAGCCTGCCACCCTATAATTCTATGATTTCTGCGGGAAACCAAGCTCTATATAAGAGTGGCAAAGGTTGTGGAGAATGTTATGAGGTATAACGTGTACTTTGTACACACATCTTAGTTATAATAACAATAAATTAATGATAAATAAATATTTAAGTAATAGACATTATTTAATATTTACATCATTATATTTACATCGTATATACACATGAATCAAGAGATAGATTGTCATGGGTAGCCAATTATATATTAATGTGATATATATTTATATTGCAGTTAAAGTGTACTGAAAATCCAGTATGCTCAGGAGAACCCATCAAAGTTTACATAACAGATGAATGTCCTGGTGCATGCAACGATGAACCGGTTTGGTTTGACTTGGGTGGACGAGCTTTTGGTTACATGGGAAAACCAGGTCAAGCTGATGCCATGCGCAACCTTGGAAGGGTTAAAATATGGTACCAAAGGTATATTTTGCTTTTTTTGAAGTATTAGAATTTTTACTTTTGTTTAATTTTCTTAACATTATTCATTATTATTAGTCACATACTGATAATTCGATTTGATTTTTCAGTGTTCCATGTTAGTAAAGAAGGGGACTAGAGGGAGTTGATCCATCAGACTTCATATTATTGCAATATAATTATCACACATATTCATATCAGGGTTGATTCAAATGTCATTGCTTTCTATTTCAATAAAATTTTATTGTTTCGTACTCTACCAATCATGAATAAATAAAAGGGGAAAAGTTATCCGATCTTAATCACCAAATTTTTGAGTTCATGGTTCTTTATTTTGTTCTTCGAAGTTTTGTATTCGTGTCCGTTTCTTCAATACTCTAAATCCACATAAATAGATACTCTCTTTCCCACTTTTTTCATGTTTAAATTTTATTCCCATTTGGTCCATAATCCAAAACATTTGTGTCAAATATTTAGCCTTCTTTATGTGCCGTAAAATAAAGAAATAATGAAAAATATACAATTGAAATAAAAACGGGAGAATACATATGACCTCTAATATAACATGTAGTGATTACTTTTCGAAGTGATTGTAATTACCAAGATGGTGTTTTTATTTTACATTGTACTGCTAAAGTGAGCGTGCAATTATATTTTTGTCTTTGAAATTCATTTAAGTAACATTACAAAAATCAACAAAACAATTAATAGGTAGTGGTACCCTAGAGAGAAGACAGATGTAAGTTTAGAGAGAGAGAGAATGACATCTTGCAATATAATAATCCTTCTGTTCCTGAATTATATTCCAAATTTTCTTTTCTGTCCGTCCCAAAATAATCTTTCATTTCTCTTTTTGGTAAAGAAGTTGTGGTTAACAATATTTCCTACACACTCTTACACATTTCTCTCTCCTCTGCATAACTCGCCACCACGCTGTAAAGGCTGAAATTGTGTTTTATTTCCAAGTATTTGCCCTAAATAGGACTAAAATAATAGGAAAGTTCCTAAACAGGACTACTCCTTAATTTATTTCCTAAATATGACTAATTAATTGATTGTTCCAACTATATCCTACTTTTATTTTCAACCTTCCGTATTCATTTCTTACGCTGTTACGCACCCCAACACTTCTCTCTCCCTTCTCTATCTTCTCTCCCTCTTTCTTCCCTTTTCCCTCCACCTCCAATCTCTCCTCTCTTCTACAACCCCAATCCCACAAACAATATTAGATCTTCTACTCCGACAACATGGGTGACTCGGCAACGTGCGACTCCGGCAACGTGTGACTCCGGCGACTTGGTGCTCCTCCGGCAGCGTGGTTCCACTCCGTCGAATTGGTGCTCATCCGGCGGCGTGGTTCCACTCCGGCGACGTGGTGCGACTCCGACGACGTGGTGCGAATCATCTCTGATAAATATCTTCCATCTTCTCTTTCTCTTCAACCTTTCATCCTCCTCTTTTCTTCTTTTCTTCTTTACTTGGATCTCTGATTTTTTTTTTAATTTTCAGATTCAAAATGGAATTTTTTAAATATACCTTCAAGGGTTTCAGAGTGAAAATCTGAGGCTCCACAAGTTATTTATATGAAAATTTGAGATCTAGCTTTTTTATTATTAAAATACAAAAAGTCCAGCGATTTAAAAATAATGAATCTAATTTTTATTTATTAATTTTAATTTCTTTATTTTGAAATATTCAGTTTAATTATTTTGGATCTAAAAAATCTATAGCTAATGTTTATTTTTTTGAAAATTTATTTGAAAACAATGTTGTTATCATAATATTAAATGTATTAAGATGGAAAAATTATTTTAAAAATGACATGTTTTTCAATATGTTTGGTAAATAATGCCATGTTTGGTAAATAATTCCATGTTTGGCAAATAATTCCATTTTCACTGATCGCATTAACTTCATAAAGATGACAATGTTACTTGAACAATTTAGGCAAATAATGCCATATTGTATAACTATTAATGCCATGTATTTTTTACAAAATGACATTATGATTTTAACACGGCATTAAATAATTTTTCACCAAATCTGAGATCTACAGTGAAGACGCCGGTATGGTGGCGGCTGACGAAAATACTAGATAAGGTCGGTCGCCGGTGGAGGCCGGCAGCGGCAATGCCAGAGGTCGCATATGAGGTGGCGAAGACGCCGTTATGGTGGCGGCTGACGGAAAGACTAGATAAGGTCGGTCGTCGGTGGTGGTCGCGGCTCCGACGCCGGTGGAGGCGGTGGTGGCGCCGACGCCGGTGGTGGTAGCAGCACCAAAGCTGGTGTTGGCAATGGAGGTTGCACCATTATCGTGAGTCTTGTGCGTGAGGATTCTGTTGGGCCTCACAATTTGTTTTATTGTTTTACTTTGTATTATTAATTAACAAATAAACTGATTTATTCATTAAGGGTAATAGTTTCAAGTCACCTCTTTTTACTCCTACAAAATAATACAAAACATTGGAGTCCTATTCTTGCATTTTGTACAAGTTTTACTCCTAGATAGGGAATTATCTCTTTATTTCCTTGATGTATGTTTGTACAAAATGCAATGGTATTTATACAGAATGCTAGAGTCATCACAACTAAGAGAAAATATTACAAGAAAGGAAAGGATATGCAAATCACATCTTAACACACACGAGTTAAGGAATAAATGTAAAATCCTCGATAAAAGGAAACAAATGATATGCAAATCACATCTTAACACACACAATACCTACTATCTTAATCCTCACGCCAAATGTAGTCTGGAACATGATTTAGGGATAGATGTAGTAAATTATTTTTGAACCCTTGCATCTACCCAAAATGAGGCTATTTATATGGTAATAAATGTTAAGCTCATTAAATACGAGCACACGTGTAAGGTATGAAAATATGGCACAAGTTGTGGTGCGTGCTCGATGGCGGACAAGGGGCTCGTTACTTCATCTGGAACAAGTCTAATTAAAAATATCCTTATTTCTCATTAGGACTACTGTACTATTAATGTTAGTGTTCTCATTCTCCCGGTCTACAAAAATAAAAATACTTATAAAAAAATTGTGAACTCAATCATGATGGTATGGCATGGTTTTTAACCATTACTTCATGGTTGGTTTATAGAACTTAGGTGGTGAAACCATTATATTTCGTTTGGTACCATCAGAAAACCCTTCATACCATTTCGTTACACATTATACTCTATCATAATTAGGAGCTTTCCTTAGCAGACATTGTTGTTATGATTGAAGGCTGAAGAGTATCATATGATGCATCAATTTCTTGCTATGAGTATATAACAATACTCACTAAAAATAATTTATTTAGGATTGGGGCGCGATAGAGACATCAAAATAGAAATACGAAACAAAAAGTGAATAAAATAAATAAATCCTCCAAATAAAAGTTAATGAACAAACTAATTTAACATGAGACTCATTTAGAATAGAGAAAATAATCTCCAATATTATTAAAACAACATTTTTTCTCAATATACAAGTCCACTTGTTATTATTCTTATTCTAATACCTAAATCTCGTGAATGTCTTCCTGTTTAGACAGAAGTGATATGCATGATGAAGGGATTATCAATTTCTTATTCTTATAAAATGAGCCAATCCATGTATATCATATTCAATTAGGTCATTATGAACTTAAAAAACATATACATCGTATGTTCATACTCTTGGAAAATTCACGGATTTATTAATATTGTGATGTTTTTCTCTTTAGAATATCCATACGCACTATGAACACAACCATAAGATTGAAGGTCTAATTGAGAATAGAGAATAAGATAAAAGTCAAGCTTAATTTATTTATGGAGTAAAATAAGAGTTCTTTAAAAATAAGTTTACCTTCACAATCACTATATTATAGTTTTATGTTCAATATGATCATGATCACTAAAATTACTATTATAATTATTAAAATATAAAAATTACATTTTTGTAAACTCTTTTTTCGGTCATAAGCTAGTCATTTTTTATCAGATGACAACCTTCTCTGATCCACTCTCATGACTATAGCGCAAAGCTGACAAAGGGAAGACACAAATCGTCACCTATCTAAAGCTACACAACGGGAAAATATATGCGACCAACCAATCGTCCCTCCAAAATTCAAATTGGACATGTTATTGGATATTGAGCAGTAGAGGCTCGCGTCTGGAGACCATGCATGTTTTCATAAATGCCGATATTAAGTGCACTTATATGCGCACACACACCACTCCTTACATCTCAAATTATATATGTTGCGCTTTTTGTTATAAAAAAAGCGTTATAACTTCATTATCAAACACCCCTTAAATAGAGGACAATTAGAGTTTGCAAGGGAGCACAATATGGGCCGAAATGACATCATTTACGCAGTATGATTCACGGTACATATTCTATCTAAATGATAGAACACAATACATAATTTCCTTCAACAACACCTCCATTGTTTCGTTACTTGACGCCTTTACTTTTTATAGTACTTAATTTTAATCAGTTTTTTGTTTTGCAACTACGTAATAATCAATATAATAATATTAAAGGGAAGAAAAAAATTCATTAATATTACTCTTTAAAATGTAGTGGATAAAAACTACTCTCTCCGTCCCGTTGGAATGTTTCCGCTTTCCTTTTTTAGATGTCCCGTTGGAAAGTTCTCATTTCTCTAAATGGAAAGTTATCCTACATCAAAACAGGGTCAAACAGTGCAAAACAGTGTCAAACAATGTCGAAACAGTGCCAAACAGTGTCGAACAGTGTCAAAACAGTAAAATTTACCCCCTGGTAAGTTTATTTCCTTAATATGTGTGTAGGTCAAACCGGGAACATTCCAACGGGACGGAGGGAGTACTTAGTAATTATTAGTGACTATAATAGTGTTTAAATTTACATCGTAGTAATTACATGTAAGTTACTACGACGCAAACTTTGAACACAAATATAGTCATTAATAATTACTAAGTACTCCCTCCGTCCCAATTTGTAAGACACTTCACGGTTTACAATGTTTGACCGATGATAAAGCAAATTGATCCCTGTCAACACTCAAATTAGTTTTAGAAAACAAAATTCACATATTCAGAAACTATATTAAAACCGCTACAAAACCTGCAAAAAACAATTTAAATTTCATAAACTTTTGATATATAAAGTAAAAGATTAAGAGTGATTTATGTTGACCAAGTGAATAGTAATTGTATCTTACAATTTGGAACCGAGGGAGTACTATAATATCTTTGTAATATTAGTAATATTAGAGTTTTTTTATTAGTAATTTTTAGGGGAAATTCCAAAATGATAAATGTTATTACTCCCTATATAAATAATATGGAGTACGTAGTAAATGATACTCCCTCCGTCCCTCAATTATCTTCAAACTTTCCTTTTTCGTCCGTCCCAAAATTATCTCTTCCTTCCCTTTTTGGCAAAGAATTTGTGGTTCACAATCATTCTTACACATTCTTACACATTTCTCTCTCCTCTGCACAACTCTCCACCACACAAAACCCACTATCTTAATAAGTGTGTCCAGCCGAAATGGGAGATAAAACAGGGACGGAGGGAGTACTCTACTAGTAAGGATGTTTTCTTTTGGACTGTTTTCAGTTCCAGACCAGACCAGACCAGACCAGATCAGACCAAATCAGACTCTCATAGTTATAAAATACACGAAAATAAGACATTTACCGGTTCAGAGCAAACCAAACCAAACAAGCAAATTTCAATGCTAAAGAAAACATCCTAAATTTTTAATCAATTTCAATAGACATCCTAAATTTTTAATCAAGGTAAGAAGAAGTAAGAAGACTCTTAACCGGAAGAGTGCGTAGTAGCAGACCTAGGAGTGGAATATAGGAGAGGAAATATACTGGATATAAAATAACCGGCAACAGAGATTCTAATCGCCGTCGGCGCGTCGCGTCGCGTCGAACTTTAAAGAAGACGCCTATCGTCTATCGTTCCGCGTTCTCTCATATAGCTCTTGGTCTCCATCGCTAAGAAATTGAGGCGCGATGCTGGGGCAATGTAATGGGCGGAGAAATATAGAGAGAAATACAAAGCAACTCCACCATGATGCAGGTTTCAAGGTTTTCTGAAGAATAACAAACTTGGGTTTTAGGAAATAGGTAAGAGGTTGAAGAAAGAGGATTAACGTGAGTGGCAAAAGAAGAAGATAAATCAGAGCAGGAGGAGCTCATATCAGGGCACTCTAGCCATTAATTAAATGGAGTAGATGCTGAAGTGACTAATATTGCCCTCTCTGACACTGAATCTTCTTGTTCTAATGGCTGTGGCATTACGCGTTAAAGGTTAGCCATTTTATTTATTTCTTACACATTTTGCTTGTAATTAGGACGCAGCTAGTCAGCAACATTGTGTCCTAAAGCTCAAATCTTGGTCTTATCAGATAAAAAAGACCTGAAATCTTGCTTCAATTGCTATAGTTTGCACCCTTTAGAAGGGTAAATAATATCACACGAAGTCATGTAAATTTTGCGGCCTTCAAAATTTCTATACTTGTTTGTTTCTATTTAGTGTACTCTGCTCCTTTTCGCCTGGAGAGCATTAATGACTAATGAGGCTTAATGTCAAGTTATCAATACACATCCTTTGCAATACACAGTCACGTGCCACATGGTATATTTGTATGTACCTAACTAAGTCTAAGTGATTTGTCTTCTGCACGTCACACGATGAAAAACACAACCTGAGAGAAGAAAGTTTGCACATCTGTTCCAATAGAAAGGTAATGAAATAGTTTGAACAATCTGCCTGGTGTAGGCTACACATCGTTCATCCTGCATGAGCAGACTGCAACAGATGCTGTGATTCCAAAGTATTATTAGCTTTGTATGAATGAAGGAAGAATCAGTTTTGAAATCTCTGTTATTGAAATTATACCTGGAGTTGTGAGTGACTTTGTATTTCATCAGCTAACTACTTAACTCTGACATCAGTTCTTAGAAAGAAGTCAGAGAGACTTGAGCGGAAAAGATGGCAGAAATATGTGGTGGTATCAGAAAAGGTTCCTGCCATAGAAGATTTGCTGGACAGTGTTTATACGTCTCTCCGCCCTAAACCAAGTGATTATGAAGTTCGAAGAGCTCTGGTTTTTGTCTTTAATGTATTGGCTAAGGACATCTATGGTAATTGTCATTGTATAATTCTGCATCATATGTTTTATTGTGGAGTTCAGTTTTTTCTTCTTTTGTCTTTGGTTGGTTATTTCCTGCTTCCTCACACTGAAGTCTAAATAGCTCTGTAACTCACCTAAGGTTATATAGTTTCCACTTTTGGGGAATTGAAATCCTCTGCACTATATTTCATGTACCACACATTTTGATTAGTTAAAAACACCATGTTAAGTTTTTTATTATACACTGGCCAATCAAAATGAGTGGTACAAGTGTTGCAGGAAATGTGATACAACAGATCTAAACTCATATTCCGGAGATCCAATGATTGCAATTTTATTTCTTTTTTTAGAAGAACCTTTGCTATTTTTTGTTTATTGAATTTTGTTTCAGGCCCTGGTAGTGACGCCCCTATTGTGGAGGAGTTTGGGTCTTTCTTAATGGACTTATTCACAACTAAAAGTGATCTAGATTTATCTATTAATTTTGGGAACAATGCGGTTGGGTTTTCACGCGAGAAGAGGATTCAAAAACTGAGGAAGTTTGCAAAGAAGTTATACGCTCTTCAACGTATAAAGCTTACATCTATTACTTTTCTTTTTTTGATTACATATGTACTTCAGTTTAGTTAAAAAAAAGTTGACAGTTTTTTTTGGAGTTGTTATTCCAAAGTGAGTATGATTTTATCCATGTAGAAGCATACTCGATAGTCGATAATAAGCATATCCTGTGTTTAATCAATAGTGGAGCATTAGTTTTTTCCTGTGAATGTACTTAAATAATTTTTCATTATGTTTAATAAAGTTTAAACATCATTTCATTATTCATTCAGATTGATATTCATTATTATGAGGAAAAAAATAAGGTGAATGATGGAGTTTAATCTTTTTTGCTTCTTTATATTTCTTGTTCAAGCGGCGATAACTTAGTCAAGTTGTAGAGTATTATGGCATGTTTTTAGCTTACTCTTGTTGATTTGTGAGTTTCTGTGCTTCAGGAGAAGGGCATGTCTATGGTGTTCATCCAATTACTACAGCCAATGTGCCTATTCTTAAGGTTGTTGACCGTGGAACTAGAATTGAGTGTGATATATCAGTTGAAAACAGGGATGGAGTCTTAAAGTCTAAGATAGTACATATGATTTGTTCAATTGATGAAAGATTTGGGAAGCTAAGCTTCCTGGTGAGTCTGCTGATTTTCTTTGAAAACCAGTTTTTCTCATTATCATACATATTTGTCAGATATGCTTTCACTTACTGGCTTAGTTCCCAAAAAGTATAGGGGAAATATATATGTCATTGGCACTTAATAATTGATGGGTTCACCATATGATAAAGCTCTGTTTTAGTGGATGCTCTTCTTCTAATTGACTATTCAATTTGCCTAAGGCTGGTGCGCTCCTTGACTTGTTTAAAAGATAATTAATGTAAAGTACAAGCTAGGACCTAATATCATTCATGTGTAGGCTAAAAAACTTAGGCTAGATTAATGCTGAATTGCTAATATCATTCATGTGTTGGGATCTCAGTATCTCACAGTTCCATTTTTTGGCAGATGAAGGCATGGGCGAAAGCGCATAACATTAATAGCTCAAAGTTCAAAACCTTGAACTCCATGTCTATAGTACTCTTAGTTGCTTTTCATCTACAGGTGTGATATTAAGCTTATGAATATTTTTGAACATGTGTGTTTTTTCTTTCAAAATATTATATGACTTGAAGACATGGAGCCTGCAATAGGTAATACACAGTTGTACTTATAGAATAATAATCAGTTGTAATCAGTAATCTTGGAAATGCAAATCTAAGTAGCTTTACTGTTTTGACTTTTTTTGGAGATACATGGCAGCTTCCATAATTTTTATGATTGCTGTAGCGTGCGATACTTCTACAAATAATGTTGGATTTTCTAGAGGCATTCATTTTATTTTTAGAAGAATACACCTTTTTTCTGGAACACAAGAATGTAGAAGAGTACACCCAATGAGCATGCTGTATTACTGCATTGCATAATGGGAAAACTTTGCATCTTTTAAGGCTATACTCTTTGCTCTATCCTACTTGGAACCCATTCTACTCTTTTGAGTGCTTGTGGAAGAAGACATATAACTGAAATACCAATTGATCTATTATTGATGTGGTTGCATTTCTATTTTCTAATGGTCATTATATTAACTTTTTAATAATTTGTTCTTCACATTTTCTGTGAGTAACATGCAGACGCGAAATCCCCCTATTTTGCCACCTTTTTCTGCCTTATACAAAGGTAACGGCTATGACCTCTCCCACCTTCATTTTGAATTTTGTTGGCCACATGTACTAGAAGAATCGTGCTAAATTAACCATTTGTATGTAGCCAGCCTTTAAACCCCTCTTTTATAGACATTTTATTTACATGATAGCAATGTAATGATGATTTGGTTATGCTAGTGGTAGCAAACATAAATTGATTGTGGTGGTCCTGAAGGACTATGTTTGATTTCAAAATTATTGCTGTTTTATGTGACTGTGTCATCATGCCATATTAAATTATTGATTTTTTTGGTTAACATTAAGATCTATTTTTCTTTATAAGTGAGCAATCATAGCCTTGTATAAAATGTATGCAAATTATTTTAACAGTAAACTTTCAAGACCAGAAAAGGTTGATTAGTAGGATTTTACAGTACATCAGTTTCATTTGGATGGTTGCCACCTCGTTGTTCTACCTTGTATACTTCCTAATAATAGGTCTTTAATTCTTTTTACATTTCTGGTCCTGTTAAGTTTTTATGTGCAATGAAATGACTTGAATAGCTTGTGAGTTCATATTTTTTGTTATTTTAGATGGAGCTGACTCTGAAGAAGCTGAAAAGTTGGTTTGTAATTTTTCAAACTATGGAAAGAGCAATAAAGAATCAGTAGCCGAGCTCTTCATGACCCTGTTAATCAAGGTTGAGTTAAACATCCTTGATACCATTAAATTACTGTTAATTCACTTCTACTCATTGTTTGGTATTTATCTTAGATATACTTTGGGAGGAAACAATAATTTTTGGGTGGTTTGGGACTGTTAAGAACCTGTGTTAATGATCTCGTCCAGGGACGAGAGTATTTCTGTAATTCAGAGGGAAGATAATTGACTGGGAAGGAATCTATGATTTCTGAAGAATTGAATTCTTAAGTAGGAATTAAATTGATGTCCGACCTAGTCAAGACACACAAAATTAATTCTTCCAAAAGTTCCTTTATTGATAATAATAATGACCCTTATATAGAGGCTGATACAAGAGTCCTAAAGGCAATTAATAATTAGGCAGTTGCCTAAAACTAAAATAGGAATACTAGAAGAATTAGGCAGTTGCCTAAAACTGAAATAGGAATACTAGAATAATTAGGCAGTTGCCTAAAACTGAAATAGGAATAATAGTAATAACTAATTAATAGTTTTCTTTCAGCCTCTTTGTTTCTCGGTATAGTTGGGCCCACTGTCTGAGTATGAATCTGCAACGTTCTGGGCTCATTCTTGGCCCTGTCGCCTGCTGTATTGTTTTCCCCAGAATGCATCCGTAACAATACCCCCTCATCGACTTCGAGCTTGTCCTCAAGCTCAAACCTTGGAAATGCAGCAGTAAAGGACTCCAAGGTCTCCCAGGTGGCTTCCTCGGCCAACTGTCCCATCCAGTGAACAAGTACCTTTGGCACACCCCTATTAAGGCGTCTGCGAAGTATGGCTAGGGGTTGCAAGGTTGTTGGTTGTTCTAGTAAAGGAGGCAGAGGTCCCATTTGCTCAGGGGAAGGACCGTGATGCTTCTTTAAGAGGGAAACATGAAAGACGTTATGAATTTTACTTGTCTCAGGTAAAGAAAGCTGATAAGCGGCCTTGCCGATGCGAGCAGCCACTTGGAATGGACCATAGAATTTGGGAAGTAGTTTATGGTGACCAAGGTTTTGAAATGCGAAATCGGGCCTCGAGGCATTTGCTCGTAGCCTCACGAGGCGTAACGAGGCGTAAGCCTCAAAATTAATTGCTTAAATGTTTAAAAGAATATCCCATCTAAACAAAATCAAGTAAAAATAACATAACTATAAAACATCCAAGTCAGAATAACATAAAATTGAAATGCCAAAGTCAAAACTCAAACCAACGTAAACACTAAAATTCCAGGACAAATAAATAAGCTAAATGATAGTTTTATGATCACTTTAAAGTTTAAACTGTAGGCCAATAGTACAGTAATAAATTAATAAAATAATAATATTGAATGACAAGTTGACAACCATAATACTTAATAGCATAAGTGCATAACAACTATAGTGAGGCGGTGGAATATTTTATAGTTTGCTGGCTGAAAAAGCATTAAATACGTAGCAGATTATATACTTCAAACATGTACTTTTAAATAATTAAAAAGTTAAAACAAATTAACTTAAACAATAAATACAACAAGAAACTATAGAAGTATGCTGTACACGGTGGGATATTCTATACAAGTGGTCGTTGGGATATTTTAATATATTTACTTAATAATACCTGGAATGAAAGCAACTCTGAAAGATCGAAGTCTACATACTCAGCTTCAAGCCTTCGACTGAGAGAGTTTTTCAAGCCGTTTCTTAATATAGTAGTAGTGGAAGGTAATTAAATAGTTACCTAGGGATGTCGTGTGTTACCTAAGAGATAAACGTGTAGTTTTAAAAAAAAAAAAAAAATCGAGGCCCCCAATAGTTCAAAAAAAAGAGCCCAAGTTGCGTTTAGTAAAATGCGTACGCCTCAATTAAGCCTTGCGCACTGGGATCACATCACCGCCTCAGCAAAAAAAGGCGTTAGCCTTGTTAGTGGAAGGTGATGCTCAAGCCTTACAGGCGATTTGATAGCGCCTTTGCGCTTTTACGCCTCTGAGGCGTAGGTGCGTTTCGCCTTTTTAAACCATGATGGTGACGAGAACCCATGGAGAGTTGTCGTTAAGGATGAACCCGCAGCCAAACCCAGTCATCAGGTTCAAAGGTAACCTCCCTGTGATTTTTGTCATATTGAGATTTCATCCGAGCTTGGGCAGTGGTCAAGTGACGTCGAGCTGCAGATAAAAAAGCATCACGGTTGATTAGCTCTTGTTCCACTCCCTCCAATTTTGCTGTTCTTGGAGTATAAGAGATTAACTTCGGCGGATCTCTCCCATAGACGAAACGAAATGGAGTGTCTCCAAGGTAACCATCGAACCCACTCCTTGGGGCAGTCACTTGTGAGACATCGTAAAAAAGTTTCCAATGTGCGATTAACTACCTCCGTTTGGGCGGTTTGGCCATCCTTCTGGGGATGATAAGCTGAAGAAAAAGTCAGTTTAGTGCCACTCAAACGGAAAAGTTCTCGCCAAAATTGACTAACGAAAACTTTGTCACGGTCAGAAACAATAGATTCAGGGAGACCGTGCAGCCTAAAAATTTCAGAAAAGAAGACAGTGGCCACTGAAACAGCCGTGTATGGATTAGCCAGTGGTATAAAGTGGGCAGCTTTTGTGAGATGATCCACGACCACAAAAATGACTGTTTTGCCCCGAACTTTTGGCAGCCCCTCAATGAAGTCCATGGAAACGTCGGCCCAAACATGTTGTGGAATGGGTAACGGCTGAAACAACCCTGCTGGTTGTAATGTCAACCATTTATGGCGTTGGCATGTGAGACAGTCCTTAACAAACTGACTCACCGTTAGCTTCATTTTGGGCCAATAGAATTCTCGGCGCAACCGTTGTAGTGTCTTTTCCACACCTTCATGGGCCATCTCATGAAACACCATAATCAACATGGGAATGAGGGATGAGGTGGAATGGAGAAAAATCTTATGGCGGAAGTAAAGAAAGCCATCACGATATGCCCAGTCATCGTCGAGGACCCCGGCTGTCAACTGTTCACATAAAGCCTTGATGTCAGGTGATGTGGCGTGTTCGAGGCGTATGTCCTCCATGATAGTTGTATATGGAATGGAGACGGCTGCTAATGTTATAGGTTCATCTCGGCGAGACGATGCATCTGCAACCACATTTAAGCGTCCTGGTTTGTACTTGATCCGGAAAAGGAGGCCCATAAGCTTGCTTAGCCAGTGCTGTTGTGATGATGTAGTGAGGCGTTGTTCTAACAGATATTTAAGACTCGAATGATCAGTCTTAATTAGAAACTCTCTGCCCCAAAGATAGGGCCACCAATGGGTGATTGCCTTCGCCAGACCGATTAGTTCCCGCTCATAAGCCGCAAGTTTCGAATGGCGGGCAGCAATCTGCCGACTAAAATATGCAATGGGATGGCCCTCTTGTTGCAAGACGGCCCCAAATCCACTACTAGAGACATCACACTCTACAACAAATTCTCTTGTGAAATCTGGAAGTTGCAATATTGAGGCTGAAGACAAACGCTGCTTGAGGTCAGTGAAGGCGGTGGCTGCTGCTGGGGACCAAACAAAGGCATTTTTCTGGAGAAGTTGGGTGAGTGGTCTTGCAATTTCTCCGTATCCTTGTATGAATTTGCTGTAATAGCCCGCAAGACCCAAAAAACCACGCAAGACAGTTACGGTGCTTGGGGTAGGCCAGTCAAGAACCGCGCGAATCTTGGATTTATCAACCTCAACTCCTTGACCAAATCACATGTCCCAAGTAGTTAACCTGCGGGGATCCAAAACTACACTTGGAATGTTTGAGAAACAATCCGTGAGTGCGTAAAATCTCAAAAACAAGGTGAACGTGATGGACATGCTCAACCCATGACTTACTATAGATCAAGATGTCATCAAAGAAAACTAATACGAATTTGCGCAAGTAAGGCCCAAAGATGTCATTCATAAGGCTCTAGAACGTAGATGGAGCATTAGATACCCAAATGGCATCACAAGGAACTCAAAGTGACCATGGTGGGTTCGAAATGCTGTTTTTTCGACATCATTAGGATCCATGCGGATTTGGTGATAACCAGAGTGGAGGTCCAACTTGGTGAAGACTTTGGCGCCATGGAGTTCATCTAACAGTTCATCAATCACTGGAATAAAACTGTCATCTGGGGATGAGAATGGAGAGAATGGAGAGCGGCTATGCTGGATTATCCCCTGTTCTAACATCTCAGAACATTGTTTTTCAATTTCATCCTTCTGGAAATAAGGATATCGGTATGGATGAACCACCACTGGACCTGAGCCCGGCATTAAAGTAATACGGTGATCTGAGTTCGATGAGGTGGGAGACTGGTGGGTTCTCAAAAGAGGTAACAGAAACTGTGCAACATTGTATCTAGAGACGGGGGTCTCCATCTGCGAGGTAACAACCATGTGGGCATGAATGGAATGACCTGCTGCCCATCCTTGCCATTCTACTGGATGGCCTTGCCACTGGAAGCGCACAGAAAGCTGCTCAAAGTCCCACACGATGGAACCTAAACCACGTAGCCATTGAACACCAAGGATCATATCGAACCCGGCCAGTGGGAGGACATAAACATCTGCTGAGAATTGTTTGCCATCGACTTCAAAAGGGAGATTGGAGCAGGTACCGATTATGGGGACACGATCACCATTAGTGACAAATACATGGAGTGCACTGCCAACCTGAGATAGGACTGCCGTTGTTGGAAGTAACCGTTGGTGCAGGAAGTTATGAGTGCTGCCCGAATCTACCAAGATAGTGATCGAACGGTCATAGAGACGTGCTGACAGTTGCATGGTGGATGAAGATCCGAACCCGGTCATAGCCAAAATAGACAGGGATGGCTCAGCACTGGTTGTATATTCATATGGCTCCTGCAAGGATTCCTCATCCAGAATCTCAATAAAAAAAGCCGTTTACAACGGTGCCCTGGAATCCACGGATCGTCACAGTTATAACACAAACCTTTTTCCCGGCGTATGGCAGCTTCAGCGTGGGAGATCTTTTTAAACCCCGGTGTGGATTGTCGTCGGTTTAAAGATGGATCAGGCATATTCGGTGTCGTTGGCCGCGTGTACTGTGCAGATGGAACCAAAAGAGTGGAGAGAGATTTGGTCTCCGGGTGTTCATACTTGCGGTTCACAGTACGGGCCAACATCATTGCGTAATCAAGATCAACTGGATTCTGGTACTCCACCTCCAAGCGCAACGATTCACGTAATCCCTCTGTGAAAATTTTAACTTGCATGCGCACAGAGATGCCAACTGTGCGGGCAAGCAACTGTTGAAACAACTCGATATAACTATTGACATCATGTGTTTGGGTGAGTTTGGCAAGGTCTCCTTCAGGATTGGCGCCACAGGGCGGTCCAAAGCGTTTAGTACACTCAGTATAGAACTCGGTCCATGTGATGTCAGTAGCACTGGGATCAAGCTGATCAACCCAGAGCTGGGCTGTCCCAGTCATGTGAAACGTTGCGAGACCCACACGGGCTTGCGCCGGTGTACGCTGGTGAACAAAGAAACTTTCACAACGTTTAAGTCATGACAAAGGGTCGCTGTTACCGTCATATTGTGGAAAATCAAGCTTGGAAAAATGTGGAACCACTAAGTCATCATGATCCTGCCGTCGGGTGTCTCGTTCGTGTTGTCGGGCAAAGCGGGGAGATACTGAGGAGGAATCTGCGGTCAGTTTCTGGACAGAGGCGGACAAGGCAGCCATCGCTGCCGGTAATTCTGCCAATTTAGCGACACACTCCTGCAGGTCATCCAGCTGGTGTTCGACAGTCAGCTGGCGTTGGTCCATGCCCTCAATCATGTGTTTCAATGCCTCGGCTCCTGCTACATCGTTGCCCATCGTCCAGGAATCTGATACCAAATTTTTAAGAACCTGTGTTAATGATCTCGTCCAGGGACGAGAGTGTTTCTGTAATTCAGAGGGAAGATAATTGACCGGGAAGGAATCTATGATTTCTGAAGAATTGAATTCTTAAGTAGGAATTAAATTGATGTCCGACCTAGTCAAGACACAAAATTAATTCTTCCAAAATTTCCTTTATTGATAATAATAATGACCCTTATATAGAGGCTGATACAAGAGTCCTAAAGGCAATTAATAATTAGGCAGTTGCCTAAAACTAAAATAGGAATACTAGAATAATTAGGCAGTTGCCTAAAACTGAAATAGGAATACTAGAATAATTAGGCAGTTGCCTAAAACTGAAATAGGAATAATAGTAATAACTAATTAATAGTTTTCTTTCAGCCACTTTGTTTCTCGGTATAGTTGGGCCCACTGTCCGAGTATGAATCTGCAACGTTCTGGGCTCGTTCTTGGCCCTGTCGCCTGCTGTATTGTTTGCCCCAGAATGCATCCGTAACAGGGACTTTGGGTAAGATGAAGTGGGAGGAAAGGAATAAACATTGGCAGGGCCCACATTCAAAATATCTCCCCATATGGTTAGATTTTGAAGAGAATGGAAGGAAAAAAGTGAATCACTACACATAAAATGACTTACCTACACTTGTATTTTGTACTAATTAAAGTTTTAAACATGTGATTAGTGATCAATATATGTCTTTACACTACTCACATAGTTTTCTTTCTCTTCTACTTCTCTGAATCCAAACAACTTAAATATCTATCCGTTTTCAGCCGCTTTCTCTTTTCACTTGCATCCTTCTTTCTTTTCTAATCCTATCTTCATCCAAAATGTCAAGTTTTAATATTAATATTCTATGTTCTATTGTCATCTTCGTTGCAGTTATTGGCAGTGGAGAATCTCTGGTGCAAGGGAATCTGCGCAAGCACTTATGAAGGATCTTGGATATCTAAAACCTGGGACTTCAAAGTTGCCTGTATTAGTGTACATAAATTCTTAAGCTTATTAAGAACTCCTCTTCATATGCTTTGGAAGCACTTAAGTTTTACAGTCATGAGTTATTCTCTCAGGTTGAGGATTTCACAGATCGGTCCCAAAATGTAGCACGGGCAGTTGGAGTGAAAGAAGTGAAAAAGATATATAAGTGCATCCATAATTCGAGCGAGCGCATTGCTGCTTTTATGGAGGGCCGAATTGAGGGGTCTACACTGAAAGAATATTTGTTTGGACAAAGTGGCTGTCGCACTTTGGGGGATGAAAAAGGTTCAAAAGATGCCAGCAAAGACAGGAGTGGACATAAAAAGGAGGTGGTTATTAAAGCAGGCCAGCAAACTATTCCACATAAGCCTGCTGTGGCCGGATGGGATAGTGTTCCTTCAGGAAAATTGGGAAGATCTGCTACAAAAGTATGGGGAAAATCAACATCAGGAAGTTGGGGAAAATCAATGCTTGACGGTTGGGGAGGATCAACAATATCAGAAGAGAACGTAACTGCAACAAGTTGGGGTGGATCACAATCTTCAAGCTTAAAGAGATCAACTGTTGAAGGATGGGGAGGATCAACAACAGAATGTTCAGAGAAACCGACTGCCAAAGCTTGGGGAGGATCACAATCAACTAGTTGGGGAAAATCAGCGGTTGATGCCTTGGGAGGATCATCACCAGGAATTTCAGAGAAACAAGTTACCAAAATTTGGGGAGGTTCAGAATCGAAAAGTTGGGAGAAACCAGCAGTTGATACTTTTGGAGGATCATCAACACCAGGAAATTCTGAGAAACAGACTACCAAAGGCTGGGGAGGATCAAAATCAAAAAGTTGGGGAAAACCGCTGGTTGATGTATGGTTAGGATCAAACTCAGGAAGCTTAGAGAAATCAACTGCCAAAGGTTGGGGAGGATCAACAGCCTCAGGATGGTCGGGGAAACCAACTGCCAAAGGTTGGGAAGGATCAACTGCATCAGGATGGTCGGAGAAACCAACTGCCAAAGGGTGGGGACGATCAGAATTGACAAGTAGGAGAAAATCAACAGTGGATGTCGGAGGGGGGTGGTCGGAGAAACCAACTGCCAAAGGGTGGGGACGATCAGAATCGACAAGTTGGGAAAAACCAATGGTGGATGTCGGAGGGGGGTGGTCGGAGAAACCAACTGCCAAAGGGTGGGGACGATCAGAATCGACAAGTTGGGGAAAACCAACGGTGGATGTCAGAGGGGGGTGGTCGGAGAAACCAACTGCCAAAGGGTGGGGACGATCAGAATTGACAAGTTGGGGAAAACCAATGGTGAATGTCGGAGTAGGATCACAATCAAGTACTAGGGGAGGATCAACAACAACCGGAAGATCAAAGGAACCGATTTCAGAGAAACCGTCTGCCAAAAGCTGGGGAGGATCACAGTTCATAAGTTGGGGAAAACAAGTGGTAGGTATCAGGGGAGAATCACAAACAAGTAGTTCGGGAAAAGAAAATGATGGTGGGGGAGGATCAACAACATCAGGAAACTCAGAGAAACAGACTGCCAAATGTTGGGGAGGACCACAACCAACAAGTTGGGGAAAAGAAATAGTGGATGTTGGGGGAGGATCATCAACATCAGGAATTTCAGAGAAGCTAGCTACCAATGGTTGGGGAAGATCAGCATCAACGAGTTGGGGGAAGCCAACTGTGGGTTCCTGGGGAGGAAAAGCACCAGAATGTTCAAGAAAATCAGACTCCATAAAGAGGAAATGGTCTGATGAAAATGAGGGAGGAATATCGGCTGGAAGATGGGGCACGTCTTCAAAGAATGGCAGGACAGAAGGTAAGCAATCTACATCATATAACCCAAAAAACAAATTCAAACGTTTTAATAATAACTGGGAAAGCAAGGACACAGGACAGGAAAGCACTTTGCCTCAACCTGCTGTCAGCAGTAGTTGGGGTTGGGGTAAATGGGACAGGACATAGGAAAACTGTTCCTAAGAAGATCGCTTTTATCATTCAAACTCCCGAATGTAGTTTTCCTTTTGCTTAGAAAGTGCTTGGTATCACTTGTGCATAAGACTTGGTAGATACTTGGTCTCTGCAGCCTTTGTTTGTTAGAAGATCCATGTAGATCAACAGTTTCCCTTGTCGGGTTTTATTGACTTGCAGTGCTGGTGTTATTTACTTAAATGATAGTATCTCCTTTCAACCGCTTGATTTCCATGGCCATAATGGTAAGTGTCTTGGGTTTCAACTAGAAGTAATTAGTCCTATTTTGGGAATAAAAACATGATAGTCCCATTTTGGAATTTACAAACATTTTTAGTCCTATTTAGGGTAATTTCCCTAAATGTTTAGAAAATGTCTATTGCCTATTTTCATATTTCAAAAATAGGATTACATGTTTTGTTTTACTTAAATAGAACTAATCATACATTTCTACCTCTAATATAATTAGTTAATATATATAATTGTTCCTTTAATTCTCTTGCATAACCAAGACCGATCCATTGATGATGTCAGGCCGGTGGTGGTGTTGAACTTCAGCAACGAGGGTATTCTCGCAGCAAATCGGAGGAGGTGGAGGGGATGGGAATGCTTCAAAGGGAGGGAGATTGAGAAAAACTTTTCTTATTTCAGAGTTTCAGATTTGAAAAGAATGGGGTTATAAAGAAATTATAGTAGGTTAAAATCACTAAAGAGGTGACATATTCAAATATACTCCCTCCGTCCCAATTTGTAAGACACTTTAGGATTTACAATGTTTAACCAACGATAAAGCAAACAGTTCCTTGTTCGCACTCAAATTATTTTTAAGGAAAAAGATTATATATTCAGAAACTACATTAAAAACTTTACAAAGTTGCAAAAACTTGAAATAATGATAAATTTGATGTACAAAATAAGAGATTAAGTGTGATTTGTGTTGACCAAGGTTATTATTATTTAATTAGTTATTCCTAAAAAACATTCAATACATGGTAACTTTATAATCTGAGCATTTAAAAAGTTTTGGAACATTATAGGAAGACTCCAAAATATTTATTTCCTTTTTTGAAACCCCCGGCGAATATAAGGAGGGATAGAAACTCTTCTCACCCTATCCCTCCCCTCGCAAACCAATACCATTAAGTACATTAAATTTTTCATTTCTATTAAAGTAACAATTTAATACAAAATATCAGAATTATCATTGCTTGCACTTACTTTTTACATGATTTGACATAGGGAATACATTAGGCTTGGACTCGGGTCGGGCCACCCGGCCCGTGGACCGGCCCGGCCCGCTACTGTGCGGGACCGGGACCGGCCCGGTTCTCGGGTCCGGGTCCGGGTCGGGCCTAGGCCCGGGGGGTAGGGCGGGTCCGGGCTCGGGTCTGAATTTTGGTGAACCGGCCCGGGCCAAATTGATTTTTTTTTTATTTTTTTTTCATTTTTGGGCTTCCACCCGGGTTGGGCTTGATGGGTAGGACCGTAGGATGGGTTTGGGGGGGTTTGGGAGGGGGGGGGGGGGGTGTTTAGGAAAGCAAAAAAAAAAAAAAATCCAACCCGGAGGCCCGGCCCGGCCCGGACCCGGACCGGACCGGACCCGGTGGCTACCCGGGCCGGTCCCGGGTCCACCATTCTTGAACCGCCGGCCCGGCCGGGCCTAGGCCCGACCCGGACCCGGCCCGGACCCGAGTCCACCCCTAGAATACATACTATAACAGGTGAAAGATTTGCAAAAAAATGTGTCACGTTCGTTTCCACGTTTTGAATTCCGCTCTTTCACTACGGACTACAGAGTATGTTTTTTACGGATGTTACCATTCTAACCAAAATTCAAACTAATGTTGAGCATTAGATTTAAAATATAATAATTCTAAATGTGTCGAATGTGGATAGTGATCAATTTGTTTAAAATTCAGTGATATTTAAGTAAATAAGAATGTGTTTGATAACACTGAAATTGATTGAATTTGTTGAAATTGATGAAATTATGACTGAAGTTGAATTTGTTGAATCAGTTGAATTACAAAACTTATAAAAACATAGTTAAAATAGTCATGCCCAACAAATTCAATCAATTCATCCAGAAAATAACTTTAATATTACTTGCTTTGATTACTAAACAATTGAGTCGGTGAAGTAAAAAATTGTATGTTTAGTAAAAAATTGACTTACAAAATTGACAAGCAGAGAAAACTAAACAGAGCGTAAATCTAATTTCCTATCTCGCCAAACGCTGAAATAGGAAACCTTTTTATCTTCCGACAACATCAACATAGCTTTAATTTCATAGCTCCATCGACCAACCCTTTTCATAGGTTATCATACAAGCTCTTCTACTATTTACAATTAGGCTTGGACTCGGGTCGGGGCACCCGGCCCGTGGACCGGCCCGGCCCGCTACTGTGCGGGACCGGGACCGGCCCGGTTCTCGGGTCCGGGTCCGGGTCGGGCCTAGGCCCGGGGGGTAGGGCGGGTCCGGGCTCGGGTCTGAATTTTGGTGAACCGGCCCGGCCGGGTCGGGCCCGGGCCAAATTGATTTTTTTTTTTATTTTTTTTTCATTTTTGGGCTTCCACCCGGGTTGGGCTTGATGGGTAGGACCGTAGGATGGGTTTGGGGGGGGGGGGGGGGGGGTTAGGAAAGCAAAAAAAAAAAAAAAAAAAAATCCAACCCGGAGGCCCGGCCCGTCCCGGGTCCACCATTCTTGAACCGCCGGCCCGGCCGGGCCTAGGCCCGACCCGGACCCGGCCCGGACCCGAGTCCACCCCTATTTACAATCTATCACTTAAGCTTATGTATTATAAGAAGTATCATATAAGTACGCTTACTTTAAAAGTAGAAGTATTTACATGATACTTTTTTAATACATGGACTTAATTGCCGGATTCAAAATAGTAAAAAGACTTATTTGACATTTTTTCCAAACCTCTTTTTATTTGAACCGCTTCTATATATAAATAAACAGAGACACTTCCCCTTCATGTGGGAATGTGCGATGGTGTACATGAATTTCGTTTGCCGCAAATTATGTTATGGAGTTATGGATATTGTAAATGGTTGCCTCAAAAAACTTTTAAATAATTAATAAAAATACTATCTCTTTTTAATGATTTTTGGAAGTGCACATTTACCACCAAGCTAGATTCAATTTTTTATGTAAATATGTACATGATTTATTATATATATTATTGGTGTTTATGTTAAACATTTATTATAAAGTTATCTACAAATGATGGAATAAAACTTTAGTTTAACACACTTGTCATGTTATAAATGTTTAGAAAATGGCTATTGCCTATTGTCATATTTCAAAAATAGGATTACATGTTTTGTTTTACTTGAATAGAACTAAATATTACTTTTCTACCTCTAATATAATTAGTTAATACAAATAATTGTTCCGATTCTCTTTCATAACTAAGATCGGTCCGTTGATGATGTCAGTCCGGTGGTGGTGTTGATCTTCAGCAACGACGGTATTCTCGCAGCAAATCGGAGGAGGTGGAGGATATGTGAATGCTTCAAATGGAGGGAGATTGAAAAAAACTTCTCTTATTTCAGGGTTTCAGATTTGAAAAGAGTGGGGTTACAAAGAAATTATAGTAGGTCAAAATCACTAAAGAGGTGTGACGTATTCAAATATATTCCCTTTATCTCAATTTGTAAGACACTTTACGATTTACGATGTTTGACCAACGATAAAGCAAACTAGAATCAAATATGATAAATTTGATGTATAAAATAAAAGATTAAGAGTGATTTATGTTGACCAAATGAATATGAAATATGTCTTACAAATCGGGACTGAGGGACCGGAGTATTTGATTTTGTAATCATTTGAAAGTGAGCAAATGTTATTATTATTATTTAATTAGTTATTCTTCAAAAACCTTCGATACATGGTAACTTTATAATTTGAGCATTTGAAAAGTTTTGGAACATTATAGGAAGACTCCAAAGTATTTATTTCCTTTTTTAAACCCCCGGCAAATAAGGAGGGATAGAAACTCTCCTCACCGTATCCCTCCCCTCGCAAACCAATTCCATTACATAAATCAAGTGTAAGAATATGCTACCTCCGTCTCCAAAATAACTTTCCATATTCCTTATTTGTATGTCCCAAAACAAATTTCTCATTTCTATTAGAGTAACATTTTAATACAAAATATCAAAATTATCATTACTTTCACTTACTTTTTACTTGATTTGACATAAAATAGGGGTATCCTTAGAAAGTCAACTTTTCACTAAAATATAATCCCTCTGTCCTTTAAAATTTGTCCTAGTTTGACTTCACAAGTTTTAAGGATATGAATTTGACTTTACACCGTAATGATACTGTTTCACACTGTAGCGACACTGTTTGGCACTGTTTGACACTGTTTTGCATTGTTTAACACTGTTTGGTATAGATTTGTTTACTAAATAAGGAAATTGAAAAAGTAGGACAAACATTTTGGGACATCCGTTTCGGGAAAGTGTGACAAACTTTAAGGGACGGAGGGAGTACTACCTCCGTCCCCCTAAGTTTGGGACAAAAGGGTGTTGTGTGATTTTTAAGAAAAAGTAGAACTGTGTAGTTAATATTGAATTGATAAAATGTGAATAAAGTAAGAATGAATTGTAACCACCCAAATATTATCAAATATGATATGGTACAAACTTAATGGGACGGACGAAAAAGGTAAAACGGGACAAAGTTAGAAGGAGGGAGGGAGTACTTCATAACTAAATCAAAGTGGGAAGTTGGTAGGTGTTGGACTTTGATAGGTGTAAAAAAACTAAAATCAGTCATAAATAAATATATCTATAAAATGAGACAATAAAATATAGATACGATTTTATTGTCTGAATTTTTGCTTGGCCGGACAGGAGGCTCCTCCAGCCACCTCCATTTGAGGTGGTTCCGGAGGTATTTTTGGCTGAATTTTTTTGTGTATGTTCCTCATCAAGCCTACTTCATCCATATCAAATTTGAGCAAAAAGTTCAATCAAAAACTGGTCATCAAATGATTTTTGTATGAAAATTGGTCCGAAATTCAATTGGGAAATGTACTACAGTACATTAAAAATCGGAAGTTCACCTCTTATGTTTTACATCGATCTATTTAAGTCAATTATTTTTTATAAATTCTCAATCGAATAATGATAACAAGAAAAATGTTATAAGGTGCAAGGTATTTTTTAAAATCTTCTTCAGCCAGTTCAGATAAAAAATACGACTCTCCATTTCATTTAGAATCTACAGAACACAATATACGACTACGTTTGCCTTTTGCCATACAATTAGTCCACACTTTTCTAAACTCAAATTAAAAGAGTATTGCGTAACATTTATAATTTTATAAACCTTTTCATACATACTTAATTTGTTTACACAAACAATTAATTTTCTATGTACACAAATAATTTGCCCAAACTTTGGAACATTATACTTCGTATATGGTTTTACAAATGTGTTACGTTTGTGCCAAGTACCTTGTGGTCCAGGGATGGAGGTGGAGTGGTGGCCAACCAGGTCACGGCTCTGCTTAAACTTTAAAATTATTTATATTTGTAATGTAAAAATTTATGTGTATAAATTTATTATTAAAAATTCTTTGTACCGGCCCAATCTAACTCTTACTCATGGCTACTCCCATGTTGTGCTCTGATGGCATCACTGTGAAACTTTCAAAGAGGAGGTCACATGTTCGAATATCATCTTAGTTCAAGGATGTTGACATTAACAGAATAGATGCTATAATAGGTTAAAAAGATTTACAAAAAAATGTGTTACGTTTGATTAATTGTTTCCACGTTTTGAATTCCGGTGGTTCACTACTCCTACTTTATGTACTATGGAGTGTTTTTTTTATTATTTGAACATTTATTTTATCTTCTTAAACTCTCATTCTCACGGATATTACCATTCTAACCAAAATTCAAACTAATGTTGAGCATTAGATTTAAAATATAATAATTCTAAGTGTCGAATGTCGATAGTGATCAATTTGTTTAAAATACAGTGATATTTAAGTAAATAAGAATGTGTTTGATCACACTGAAATTGACTGAATCTGTTGAAATTTATGAAATTATGACTGAAGTTGAATTTGCTGAACTGTTAAATTACAAAAATAAGAAAATAGTTAAAATAGTCATGCCAACAAATTCAATCAATTCAAACAGAAAATAACTCTAATATTACTTACTTCGATTACTAAACAATTAAGTCGGTGAAGTAAAAAAAGTGTATGTTTAATAAAAAAATTGACTTACAAAATTGACAAGCAGAGAAAACCAAACGGAGAGTAAATCTAATTTTCATGCGAGTATGCCACTTTACCAAAACAATGCTTTACTCAACTCCACCGGGATCATTTGTTCTGTACGAGTTAATTTGCATAAGAAACACTAATTGGAGCAAAAAAAGAATTATCATAAGAAATTATCTTAAATAGGACTAAAACAATAGGAAAATTCCAAAATAGGAGTCTTAGTTGATATATTCCCTAAATAGAAGTTAATAAGATGTTCGGTCGTTTCATCTTTACCTATCATTACAATTATACCCTTCAATATATTATCCTTAATAACCACTTCCCCCTATCTCATCGTATCTGGCTTCACACTCATCACCGTAGCTTTTCCACCGACTCACTCCTTTATCTTTATCCCCTGCATCTTTAATTTCATTTCTCTAAATTCTCCGATGGTGAAAGGCGGCGAAGTGCGGTATAATTGTTGGAGATAGGTAAGTATTGATTACTCCTTCTTCTCCATCTTCTTCATCACCTTCTTCTTCCACTTTCTTCATTCACCATCTCTGTGTTTATTATGTGTATCTTGTCAAAAAAGAGACCTTGAAGATACATCAACGGATAAGGCAGTGAGTGATTTGATTAGATTATGCTGTGAATTGCTATCAAATTATTTTCATTTGCGCTTTGCAGTTTATTATCAATTATTTTGTTTTATTTTATTGGATTATATTGTAAAATTCTTATGATGTGATTTATCATTTATCCAGATGACGAATCCTCTTGCTTTGGACAACCGCAATTCGTCTTTAATTTTTATTTTACTTCATTCCAATCATTTTTTTATTTAATTTTGAACTTTATTAGTTTATTTATGATTAATCTTAAGTCCAAAAGTTTCAAAATTAAGGTGTTATTTTTCAGTAACAACAAATGATTTGAACATTGATTTCAAATTAATATCATTTATATTTACATTTAGCAGGATGGCAATTTTTTACCTCGACATGGCAATATTGTTCACCTTTCGTATTTTTATAATTATAAAAATGGCAAATATTGCTTATAAGAATAGTAAGATGGCATTATTACTTTTTACCCTGACATGACAATATTGTTTATCTTTTGTATTTTTATAAGGATAGTAAGATGACATGACAATTTGTTCTACTCTTCTTTCTAGATCAGAGATCTAAACTCAGATCTGGAGTGGTTGCTCCATAGAAGGTTGCAGCCGGTGTTGTAGAGGTGTTGTAGAGTGACGGCGACGTTGAATTAGTTGGTGGTGACACCGGATGAGACATCGGCAATGGACGGCGATGCCGGTAGAGCCTGAGATGTTGATGGTGGTGGTGCCGGAGAAGGCGGCGGCGCTAGTAATGGCGGACATGGCGGCAGTTCCAGAGATGGCAGTGGCGTCGGAGATGGCAGCGGCGTCAGTAATGCCGAAGATGGATACTGCCTTGTGCGAAGCATATGTCGTGTATTGTGCACTGCCTCTCCTCTATGTAACTGTAAACTTTAATTTTGTTATTTTATTTTGTATTATTAATAAAGGAATCAACTTTTTCATTAAGGGTATATTTGTCTCTTACTATTAAGTTCCGTGTGCCAAGCTATAGGTGGGATATGACTCCTATTTTTGTATTGTTGATATGTTTTACTCCTAAAGTGGGAATTCTCTCAATTATCATCACTCTTTGTACATATACATATACATATACATATACATATACATAATTTTAGGTGCTTATTGTTAAACAACTAGTATCTTAATAATCGTTGGTATTTGAGTTGTGAAAAAAATGATATTTTTTATTATTTGGATTACATAATGAGTTGTTGATAGACCTCACTGACCTACTACAAAGTACAGAATTGGATTCGGGACAACGTGACGGAACCAGTGGCGGACGTGCTATTGTTCAAGGGTGTTCGGACGAACACCCAAAATTATGAAAATAAGATGTAAAAATACATGCATAGAATTGATATAATAATTTATATAGTGTATTTATTTATTATATCATAGGATGTCCGAAACCACCTTGGCTACAAAGATAAGAAGAAACTAAAATACACTACTCCAAGTCTCCAAGTAACTGCATCATTAATAGTTTGATACGGCAATTAATTACAAATAATGAAAGGGTCAAGCAGGATCAAAGGAGTGAGAAATACCTAACTAACTCTACGCCGCCTGAAGTTAGTGTATAAATACCGCAGAGCTTCACCTTCTTACAAGTATAACAACTCATCACAATCACTTCATCAATGGCGGACAAACAGAAGAAATCTGAGGAGAGGCGTAAGAGGGTTCGTTATGAGAACAGAAAAGCAAGCATCTTGAAACAAGGCAGAGAGTTGTCCGCACTCTGCGGCATGAAGCTCTGCCTCATGATCGTCTCCCCAGACGGAAAGGTGGAAACCTGGCCTAAGAATCCGGATGACGTCAAGGCCATTCTCACCGCCGCCAATGCAGCGCCCAGAAAGAAGGTCGTCGCTGCCCTCTCCGAACCCAATTCATCTTATCAGCCGGCTATTAAAGACTGCCGCCAAAGAAAGCGGAACCGAGATCCCCTGCCGCAGATGATGGGTATTCCGGACAAGAAGACAAAGACGACGATGAATACTAATGATTCCATTAGTTACAACGTTAGTGATTACGTTAACGGGTTTGGATCGATACCCATGTTGGATAATACTTGGAATCAAGGAGATGGCTGGTTTACTGCTGGTCTTGGTGGCTATGGTCATTCTTTTGAGAAGAATCTGTGTCATGAAAATCCTGCTGTTTGTGGAGGATCTTATGAGTTCCCACAATATGGGAAGAGTAAAGGAAGTGATTATGATCTGCAGATTCAAGATCCTTCTTTCTTCTGTTTGGATCCTTCGATTAATGAGCAGCCGCTGCCGCAGGGTGGGTCTGATGCATTGGAAAACCTTCTGCTTGGCGATTTTTATTAGTTATTCTTTAAGATTCAATTAGACTAATTAACTGCAAACCAATTCATTTATGTTAACACCAGATGACGTAAATATTGATTGAGAATTCGGTTTATGTAAATTTGATCGATTGCATTATCAGTTTGATTATTATGAATTCTTTAGATTGATTCAATTGCTCTATTTTTTGTATATGACCCTTCTCCTACATACGTATCCTTGATTATCTTTCGATACAAGCACTTGCCATAGACTCATAATATCTCGGTTCTTGAATTTCTATAATCACATTCTTACATAGGACATTTGACCACTATTTAGAGTCCAAGTAAAAACATCCTTTCTAAGGTTGTAAAATTATTTTTCCAAATGAATTAGATAAAATTATTGCAAATAAGCATTTTAGAATCATTTACAAACGAATCATATTTTTATCTTTGAAAACAAGAATTTAGATCTAGGAGAAGAAAATTCAGAACATCTAAAAAATGATTCACCAAAATATATGAAATGAAAAGAGTAATGTAAATATATCTTAAATAATCTTAGATAGAAATTGATGATATTCTAGTTAGTGGCCGAATGACCTGAATTGGCTTAAATATGGAAACATTATATTTCAAATATATTTTATTAATAAAATTAAGAAAAAGTTATATTACAAATAGCTAAAATGGCCATCTATACCAAGTTCATCCAATTATGTCAAAAAAAAATTCAACTTTACTTATTTTGACTATTATATAATTCTGTGTGCAATATAAAAGGTTAATTTTTTTATAAAAATAGAATGACAAAAGTGATATGTTCAAAATATAAATTATCAAAGGAAGTTTTAATTTTTTCATACTCTACATTTGTTGTATCCGAAAACCTGTGGGAATTGTACTACAGTACATTAAAAATTGGAAGTTCACCTTAGGTATCAAATATGTCCTTTTGGTAACTTTGCTTTTTTTTATCAAGCTTATCAGCCAATTTTTTCAACAAACACGTAATTTTTTATTTCGCATGCTGAATTGTGTGTAATAATGAGAAAAAATAAGGTTGAAGTTACTTTTCTGATTGTATTAGCAGAAGTTACTGTAGAAAACCATTTTAGCTATTTTACCATGTAAGTTTTTCTTAATTTTATTAATAAAATATATTTCAAATAAATTGAATTCATTTTTCTTATTAATAATAAGTTTTTAGTCCTACGAATATGATACACTTTATCTATATTAGGTTCTCCATTTTATTTGTTTTACTTTATATCCATCTACATTATTTCATTAGCAACTTTTAATTCTTTTTTATAATTTTTTGAGATTAATATGAGAGTATAAAATTAATTACGCACATCTTTAAAATATGTATTAAAAACTTTGGAAAAATAAAGTTAAATACATATTGAACAACATGACTAAGAATTATGAGAAACCTAATTGTCGGGAACTTGGGATTGCTTTGTTAGTAAACGGAGTTTGTTGGCTAAAAAAATCAATATAAATTTGGAGATTAAAAAAAGGAATATAAAACAAAATGTACAATAGTTGACGGACTAAAAACATATTCCCTCTATCCCTAAATCAATGTCCTTATTTCTTTTCACACATATTAAGAAAATGAATTTATTAAGGAGTAAATTTTACTGTGAAGTATACTGTTTGACACTGTTTTGAAACTGTTTGATAGTGTTTTGCAATGTTTGACACTGTTTAATATAGATTTGTTTAACAAATAAGGAAGTGAGAAGAAGTGAGACTTTAATTTAGGAACATCCCAAAAAGAAATGCGACTTTAATTTAGGGGCGGAGGTATTATTTAACCTTGGGAAAATAGAAACTAATAATCCAACCTTTTAGCGTTCTTTTTACAATAGTCCCACCTTTTCATTATTCATAAATAATCCAACATTTGCACCTCATCTTCATTCACTGGTCCCTGACCGATTTATGACTTGTTATTCCAAGTTATTTTCTTATCTTTGTATGTAAATCATTATACCATAATTCTCACCTTATGATCAGATAATGTTTTGCAAAGATAAGAAAATAACGTGGAATAACAAGTCATAAATCAGTCAGGGACCGATTAATGAAGATGAGGTGCAAAAGTTAGATTATTCATGAATAATGAAAAAGTTGAACTATTATAAGAAGACCGCTAAAATGTTGGATTATTATAGCATCTCCAATGCTAAATTGTGCACGGTGCACATGTGGCATGAGAGAGATAGACACAAAATATTGATTTTATGACATTTCTCTCTCATTCTTTCCACGGTCTTATGTGTTTTTGGTAAATGTTTGTCTGCAATGTCAACCACAATGTCTACATTTAGACATTGTGTTTGACATTGTGAAGAAAAACTTACCAAAATGATGTAAGATCCTTCAAATAAGGAGAGAGATATTCTATTTATTGTTTTTTAATTGGTTATTTCTCAAGCCACGTATGCACAATTAACGTTTTAGCATTGGAGATGCTCTTAGTTTTCATTTTCTCTTTAACCTTTCATAAAAAAATAAAAAAAAAATAGCAATATCGAACTATGAATGAGATCTGTGGTTGTTGATTTTTGAGTTTTAATATATGCAGTTTCTGGTCAAAAACAAATCTCAAATTTTGAGTACCAAAAGACAAATCAGTTGCGTCATACCGAATCACCTCAACGAACCCTTCTTTTTCTATGGAACTTTTCTCTTCAAAACTTCTTGGGATCCCAAACTTCTTTCTTCTGTCATCAAAATCGATTGAAACTTACATGCATGTTCCATTTTTATCATCAACCGGGTAAGTAAAAAACTCTTTACCTCTTCAATTTCTTTAAATCCATTCAACTTTAGATACATCGACCTTTAATTTCACGTATTTTTGTTTCCAAGAAACCATCAATATTATTGAGAAATATTAAGAAAATCTCATTTAATTTTCCGTTTACTTTTAAATCTCATTAATTATTACGTAGTATTATTATGCTTCCTTACTTCCATCTATCTTTAGATGAAAATGTATCCGCGTATAGATATTTTGGTATGTTACTGTCCACCCATAAGGCAAACCCAAAAATATTGGCGTAGAGTATAACGTAGAGAAGTAATAATTTATTGTCATAATTCTACTAATCTCTTAAAAAAGGATTAAATGTGTGTGAAAGTGTCCTACAATAAATTAGATCTCTTTTAGTTTATTCTATATTATCCAATTATAATCATAGTGGTCATCGTAGGATGCCATCTCTACTTTGCATAAAACCCTAGCCTCTAGCGTCTGCTGCCAGCCGCTGCCATCCGCCACACGGTAACATGCCTCTGCTGCACCACCGCACGACCATATGTCACTGCCGCGTGCCCGCGCCGCTGCAATATCAGCCGCATGCTCACCTGCTGATGTTGGTTGTGAATTTTAGGTTCGTAAGTACGATCGATCGTAGATCCCACTTAATGTTGGGAATAATAGGATCGTGCTAATATGAGAGAAAAAACACTTCTATTACTTTCAAGAATAGAAATAAGAGACATACAAGCTCTAACTAAAAACTCTCAGAAACACCTCACATATCTCTCAAGGATATTCACAACTCAAACTTGGTTGTGCTATGATGATCTATTCTAATTTACTTGATGATAGAAAGACTCTCCAAGCTCTCTATTTATAACACCAAAACTAGGTACTATGAAGGTGGGAGGAAGGTGGGATTAAACATGAGGAAACTTCAATGGTGGTTGAGGAAGATCCCTTTGTCATTCTTGCACATGGATGAAGCTTCATGGTTGTTGCTTTCACACGGAGAAAGCTTCATGGTTGTTGAAATTGGATTCTTCAATTTGCTTGTACTTGGATATGTCCTGGAAATTGAATTCTTCAATTCTCCCCTTCCAGGCATATTCAAAACAAGCATCCCGACTATGTCTCTGCACAGCTCTAGCTTATCTCGTGTCACCACCTTTGTCAGCATGTCTGATGGATTCTCCTTTGTATTGATCTTCACTAGTCTCAACAGTTGTTGATCAATCGTCTCCCGTATCCAATGATACCGAATATCAATATGCTTTGTACGAGAATGGTACATGGAGTTCTTGCTCAAGTCTATAGCACTCTGACTGTCACAATGTACCTTGTACTCTTTCTGCTGGATCCCAAGTTCTTGGAGAAAGCGCTCTAGCCACAACATTTCCTTACCTACTTCAGCGGCAGCAATGTATTCTGCTTCTGTTGTAGATAAAGTGACACACTTCTGCAAAGTTAATCAATTAATGAATATTCAATTAATTATATTTATGGGAAATTTGCATTTCTAGTCTCCTAACTTTAGGTTGTATGGACTGTTAATTTTATTCACTTGCATATTTGATCTTGAAACTTACTAGCATAAATCTTTGTGATTTAAGGAATTTTTCAATTGTAAATGCACTTTGCATTACCCCATAAAAATGTAAATTACGTGAGCTTAGACATGGTGATACTATCCTAGTCCTAGATTTATATAAAGGGAGAGACAATATATACTACGTATTATATATTCTCTCCGTTTAGTTAAGATTGTCTCATCTTTTTTTATCAAGTCCGTCCCATTAAGATTGCTCCATACAACAATTTCAAGCAAAGTGAAAAAAACATACCGACTAAAGGTGAGAATAGGCTAGGTGGCCTACATATATGTAGTATATATTTTGTTATATTTACATTTATTTTATTTTATTTTTACTTCGAGGGTCTGGTGAGGGGGGCTGGGAGGCCTGCAGTAATCAGGGCTGAAACTCATTCCATTGAGTTTCAAACCCTTATGTGCCTAGCGGGTTTCGAACTCGAGACCTCCCACTAGGCACGATAACCTCACAACCAGCTGGGTTGGAATGCTTGATTATATTTACATTTATTTGTATTACTTATATTTATATAAGTATATTTAACTAGCAAACTAGTCATACTATTTTGAATATATAAGATGTGTTTTAGGGTCATTGAAATTCAACGTTTTTCAAGATTTCAAGTACGTAAAAATTTATAAGCTATATACCTAACATATTTTTACATTAAAATAACTAATGTATTATTAGGTTTTTAGTGACTAGTTTGGAGGGTAAACTTTATCATATAAAAAGGTTTATCATTTATCATTTTTTATTTTTTTCTTAACCGTCCTAGTAAATTGATTCAAGGTCAGGCCATACTTTTGAACAAGCTAGACTCAGGCTGAAAAATATGCATTTGACAGGTAACACCGTAACAGGTCATGCTCACTTGCTCAGACCTTTGTATACTAAAATAGGCCTGATGCCCTGATCTGTTTAGACAATAGCCTCACTTGACCTCCACCCCTAACTCCATCCATTAGAATCCTTAGGGTATTAGTTTATTAACTTTTGGAAGGACTTTTGAAAAATTTGCTTTGGAAAATAAAGAGGGAGAAAGACCAAAAATGACACTAAGGTTTTTAACGAATCTCGGATTAGACATTAAAGTCTTAAGTAGATCAAATAAACCCAAAATTATAATTTTTGGGTCCATTTTGACCACCTTTAACGCTAACCCTTCCCATTCCTTAACTCCCTATCCGATTAAAGTTGGGAACAATGGAGGTCGATCGCCCTGCCTAGAAGATTACCTCCGGGTCACCGCCTCGCCGTCGAAGCCGCCGCTGCGTCAAAGCCTACCTCATTACCCATCGCAGGCTTCACCATTGCAGAATCGCGACATCACCGAAGCTATAGCTACCACCGTTCGATCTGGAGCATCTCGCCGGCAGCTAGGGGTGGGCGACGATGCGACTGTAGGCAACGCCAATAGGTGATGGGACGGTGTTAGGCTGGTGACGAGGGCTACGAGGCTGAGAGGGGGTTGCGAGGGGGCTGTGGCTAGGGTTCGGGAGGGGGTTGGTTTGGGAGGCTGGAGATGGATGGTCGGAGCTCGGGCTAGGGAGGTGCGGATCGGGGTTTGGATGCTCAGATCTGGAGCTGGGGAGGTGGCAAGGACGGGACATGGACTGGGGCTTGGGAGGGGCAGGGTGTTGGACTGGGGTGGGGCTTGGGCTAGTGTGGAAGTCGCTTGCAGGGGGCTTTTGGAATGAGGAGTTAACGACGGGGAAGGCTACTTTAACGGAGGCGTTAAAGGGTGGTCAAAATGGACCCAAAAACTATAATTTTGGGTTTATTTGGTCTACTTAAGACTTTAGTGTCTAATCCGAGATTCGTTAAAAACCTTAGTGTCATTTTTGGTCTTTCTCCCTACTTTTGTGTTTATTTGGTCCACTTAAAACTTTAGTGTCTAATCCGAGATTCATTAAAAACCATAGTGTCATTTTTGGTCTTTCTCCCATTAAATAAAAATATTATAGATGACTTGAAAATTGGCTTTGAGAGGAGTGTAAGATCTTAAAAGTATCAGCCTTATTTTTATTGAAATAATTTCATTTTCGAGCCTGTGATTTTTGTGTCAATTACACATTTAATTCACGTCTTTTACTTTGTCTACTTTGATACTTGATTGATGTTTCTTGATCCTTGTGATTCATTTCTGCAATTTTAATCATCAAAAATATTGACGGAAGGATCATGTATAAATGAAAAGAATCCTTGAATCCTTGCTATACGGCTATACCTACTGCCCGCGTGAATGCGTGGTCATACATTAATACGCACGAAAGCAAATATAAATATACATAAATAAACAATTCTCCGTAAGATATGTATCTCATGGCACCATTTTGTATATACCCGCACAGGAATCAGAAGAGATGTACTCTCTCCGTCCCTTATAACTTTGCCAACTTTCTTTTTTGGATGTCCCACTAACTTTGCCACTTTCCCTTTTAAGTAAAGAATTTGTGGTTCCAGTTCATTCTCTCTCCTCTGCACAAATCTTAACCACACAGTTTTTACTTTATTACTTCTCGTGCCCGTCAAACTTGGCAAAGTTATTAGGGACGGAGGGAGTATGTGATATCGGGAACGAAGGAAGAAGAAAGAACGAATTCTTTTAACAAGCATCTCTGCTGATTTTTACGTAATTTACTAATTTTACGACATTATACTATTGGCCTTCTGAAAGTAGCAACAATGTATTATCAGCACACACTCCTCTTCCGCGATCGTATCTTCTCCAGGTTTGTGATTTGTCTTTTTGTTTCATGCTATTAAGATGTTATTATTATTATTGGACATGACTTTTTGCTGAGTCAGAACAATAAATAATAATTCCTTAGTCAACACGGAAAAGAGCGATTTTACTATTGATTTTAATACGAGAAAGGTCACAATGTTAATGTCATTTTCAAAATCCTAATTTTAATCAAAAATCTTAATATGACACATCTTTGGAGAATTTTGTTTGTTATGTTATTAGGCTGGAGCTTCATAGGTGGGTATGCTTGTGCAAAGTCCCAATTTGGATCATGTTTTGACCTAGTGCATTCTACATCTTGTGGCAATAATAAGGACTATAGGGTTTCCTTTTGCATCATTTGTCCTCTTGTGAGGTTTCAATTTTATGATACATATCAATGATACGATCTCATTTCACTTTATTAGTATTCAAGGGAAGGATATGTGAGCTGCAGCAAACCACCTTAAATATATACTTGTTGATTCAATATTTTGGTGTTGAATCATATGTGTTCATATATAGGGTTATTATAGCTACCTGCACTGATATGCGTTGGCTTAATTGCTTAATAAGTCTTGTCCTGCTGGAATCCACATATTCTGCCTTTTGAAGACACTTTCTTTAGGAGAAGTTGAAGAACTACTAGTGGTTATCTCCCACTGGCTGGGATCTATATTAAATCTGTCCATTCAGTGATCTTGATTATTTGTAAATATTATTTTTCATATTTTATGTGTATATTTTGTGAGTGTGTTTCTCATAAGCCTTCTCTCTCATTTCATGCACAGGCCTCATTAACAGAATTGGCTCGAGTAGCATATTATGTGCTCCCAAGAAGTTGATGAGAAATGGGATGCGAATGACTGAACGGCTTCACAATGATTCAACTTTTCATTTCATTTTTAAAGTTGCTAAGCAGCTCTACTTATAGATCTTATTTTTTTGGATGGCTAGTTACAGTAGCATGTGGGCTTTATGTGGTTATATTCATGTTTCTTAAATGGAAGCGGAAGACATCCATCAACTGGGTTAAAGCTGCTGCTAGAGCAAAGAAGCAAGCCTGGAAAAAGTTGAAGGTCCCATTGTCAAAACACACATGGGTTGAAGATTTTGCTAACAACAGCAATCAGCCGTCCACATGTAGCGTTTGCCTTACATCCTTCGTGTCCCCGAAAAACATAGGCACAAAAGTCTCCTCAAACTCCTTAGTACATCGTTGCTCTGTTTGCGGTGTTGCAGCACATTTCAATTGTTCCCAGTTTGCATCAAAGGATTGTAAATGTATAGCACAGGCTGGACTTAGCAATGTGAAACACCATTGGGCGGAAAGATGGATTAAATTGGATGTAAGCCCTGAGATGTCTTCCTTTTGTTTTTACTGCGACGAACCATGTGGTATTCCTTTCCTTGATGTATCTCCCACATGGCACTGCTTATGGTGTCAACAACTCATACATGTGAAATGTCATGCTAAGATGTCTGAAGAGTGTGGTGATGTTTGTAATCTCGGTCCTCTTAGGAAACTTATTCTCTCTCCACTCCATGTAAAAGACATAGAAGCTGAAACATCTTTTTCCGGGGCATTGAGTCAAATTTCAGAAAAAACAGTTACCCCTTCAATTCATGGTCAAAGCAGAAGAAAACGCAATCGCACCAAACACGATAGTAACCATATACTCAATGGTAAGCAGCAGCACTCATCACATGTGACAAAAGCACTTGATTTCTTTCTTAATGGTCTTACCCTTCTGAAGAATTCCAATAGTGAGAAAAGGGACATCAATTTCTCTGGTAGTGAACTTCTTGATAAAAATGGTATGAAAAAGGGATTGATTCGGAAAAAACATGAAAATATTGTCCCAGGCCAATCAAAGAAGTACGCTCTTGTGGATTTACCGCAAGATGCAAGACCACTTTTAGTTTTCATTAACATGAAAAGTGGAGCCCAAAATGGTCCTTCCCTTAGGAGAAGGTTGAACATGCTATTGAATCCTGTACAGGTAAACTTGCATATATATTCTTTATGTCGATTATTATGCAATGAGTTGCTCTTTGGAGACACGAATTACTTATAATTGACACTGCTAGTGTTTTTGTTGATGTAATTACTTAGTGTTAGTGATTTGTTTCCTTTTTTGTTTTTAGGTACCATGATATCTAGCATCAGGGTGCCGTAGTATTAGGAATGTGCATCATCATCATGATAATTATTGTTATGATTATTATTATAACTATAATATGTGTAGTTTTCTAGAGCACTATTATAGATCGATATACTGATATTTAATATCTGCAGTCGGGATTCTGTCGTGTATATTTGGATGGGGTGGTTATGCTTCACGCTTCTTGTCCTTGTGTTAATGCCCAAGCTCGAAACATTGCTTAAGTTATGCTTAAATCACATATATAGTTGATAGGCTTATATGCTTAAGTTGACCAGGAGTTGTATATACGTATTTCCACATAACTGCTTAAAATTAATAGTTGCATCCATTTATCCATAGGTTAATATTCATCTAATTTGTGTTGTAGATTTTTGAACTCAGCTCCTCACAAGGGCCTGAAGAATGCTTAGATTTATTCAGCAATTTACAACATTTTCGGGTGTTGATTTGTGGTGGGGATGGGACTGTTGCTTGGGTCCTTGATGCTATTGAGAGTTATAACTTTCAGTCACCTCCTCCAGTTGCTGTCCTCCCTTTGGGAACAGGAAATGATTTGTCAAGGGTCTTACAATGGGGAGGCAGATTCTCAATGGTCGAAGGGCGGGGTGGTGTTGGAAACTTTCTCTATGATTTGAACAATGCAGCGGTCACAATGCTAGATCGCTGGAGAGTTGATATATCAGATGAGAAATCATTTGTAGATACCAAACAAGTGAAGCCAAAGTTTATGATGAACTACTTAGGTAATTCAAATTTACACATGTTCTCCTATGATGGTCTTTTAACGGTGCTATTCTATGCCTACGGCTTTATATATACTAATTATTGCTAATGACTTTACTTTGTCTCTTTCTGATATGTGAAATTGTCTTGTTTGTGAAACAACTCTAGAGCCATATAACTTTTATGACCCTCTTGTTGTAGGTATTGGATGTGATGCAAAAGTTGCTTATGAATTTCACATTAACAGGGAAGAAAATCCAAATAAGTTTTACAGCCAGGTAATCCAAATAAGCATTTTATTGCAAGCTCTTGTAGACAAACTTGTAGGTGAAAAGATTGTAAGAAAGATGTTTCTTTTCCTTTTGAAGTAAGAATTATCAAATATTAAAAGACTAAGAATCATTTTCCAAATAGTTGAAGTATGCAAGTATATATTTACTCTGTTTCACACGATAATAGTTTAATATATTTTTTCATCTAAACATTGAAGTTGTATTCACATATGTCTGTTTCTGTTTCATTTTTTATTGCTTAGAGAATATAGTAAATTGATTTTTCTTCATGTGGTTTCATTAATTTAATTCTGCAACAGTTTGTAAATAAATTACGATATGCAAAAGAAGGTGCCAAGGATATAATGGACAGAACTTGTGCAGATTTGTCATGGCAAGTATGGCTTGAAGTAGATGGGAAGGACATACAGATTCCAAATGTATGTTATTCATAGTGTTGAGTCAGGTTCTACTCAGGTTTATAAGTATTACTACTAGTTTTGCTCATACTTTATTTTTTTTGTTTGTTTCTGTTTAGGATGCTGAAGGGTTGATCGTGCTTAATATTGGAAGCTATATGGGCGGAGTTGATCTCTGGCAAAATGATTTAGAGCATGACGATGACTTTGAGCACCAGTCCATGCATGATAAAATGCTTGAAGTTGTTTGTGTTTCTGGAGCGTGGCATCTTGGCAAACTTCAGGTTTGTGGTATCCTTGTGTTTTTAACTCTTAAATCATACTCCGTATAAATTTGGTTTATTTGATTTCTTATTTATTCGAAGATTTATTGTCTGCCTTAAACTCAAATTAAGGTCGAGTCTAGTTATTTAATCGTGAAACTTAGTTTTGTTTACGAAATTAAACAAAAATTACAGTTATTAACTCACTCTTCCACTTGTTTTGACAAGGAGGCACGAATGTCAAAGGCTTTGTGTATGCATTTACTTTTTATAGATGATAGTAATTAGGTACTCCCTCCATTTTCTATCAACTGTTTATAGCTATCTTAATATATGCATAACAAAATATGTCATTACTTTTAAAAGCCTTTGCAAGCTGTTGTTGGCTAGTCACGTGTGCCTTGACAATCTTTTACTTTACGTCTTTACTTAGTATTAAGTTTTATCCTCTTCTCCTACATACCGGTGTGCTCAAACTTGTTGATTTTTTAGGTTGGGCTTTCTCAAGCAAGAAGACTAGCCCAAGGTGGCACTATAAGGATACACATCTCCAGTCCTTTCCCCGTTCAGATTGATGGGGAACCATTTATACAGCAACCAGGGTGCTTGGAGATCACGCACCATGGACAGGTATATGTTGATGCTGCTCACTAAATCTATTGATGCTAATAACGGTTCATTCATTTTCTCATATTGACAACTTGATATTTTCTAGAGATTCAGAACATTAGCTTTCAACTTTTTGTTGGTAATCACAAGTCCCTTTTGATAGTCACTTTTACCTTATTTGGTTTATCTGCTTCACCAGGATAAGCATATAGGGTAGCTTTTTAGTAGCTTCCGTTGTTTCATCCAAACAACCCTTATCAATCGGCTCATAACTTATACTTGACATATGGACTAAAGATTTTGCATTTAGAAATCAACTTTAGCCAAAGACATTTGAAATACATTTACTATAACTTCTATGTCTAAAACGACTTCTTAGAGAAAAAATGAAAACATTTTTTGGCAAGATTTTTTAACTTGAGCTTTCCCCTATGTGTGTGTTCCGTATATTTGTTCGTGTATGTGTATGTGCATGTGTGCGCGCACGTATGTGTGTGTGTATCAATGCATCAAAAGTGGTGGAAAGTAAAAAAAATGATTGTTTGGGGGTCTGGTCTGTAGGTGTTTATGTTGAGAAGGACGTCAGGGTTGGAGGGGAGAAGAGGGCATGCAGCAGCCATAATGACAGAAGTACTGGTGGATGCTGAGTGTAAAGGTGTGATTAGTGCATCTCAAAAGAATGCACTTCTTCAACAGATTGCCCTTCAGCTTTCTTGATTCTTCCTACCATCCTCTCCTACTACTTGTGGTCTGGCTTAGCCCATGCCTGCCTATACACAAGTTAAAATTTTGTGTTTAGAATACTAGTCTTCCTTTAATACTTACTAATGATGATGCAGAATTTTTGACAATATTATATGTACACTAGGTGATTTCTTGAAAGTTTAGATCTTCTAGTGAGACTGTGATCCAAAAGACCAGAGGTGTGTAAGAAGAAAGTTAGTGTGAAAAATATATTATGCACTTATCAGGTTTCTCCGGGAAGAGGTCTGATGAATAAGAACTACATGGAGATTTGGCGAACATTTGGTACCGACTGATTTTAGCAGAATAGATCAATGAAAAAATTGCAACTTGTTGAATAATATTGTTAATTTGTTATACTTTGGAAAAAGAGGAATTTATTTGATTAATAAGGATTGTTCTAGACTATACTTTTTCATTTATTCATTTATGTTTCAGAACTCGTTTGGTATCCCATATTTTCATCCTATCAATTTTATCGATCAATTTTTTTATCAAATACAAAACTTTTGATTTTGGGTGATGAAATCTAAATAGTTAGGTTGAACATTTCTGACTGGATTGATTGAAATTACTTTATATGATCATTTTAATCAATTTTTTATATGATTTTTTCTTAACTTTTTTAATCAAAATATAGTTTCATTGTCTTCAGTCAGAATTTCATCAGTTTTAATAGATTCAGTCTATTTTCAACGTTACTAAACAAGCTCTTATTGTAATTGAATTGGGGAAAAAGAATTGTTCAAACCAATTGTGTTAATTCCTCTAAAATGGGTTGGATATGTGCTTTTTAGTTTTTAATAGGTTTAAAACTTACTCCCTCCATCCCGAATTGAATTGCAAAGTTTATCTGGCATAAAAACTAAGTCAGAGTAGGAATAAAAGCTGGCTTTACAATTTTACTCTTTCTTTCATTCCAAAAGGACGAAAATCTAACCTGATGTGTAAGAAATGACATTTCAAAAAAAAAGTACAACTATTACAGGGTTTTATAGTACAAGTTCAATTAAAGAAAAGTAATTTGTCCATTATAGTACGTAAAATCAAGTGTTTTGCCAAAATGGAGGGAAGCACTTCACTTCTTCCCAATTTTCACACTTTTCGTATGGAGTGTGAAAATGGAGGGAAACACTTCATTCCATGTTTTTTGACAAATGATTTAAAGTTCAATAATAACCTATGATTAGGTATTTGAATTTGGAGGGATGCATTACAAGATGGAGAGAGACTGGTACAATAAAAAAGAAATTTAAACATTTCACTTTTCCCACTATATTACAAAAATGACTATTTCTATAAATACACAACCATATGAAACACTCCCAACACTTCTACTGCAATCTCCTAACTCCTAAGCTTATTTTTCTACCCCTGCAACTTCCTGATATGGCCCAAAGCCATCTCCTTCCTTCAAGTAACTTGCACTTCTAATTTTGCAAATCAAATTGGAACGGAAGGAGTAAATCGGATTGGGAATGAGTTTACCAAATAAATGTCTCAATCCCACCCTTTACTTTATCGGGAATCAAAATTTGGCAAGAAATGTGAACTATTCCTATTCTTTGACAAACGATTTAGAGTTCAATAATAACCTATGATTAGGTACTTGTTTATGCAAGAGTTCACACATATACCAGTAGGGAAAGTTACTCTAACAGGAGTAAAAAATGTTTAAAATTTCAACATAGGACTGATATGTTTTTCTTCTCGAAATAAGAGTAACATGACAGTATTTACTACCGTCTTCGAATCATTACTGTCAAATAGTTGTAGTACTAGACATTAACATGACAGTATTTATAGCCATTAATGGCAATATATTTCAATCATGACAGTAATCATTCCTATTTCGTAAAGAAATATAGTAGTCCTAATTTAGAATTTGAAAATTCAAAAATGATGTTTGTACTCACTCTTATACCCACTTTTGTACCCACCCATGTTTGTGAAAGTTTTTTTGTCTGTGAACATCGATTCACAGACAATATTTTGCACAAACAAAATATTGAATTCACAGACAAAAAATACTTCACAAACATGGTAGGTATAAGGTGGGCATAAGGGTGAGTACATCAAGCATTGTTGTTGAAAATTTGTTTACTCCTATTTAAGACAATTTCTCATACTAGCAACATTAAAAGAGCTATTAGTCCTACAAAAAGTTTAATAAAAAATTCAATGTTACTCTTTTTAAAGCATGAAATATTTAGTAAAAAATTCGATATAGTAGAACAAGGGGCTTTTTCCTTAAATATTACCTAATTGAAGCTAATTTCCGAAAAATGACCATTTTTATAAAAGGACGAAAGTGTGATTAAGGTCACACATATGGAAAAACATGATGTCACTATTTTTTAATGTCATTGAAAGATTTTTATTTCACTATTATACATCACTATCAGATTTTTTGTCAGTATTATATGTCACTATCAGATTTTTATGTCATTTTTTAATGTCACTATAATCGTCGAAAAATTTTCCGGCAACCTTTTCTGGCGAAACTGTGCACCGCCACCAGCGCCCTCGCCAGTCAGATTTTTCATGTCACTACGATTTTTTTGTGTAACTATGATTTGCACTGTCAATTTTTAATGTTACTTACCAATGTCACTGTTATCGAAAAACATGTCACTATAATCGTTTCCGCTCAGTAAAATTGTTGGCCCTAACACCGCGGTCGATCAGCCAACACCCCGTCAATGACAACCCACCGCCCTTACTGTGACCACACTAGCCCCTCCCCAGCCCACCAGCTCCCCTCCCCATCCCACCAATCCCCTCCCCCCAGCCTACCAGCTCCCTACCCAGCCCATTCTCCAGCCCCCAAACCCCCCTCCCCAGCAATTGCCGCCCATTCCCTGCCCCAGCCCTGCCACAACCTCTTCAATTCTAGCCCCTCCTTCAACATCTCTTCCAAACCAACCATCTCAGTCACAAACTTCAGCAAACAATTTCAATTGCAAAATCCTCCTCTTAATCCCAATTAACAAAAACCAAACCCTAATCTCGTTCTCGTAATCCCCAATCTCAATTATTGAAAACTAATCAAGTCATTTCCGATGATCCTGATCAACAAAAATAGAAGAAAACGTTTAGACGACCAGGTGCAGAGGTGATGAAGAGGAGAGCGATGGGGCTAACGATGAAGAAAGGGGAAGAAGTTGCAGCGGCGGGGTAGCCGATGTCGCCATAGCTCTTCGTCACCGAATCGATGCAGAAGAAGGATGAAGGCTGGTCTCCATCTTCGTCGCAGGTTCTGGGCGCCATCTTCTTCCCAAGGGTCTGGCTGCCACTTCGCCACAGGGTTGCAATTGTCGAAGAATTATGGGTAGCGCAGAAGACGACAGTAGACGGAGCGGGGGAGAGAGAGAAGGGATAATTATTTATTTTAACATGTCACTTTTTTGTCCAGGTAAAAACATATCATATTTTTGTCCATCCAAAGTATACAAATAATATTGATGTCATTCTTTCTAGAACAAATTCATTTTTCTTTCATTGATTACAATTGTTTTGAGATGTAAAAATGCCTAAAGCAAAATAAAACTTGTAATCCGAGGAATTAGGAGTGAGATTTTAGAATCAGAACTGGAGAGTCGATTAGAATTGAACCATTATGCGCTGGTTCGGTTTGTATTGTCTTTTACGTAGTACTACCTTCGTCCCACTAACATTGAGACATGAGGAGGTGACATGGTTATTAAGAAAAATGAGTTTATGTGGTTGATGTTGAATTGAAAAGATAAGAATAAAGTAAAAAAGATTTAGAGCGACACAAACTTTACGAAAATGGGTATGAGACAATTTTAGTGGAATTTTCTGACCCTTAATCGTGATTTGTGATTCCTACTAAATACTATCCTCCGTTTCATAAAAGTTGCAACAGTTTGACTTTCACGTTTGTCAACGCGCAACTTTGACTGTAATTATATTTATTTACGTATTAGTAAACATTAAAAAAAGTTAGTATATTGGAAATTTACATTAATACAAATTTACTAATATTTTAAACATAATATTTTTATTATATACGGAGTATATTATTAGAAAATCGTAGTCAAAGTAAGGTGTGTGAATAGTGCATAAATTGCAATGTTGCAACTTTTATGGAACGGTGGAAGTATGTTCTAGCAGAACCATCATTGCATGTTATATAATATACTTATATTTACTTTTGTATTTATATTAATGTTCATGTATATGTAAATACTAGCTTTCAAGCCCGTGCGATGCACGGGCAGTATGTAATTTAGTTAATTTGAATTTTAATTTCTATCGGATCACATTTAATTTACTTTAATAGAAAAATAAACATAGTCTAATACAGAGTCTGTTTGATAATACTAAAGTAAATAGAATTAACTTATTTTGCTAAAATTGATTGAATTCTGGTTAAATAGGTGGAATCTTCTGAATCATGAAAAATATATGTGAAATATATTCCATTTGTGAAACAAAGAAAAATATACATGAAAAAAAAGTTAAATGGGTCTTCTACATAAGCATCTCAAGTAAACATAATTGTTATGAACCCAATAAAAAAATCTATATTTTTTAATTGTTAGATCTTACAGTTTACTCATTAATAAGAACATTTTTAATTGAATTAAAATTTCGGGTTTGATTTGGTATGAATTAATATAGTCTATTAGATGTCTGTTTTCTATGTGACTTATTGTTATAATTATTAAAGTTTGATCTGATCTGATTTAATCTGGAATTGAAATCAATCTAATTAAAAACATTCTATTAAAATAAAAATAGGAATTCGTAAACCTATAAAGATTTTCTAATTTGGATTAGGAATCTATTTCAAAAGTGAAGACATATTTGAATTTTAGGTGTAAAATAAAGAAACAACCAAAAAAATTTACTTATTTGGCTAAGCTAAACATATTTACTTGTGAAAATATATACACTTTATGTTGGTTATACTCCCTCCGTCCCGTTGGAATGTTCCCGGTTTGACCTACACACATATTAAGGAAATAACCTTACCAGGGGGTAAATTTTATTGTTTTGACACTGTTTCGACACTGTTTGGCACTGTTTTTGACACTGTTTTGACATTGTTTGACCTTGTTTTGATGTACGATAACTTTCCATTTAGGGAAATGGGAACTTTCCAACGGGACATCCAAAAAAGGAAAGCAGGAACATTCCAACGGGACGGAGGGAGTAATTTTTAATTTCATTTTTAATTATTTACTTATTTGAAGCTTACCAATTTATTAATAGGTGTCAAATTAATAAGTAAACTAATTTGCATACTTGTTTCTATTTAATTCGGTATAGTAAACTAATATAAATTAGTTTCCATATCAATAAACGTTATTAGAATTTACTTCGATAACCAAAAATTATTTTACTTATTCAAAGCTTACCAAATTAATAAGGTGGATTTATAAGGATTTTTGTTTCTGCAATCAAAAATAGAATCTAATAAAAACAAAAGGTATAAAAATAAGTAAATAATTGTTATATATAATGGATATGACATGGCAGGATTATGTGGCGCTTTGTATGCTCTTAAAAAGTTCCTCTTTTATATATATATTGATTAATGGAAGAATACCAAATATATAATTAAAATAAGGATAGTGTACACAAATGTGATTTGATAATTTTTAGTGACTATAATTATGTTTAAATCTTACGCAATGACTATAAAAGTGTACTTAAAGTCACTTTCGTCACACTTATATCTACATGTTTTTTGTAATATTTTAGAAAAACATGTCAGTAAGAGAAAACTGTCCAAACTAAGACTAAAATATAATCTTCTTCAAAAATAGGATCATATGTTTGGTTTTCCTTGAATAGGACAAATCATTCCATTTCTACCCCTAATTTAGTAAATTATTTAATTAATCTAATTAATTGCCCTCTAGTTCCCTTGCATAACCAAATCAATCTTTTGTTGGCAGGATCAGTCCGTGGTGGCGGAAGCAGGCCCCGAGGACGACGAACAACGGCAATCACGTCAAATTTTCTAGCAGCTCGCCGGAATTTTTCTGGAAATATTCTTGCGGCAGTCCAGTGACGTGGGGGACAACAATGCTCCATCCCTTTGAGGGCCTTTTGATCCAATCATAAATAAAAACTAGTTGGTCATATTTTTTGACAGAAGCTCCTAAATTGTTTTGTAAAGTTAACATTTTTTGGCTAATTAACGTTAAAGTTAAATCCTTCTTATTGATAATTAATTCAATTTCAATAATTAAAATTTACATATTCAGAAAATATATTAAAATCTCTATAAAGTTGCAAAGTTCAAATTAAAAATATCCTAATTAATTGAATAAAATGAATCTGTTTGACTAAAAAAATCAATTTTAAAACTCGATTTGAAACGAAAGGTATGTTCTAGTCCTATGCTCCTATTAAAGCTAATCTCCTCAGTATTAATACTAATATTATTTTTATGTTTATGTTTATTGTTTTGTTTATGTTTATGTGTGATATAATGGACTTCCGATTTCACAACCCTTGCATCTTAAGAGGATCAGTGGAACATAATCCATCAAGAGTTTTATTGGGCTGTTAGCATGATTCCATTTGGCCCAATCATGAGACGTCTGACTGAGTAGGGTTCTGAGAAGCCCCTCTTAAAACCACACCCGTCGCACAAACATCCAAGCCGAGGAGAGTGAAGAGGAGGGAGGGATCGGAGCTTGGCTAGAAGATGGTTACCTACAAAGTAAGATTACATATTATTATCTGTTTATGATTCAGGATCAACCGTAAACATATCTTATGTTTTCATATTTTCCGGCTGAAAATGACGGCGAGTGTGTTTACTCTTTGCAGTTCCACCAGTACCAGGTTGTCGGTAGAGCTCTCCCATCGGCGTCCGATGAGCAACCAAAGATTTACCGCATGAAGCTCTGGGCCACTAATGAGGTCCGTTCCAAGTCCAAATTTTGGTAATAGCCCCAACCTCCTCTTTTTGTAATAGAATCGTTAACGCTCGACTCGTACGCTCGCGATATTGTTTGTATTTAATTTTTTCTTTGTGTATTTATACCTTTCTACAAACAAGGTATTTCTTGAGGAAGCTGAAGAAGGTGAAAAAGTCCAACGGTCAGATCCTAGCTATTAATGAGGTATTTCGATACTAATAGGGTTTGATTATGTAGGTCATTGATCAACTTGTAGCATTTAACTGTGACATTTTAACCTTAAGAATGCGGACCAGCTAGTACCAGCTTGTTATCCAAGTAGCAGATCAATTGAAATGTGTTTAGTTTGTCTCATCTGGTGGTTTCCTCTACTTAGTTCTTACATCTGTATGCATTTGCCTAACAATCCCATAACTTGTTTGATTACATTCTTAATTTCAAAATATTCCCACTGTACATATAAGCTTTTAATCTACAAAAATTACTTTGGCCATGGACGTAACAATAGATTGTGTACATCAATCCTTAAATGTGTTCTTCATTGCTTCAGCAATTTCCCTCCTGGTCTTCTCTGGGTTATACAGAGCACATAAGGATCATGAAAAAAGTATTATTTCCCATCTTTGGGGACCTAATCTGGCCATTCAAAGATTATGTCCATTTTGAATTTAGGTTTGCCTATTTCGAGTCTGTTAAAACTAGCGGTGAGCATGGGATGGTACGGGATGGTTATTTAAAAAAAACATGTCTCGTCCCAAAGTACGGTTCTTTTAAAAATTAAAGAACTTGTACCGTCCCGAATATGTATAGAACCTGTCCCGTTCCGTACCAATTTTCAGTACGGTTCGGTACGGTTCTTCAATACTATTTGATTCCTAAATAATGAACTCCCACAAAGTAAAAAATCTTTTAGGTTTAGCATGAAATAAATAATTGTAGAAAAATTGAAGAGAAGAGACTGCAGAATTGAAATCTAACATAACTGAAATACAAAACTAATAGTCAAACTAAAATAAAGAAAGGTAACATTCAACTAAAAAACAAAAGTGATAGTCATCCATTCATTCATCATCATTACCCTAGTGCTGCAAAGGCTCCCACCTAAGGTGGAGTAAGGGGGTCGGATGTACGCAGTCTTACCCCTGTATCAAAAGTGATAGCCAAACTGAAAAAACAAAAGGTGTGTCATCACCAAGGTTTAAAAAGACGGGTTCGGGTATCAAGGCGGTTTGTTTCTAAGAGGCAAGGCGTAACTTGTAAGCCTTGAGGTGTATTGAGGCGTAAGCCTCAAAATATATACTAGTATAGACATATAAAACTTGAAACATCAACACATACGTAGTATGAGTTAATACCTGTAAGTCATTATAATTCAAACACACAAAGAAACGCCACACACAAACAGACATCACACACAGAAACATCACACACAAACTGAAAGATGAATAGAAAGTAAACGTTAAGGACTTACGGGTTAAATGAATTAAAGGCTTTTTAGGGTTTAAATGAATTAAGACTTGTTAGGGTTTAGTGCGGTCACATGTTTAAATACTGGACTTCTATTTAAAAAGTACTCTGGACCTTTTATTAAATGAAATGCATTGGGCCTTTTTTAAGTTAGTGCACATTAAAAACAGGGAAACAAAGGAAAATCGCCTCAAAAACGCCTCAGGGCGTGCCTAAGGCGTACACCTCTTAACCTGCAAAAAAACCTAAGCCCCGATACCCAATGTGTGCCTCATCTTGAGATGCGCCTCAAAAACCGCCTCTACAGTGCCTTTTTAAACCATGGTCATCACATGAAAAATAAAACCAACTTAATAGTTATTACTACTTTGCTAGTACTTGTAGGTTCAAGTGTTCCTTAAAATTTAGTATAATTGTATTGGGCCCAAAGTTTTGAGGAATCAAAGTGTAGATTAATAACTAATATAATATATAATATAATATACTACGTAGTATTATATAGAGCCAATATTTTGGGACATTATGGGATGGTTCGGGACGGTTCGGTTCAATACAGATCCGGAACAGTTCTGGGACGGCTCTCACTTAAGAACCGCTACTGTACCATATTATTAAAAATGTTTAGTACGGTAAGGTATGGTGTTATATTTTTCCAGTACGCTCTGTTCTGGTACAGTTCGGGACGGTTCTTGGTACGGGATGGGAAATCCCAGATCCATGCTCAGCCCTAGTTATAATCCAGAGAAGAGATAACATAACATTACCAAATATGAACAAGAGTGAATTGCACAAATAGGAGTAAAACTGGGCTAAATTCAAAAATAGGACTACATAGTTTCAAATTCCCTAAATAAGACTAATTGTGTGTGTTTGGACAAATATGCCCTTTAGCTTTTTGAATCTGGTCATTCAAAGATTATGTCCATTTTGAATTTATGTTTGTCTAAGTCGAGTCTGTTAAAACAAAAAACATTAAGTTTGAAAATTCTAGTGTAACATAATGATAACAAAAGTCTCTTGTAATCTAGAGAAGAGATGACATAACATTACCAAATGCTAACAAGAGTGAATCGCTCAAATAGGAGTAAAATTGGGCTAAATTCAAAGGACTATCTTGTTACAAATCCCCTACACAGGAGTACTCAAGTTTTTCTGACATTTCTGATTAATGTAAAACAACAGAATAAAATACAAATATTTTGTGACGAGTGTTGTATTTTATTGTCTATATACATAGTATAATGTATTATTATAGTTCAGTGTATTAGTAAAATTTTGGATTTTAGGCCAAACCAGACATAATTTGTAACCGTTGAATGCTTGTTTGATTTTTGGTGTTTTGCCAACAAGCTTCTCACTAGCGAGTCCGGTCATATGGTGTGCTGTTTCTATGTCATTGTTGGGTGATTATTTGTGTATATACACAGATCTTTGAGAAGAATCCAACAACCATCAAGAACTACGGGATATGGTTAAGGTATCAAAGCAGGACAGGGTACCACAACATGTACAAAGAGTTCCGTGACACAACCTTGAATGGTGTGGTTGAGCAGATGTATACAGAGATGGCTTCCCGTCATCGGGTCCGCCAGCACTGCATCCAGATCATCAAGACAGCCACCATCCCTGCCAAGCTCTGCAAGAGAGAGAGCACCAAACAATTCCACAATTCCCAAATCAAGTTCCCATTGGTCCTCAGGAAAGTCAGGCCTCCCAGTAGGAAGCTAAAGACCACCTACAAGGCTTCCCGACCCAACCTCTTTGTTTAGTGTTTGTCTTTGGCTAATGGTTTTTAGTTTTGGCAGCAGTTACTTGTTCAACTCCTTTTTCCAGAGAGGAATGATATTTAAGAAAACTATTGTTTGTCAACACAAGTGTTCTGCAGGTTTTAAACAGACTATGCAATCAAATTACAAGTGACTCATCTATCATTCACCTTTTGAAATTGGTATACCCATGACCCTGTGTGGGTCCTGTTTGGATTCTAATGAACTAACTTATTTTCATAACAACTTCAAGTCTTGCAAAGTTACCCCAAGTCCATGTTCACTCAGTTATCATTGCTAAACTTAATTAAGGGATGTTATATACTTATATTCAAATTATTTCAAGTTACCTTGAATTGGCTGTGCAAGAGTAATTTGGATTTGCTTTTATACTATCTGAAAATATAAAGTTCCTTGTGCTGGAATAAGATGTGGTAATGTTTTGCATCAGGTATTGCTATTTTTCTTTTGTACTGTCATTGTGGATTAGTCATTTGAACCAAAACATTTTAACCACAACTGTTAAATTGATGCAAATGTGTTTCTCTCTCACATATCCTTCCCATAAGGCCATAGGCACAAGGCCGTCAAAGAACATTAACATTTCATTAATTCAAGCCGTTGACAGTAGGGATAGTACTTTTGGTTTGGTTCAGTTCTTTGAAAGTCTGATCGGAACTGCCTGTTCTGGTTCGGAAATCCCATGGTTCCAGTTCGGAACCATTTTTAAATAAATAAACAAACAATACTAATAATAATATATTAATAATGGTAATACTAATAGTAGTAGTTATACTTGTGGTACGAACAATAAAAATAACAAATAATGACTATTAATTAGTAATTTTTAGTCATTACTAGTTACTACGTACTTATCAAGCTTGTTTATTTTATCCACAATAAAATGGTCATAACCAATTTTAAACTACGTAAATGATCTATACTTGTAACTATTTTAATCCTTATAACCACACATCCTTAATTCCCAATAACCTATTTAGGATTTTAGGTGCATCAAACTTGTTTATTTTATCTATGTGGATGGACTTTTATTTGATGAAATGATGCACGTGTAAAGTAGCAATTTTATAATTTACAGAGTATCGTATGTTAGCTTTAATTTGTCCTTTATAACGTGTACATAGCAATTTCAATTTTCAGAGGGAGTTTGATTTTACACATCTTTGGACTATGCTCTCCTTTTTAAAAATCTTTGATTTTACACATCATTTCGCTTAAAAATCCTTTGGTTTTGCACCTCTTTCACAAATTTTTCTTCACAAAAATTTATATGATGGGGTGGGTGTAAAGTCAAAGTTTTTTTGAAAATGAAGTGCAAAGTCTAATATCATTCAAAAAGTGAGGTGCAAAGTCAAATACCCCTTTTCTTTTACCCGTTTGGCGGCTCTTTTTTCCGGCTTATTAGGCTTATCGGCAAATATTTTTACCAAACACGTAACTTTTGATTTCGCGCGATGAATTATGTAATAATAAGAAAAAATAAGGTTGAAGTTACTTTTCTGACTGTATTGGCAGAAGTTGCTGTAGAAGATCATTTTAGCTATTTTTCATTTTTTATTTATTAATAAAAAAAATTAAATATATTTTTTCATAAATCAACAGAAACAACCAATGTAACCACTTCAGAACTTAATAAATTTCAACAGTCCAACTCAGCCAAATTCAATAACTTATATACACGTAGGAAATTTTGTTAACTACGTAGTATATTCCATTTTTTTTATAATTTTGGACTTTTGCTATATTCGGCCATTAGGGTGCCATTAATTTTTTATTTAGTTTGAAAATGTTATTATTTGCTGGCATACTTTATTTAATTTTAAATATATAAATGAGAATTAGGGCTAATTCCTACTCCGTGTAATGAATACTACTAGTACTATACTTAACCCAGATCTACTCATATAATGAAATTGATTGTTCTGAAAAACTTATATATCGATCACCCAGTCCTCCCCAACTCGTGCCAAACCTAGCTGGCAGTTGCCAATTAGGCATTTTATATGAAGTTTGAATTTCAAAATTCAATAGACCATATCCAAAAATAAAAAATAACTCGAAAACCAAAGTCACCCTTGGTCAGTAAAAGATAGTCAAGCTTGCAGTACATGATAATATTACTACTTCGAATGAATTTGTTATTGCATATCAGATTTTGGCACTAAACTTTTGAAGGTATATATGCATAGGTTATATAATGAACGTCAGTTGTACAATAAATTGATTCCAACTCGTTCAGCCACCAAATTAAACCTGCTGCTGCTTATCTCCTCTACTAAGCCAAGCACCTCGTTGTCTTTGGATGAGCTCCAACTCACGAAGTCGGTCATCCTCTTTACGCTGAAGTTCGAGAGCCTTTCTCTGGGCTTCTTCCACCCTCCTACGGTTCTCCTCCAGCATCTTGTCCAGTTCATCTCTCTCTTTCCTTGCTTGCTCCTGTTTCATTCCATTCATTTCACAACCATCACTCCCAATTAGGCAAATACCTCAAGGCTATGTTTGGATTGTCCAAAGTGAAATTTAAAGGAAAAATACCAAGGAAAAACATATTCTTGTGTTTGGTTTCAAACCAGAAATGAAAGGGAACACGTTTGATTAATGCTTTTCAAAATTTAAATAGATGAATTCAATGAGCTTGACACCTTGCTATGAAAAATAAATTTAGACTTTTGAACCAATGTTTTAGTTTAAGTGCGTTATTACTTTCCTTCAAAGTTTGCTCCCTATATTTTCCTCATTTTCTTTCTCTGGCCTTCTCTGAATTCTAACGAACACTAAAAGTCTGATAAGTCATGATACATTGGTGAAAAGAAGGTGTAAAGGTCAGAAATTGGTCGAAGATATAAATATAGAGGACATTTTGCACACATCTGTTGGGGTCATTTGATTTCAGAGAGAAGAAACAAATAATAGTTTCTTACTTCTTTTCGCCTTGCCTCATTGAGAGCATCTTCTTTTTCATTTCTAAGTTGAGCTTCAACATCTTCAAACAGTTTTCTCTGACCTTCTTCCACTCGTTTTTCAATTTCCAGTTTAACTTCGTCAGAAACCAACTTCTCCTCAACCCTTTTCCTTATTTCTTCCTCCAATCTATTTGCTGTCTCCTCTTCTAACTGCTTGAGCTCAGCCTCTAATTGAAGTCTAAAACAATTCACGTTAAGATTGTAAAAAGGCACAGCAATACAGCTTTGATAGTAAAAGAAGTAAGACACAACACAAGCCGCGGCAATACAAGCGGAAAATGACCTAATATGCACCAGGTTATTGTTAAATATTCCGTCCAGGCAGAAAACAAATCAATCCTGTTATCAAATGTTCTTTTGTCCCAAAAAAACCCTGCTTGGTCAATCGAAGCTCATCTTTCAAGTAATATCATTACTACTTTCTATACTTATAACCATTACCACAATACCACGACTCCAGAAACCATTTGGATTTGACTGAAGGAAATACAACCCGGTGATTTGTGTTAAAAACATAACTTCTCAACAAGTCTACACAAACTAACTAGTGTTAACTACTAATGATTTGGTGAGTTACTAATTTACTAGCATATCTTTGCTAGCAGCCACGGGCAGATCTAAGGTTTTTGTTCAGTTTTGACCTGATTAAGATAGAATTGAAGAAGTATAACAGGCATCAATTAAATCATGAATAAATAAATGAAACACACTGCCAATATTTCAAATATGATTTGGATTAACATCTATTATGCATCCTCCAATTTTTGCAAAATTTCAAAATTTAAAAAAAGATATACTCACTCTGTCCAACAATTTAGTTCATATGTTCACCTTTTTAGTCAAACTCTGTTAAGTTTGAATATGTTAGTGAAATGTTAATTTATTGTAGCTTTTCTAGGTATATTTTCTTGGAAAAAATCACATGAATAAATCCCAACTATCAGGTGTCTAGTGCCTTCCAATATTAATCTCAAATATGCATAATTCTAAAACAATACAAAGTTCATATGTCATCTTCTCAGATTGATCCCAGGCTACCTGAAATCTATTGAACCGGTAAAAACTAAAAAAAAGGTAAAAAAAAGGAATAGATGACGCTTCTTTGGACGGCTGAAACAACAGGCCCTTCATATACTTCTTTGGGGAAAGTTGGCCGACCGGCCAGCGAATGGAGGAGCATCTGGCACGGTCGGCAAGGAGGGGCAGACTTCCAATCTCTTCTCTCCGGCTCCATACTCTATTCGAATTGAGGTCCTGGACATGTTGATTTCCTCTTCACTCAATTGGGAATCTCCCATCGCTGGTGGAGTCGTGGAGACAAAGTTTGTGACGGCAACAATCTAAGGACGATGAAGCACATTCAGCTATCTCCCTTCTACCACCTATGACTCTGGTTTTGCTCTTCTCGACTATGTATGGAAATATTCCGGCCATCTCCCCTCCATGTATCTCTTCTGAATCTCATTCCGGCTGTTCTCCTCTCTTAATTCGAAAGAAAAGAAACCAACGGGGTGGTGATGAGAGAGTTGTGGTGTCTAGCAATCGATTCCATTTCCTTGGTTTTTGGGCCTAAAGCAGTAACCCGCCGGGAAGGGAAGCAGGGAGAAGGCACTGGAGCAACTATGGAAAAATTAAAAGAAAAAAGAGAATTACAAACAAAAAAGAAGTAGAAAGAAGGGAGAGTGGGAGAGAAGAGGGGAGGAAAGAAAAACGACGAATGAAAAGAAGGATAGTGCACACCAAAGAAAACTCAGAGACAACGGACGAAGCAGCAGAAAAAAGAGAAAACATATGGAGTAAGAAATAAAATAAGAACAAAAAAAGACTAATCCAAACATGCCACGTGCCTAGTGACCCACTGAATTGGTTTATGTAGGTCACCGCCGGGTTGTTTAGAGAAGATGACCCTCATACATTGAATTTTTTTAGAATTACATATATTTGGGATTAATAATAGAATACACCTGATAGTTGGGATTATTCGTGTGAATTTTTCCTATTTTCTTTTCTTTCCTTGAAAAAAGGTATATTTTCTTGAATAATGGTAAAATGTTGACGTCAAACCGTGAACTTCATTGGGGGAGTATAATAGATTGACAGGGGCCCAAACCCCCACTGGGGCCTTAATAGATCCGCTCCTGCAAGTAGAAGCAGGGTATGCCAGTAGAGGTCAGAACTCTGCAGAAACAACGTGATCGCCATACTAGCATTAAAATCAATTCAGCAGTCACAAACTGACTGCTGCCAATTTCTCAAATGAGATGGAGATCATAGAAAAAAAGAATCTTGATCATCCTTAGGCCACCTCATGGCTGTAAATGTAGATAAAAAAATTGAGGCCAAACTAGTGCATGAAACAGAATAATAAAACAAGGATATGGAATTCTTTTTAATAAATTAAATCAATACTGCATCAAATTCAGTGACGGATACCTTTTCTTTTCTTCTTCTTCCTTTTTAAGTTTCTCTGCTGCACTTTTAAGATCAGCTGATTGTATACTAGGGCTACGAGACTTGGGTGATGGAGAATCCAAGGAAGAACTTCGACTCCGTCTTCTCCTATGGCGTTTGGGTGTAGGGGAACGGCTTCTCCTGTGTCTCAAAGGTGGCGAACGACTTCTTCTCCTGTGCAATACAGGAAGTAAAAGATAAGAGATTAATTGATAACAAAATAATATTAAAGGAAGGAAGTGGTTACAGTTCCACAATTTCAGCAAGAAATTTTGAAGCATTTGATTAAGGAGTTGTTTGGTTGGGGATTTGGGAGAGAATGGATGGGAGGATTGCTTTTCATTCAACTAAATCTTTTATATCTGTTAATTTTAGACTAGAAAATAACAATATGTTTAGTCAAATAATTTGTTTCAATATAAGTATACATCTTCACTTTCTTTCCGATCATCAAAACGTGAATTGACATAGTGAATATCACACACACACACACACCCCTTCCCTCCTCTTTGAAATCTCTCAGCCAGATAAAGCTACAGGATCTATAATTTCCCACCAGCTCTCGACTATGCTATAACTTCTACCTTAAAGTATATCTGTCTCCTTTTGTGCTCTACCAACTTAGCAATTATGTCATACATTCACATACAGTGTTCAAAGCCACATTGACATTCATAGGTATGAGGGGTTGCTCAATTGGAATTTCATGATACGTAAAAAACTCCTACATAAACTTAACTAACTACGCCCAGATCATGATACGTAACAAAGGTTGTCATGGCGTGTAAGCAAGATGTGACGCCAGCTAACTACCATGTCGCCTAGACGACACATAGCCATGTGCAATACTTGAATATAAAATACTCCCTCCGTCCCATAAAACTTGGCCAAAGTTAACTTGCACGTAGAATAATAAAGTAAAAACTGTGTGGTTGATATTTGTGCAGAGAGAGAAATAACTTTAGTCACGTATTGGTTACTTCAAATGGAAATGACAAAGTTTTCTGAGAAGGCCAAAAAAGGAAACTTGACCAAGTTTTATGGGACGGAGGTAGTATTACATAAATATGATATGAAATATAGTACATGAATTACTGATTCATCATATTAACCCAAAACAATAGTCTAATATCTATTTGTAGAACATTAAAGTTCAATGTTTTAGCAAAAAGTGGTAATAACTAATAAGTGATTCATGAGATTGACAGCTAAAGAAAAAAATCATAAAGAAAAATTCATTTGCAAAGATATATAAAGAAATGAAAATGAAGAAAACAGAAGATACAAAGAAGAAAAAGAAAGAAAATGCAAACTTGGCAGGTATGATTGCTGGGTCATAATAGATTTGAAAAAACTCTATTATGGGCCTTCTATGAATGCCTTGTTTACGTCTAAGCAATGTCATTCAATGATTGGCACTATTCAGGCGACACAAGCATCCATGGTGAGTCTTTCCACCGCCTGGATGCCTAAGCGTCGCCTAGACGGCTAGACACCACAATGACAACTATGCGTGTAACCCTCTATCATCATCATCATTCATCATCATCATTACCCCAATGCCTCAAAGGCTCCCACCAATGGTGGTCTAGGGGGGTCGGATGTACGCAGTCTTACCCCTGTACCAAAGCACAGATAGGTTGTTTCCAGATGACCCAAATAAGCGCAGATAGTTTAGTGAGCCATTTTGTTTTATTCCATCATATTCCCAAGCCAAAAAATCGTGAGTCTTTGGCTCCATTGCAAATGATGGAAATTATGCGTGTAACCCTGATTATACAAAATTTGAAGCCATTCGACGTATAGAGTTTTATTTACAACATTGAAGGTGGTAGCTCTAAAACATCTTCAGCTATCATATACTCCATCTGACCCAAACTATAGTGGTTTTAGTAGGCCTGTGAGTCTGTGACCGGTTCGATTCTTGCTCAAAATTGATGGAACCGTTATAAAAATTTTAACTGATGAAATCGGTTCAGTTCTTATGTATAAAATCAAGAACCGTTATGGAACCGAACTAATACTAAACGGTTCGGTTCTTACTTTTATCGGTTCCTCGAATAATTTTTTTTCTTCAAATGAATGAGCACATTATTTGCTTTCTACCACATAAAAAAATTCAAAACACAAGTATTCAAATTTTATTTAAAGTTTTAATGACTTCAAACATCAAAGCTCAAACTTAACTAAGTGAACACTTTATAGAATAAAAGAAAATTTCAATTTTTATTTAACAAGTAGAACTTTTTATGTGGTAACAATGAAGGTTGTTCATCATCACTATACTGTACCAAGACAGGACGTCCAATCAAAGTCTTTCAAAACTTAAAAAATACGCTGAGTTTGCATGTATAGATATAATAAAAGCATTATATTATTACAATCTATTTACTAGTAGTATAATTTACAATAAATCTAATAGTTACAAATATCATGAAGATAGTAAAGTAAATTACATGCAATCAACTACAAGTTATTTGAGTTATTTAGATTAATAAAATTTATGTGATGTAACAAAACTTAATTTGTAAAAATGAGCTTAACATATTCACTACTACTATTACTATTTTTATTTTTATTTTTTAATAACGGTTCCTTAACGGTTCCGTGCACATATTTTTTATAGGAACCAGGAACCGAACCGTTTGTAACAACTAGGAATCGAACAGTTAACAACTAATATCACATTTGTAGGAACCGAACCAAACCGGGTTATAACGGTTCGGTTCCAATCGGTTCTACAGTTCCCGGTTCCAAAATCCCCCCCTAGGTTTTAGCCAATTTTGTAGGCCAAATATAATTATCATTTTACAAACGTAATGCGTATTTGGCATTAATCTTCCCGATTAGTCTTTAAAAAACTTTTACAGGGATAGAAGTTTCATTTGGTAATATTCCTCCAAATGTGTTCCCTTTTCTAAAACATCAATTTATTAGGACATGAGTACAATTTCTTCTCCATAGTTACGCAATAACCAAACTGTGACCTCCCACAGATCTTCACTTCCACTTAAGGACAAACTTGATGCTTCCCCAAATTACTAAACATTCTAAATTATTCAGACAACATTATATCCACACTCACAGAAATACCTTATAATGGCTAGATTGGCCAATAATCAGCTTGAAATGCGAAACAAAAAAAATATTTATAAAAATGAAACGATGTGCAGATTAAAACGGTGCTTTGGACATTCCCTTAAAGTAGTAGTACTTGACTATAAATATTTCTTTAAAGTCAAAACATGAAAATAGATTTTCTAAGATGATACCTGCTAGAGTAAGGTGAACGGCTATGGTCCCGGCGGCTTCTATGGTTGCCATAGCGGGGATTTACAGGTGACCGGGAGCGAGAGGATCTCCTCCTAGGGTAAGACGGCGACGGAGAAATACTCCTTCCCATAGTCGGGTGTCTGCAAATAGTGCTCGGACGCGCGAACGAAGGCGTGTGCACTTCAACCTCCGCCTGGAGGTATTTTACATTAGGCCTGGTCCTAAAAAGGGAAAACAGAAAATCAAATCAAAATAAACTAAATCTCAATCTGGGGGGAGGTGGTTCCGTCCGTTCCAATATTTGACTTTACATGTACGGTAGTGTATATCAAACTTTTTCTAAGTTTTTAAAAATTCAATTTATCAATTTTCATACCATTTATCAATTCTCAAATTGATATGCAAAGTCAATATTTTTTTATCAACCAATGTTAAATTTAAATCATCTTTATTTATAATTAATTCAATTCTTAACAATTAAAATTTACATATTCAAAAACTACATTAAAATCTCTTCAAAATTACAAAGTTGAAATTAAATATAATTAAAAATTGACATCCCCATTAAGTGAATAAAATGAAACTATTTGACCAAGAAAAGTTAATTTTACAAATCAATTGGGAATTGAGGTAGTATTACATAATTAATAAATTTCAGATAAACTATAGTAGTACTAAATTAAATAATAAACCTTACATCGATCCGGTTCCAGGCTTTCTGTGAACTAGCAAAGGCTCTGAAAGTGTGAAAACACTAGTCAAAGTAATGACATAAATGTAAACTTGATTAATTATAAATACTTTGGTCCGGTTCGGTCCGGTAGCGATTCTCATTTTATGAGAACCGGTCATGACATTGTTTAGAAGCGGTACGGTCCGGTTCGGGACAAAAAATTGAGATCCGTTTCATACCCCATTTTTCAGTTCGATACCATACCGGTTCAGTTCGGCACCATGCCGGTTCGGTATTTTTGCCCACCCCTATCGCAATCAAATAAAATTGAACCGCTTAAAAATCGAAACTCACTGTTAAAAATCGAACGTAGTTCTTTGTTTCGGTTTTGGTTTTTATCCTTTAAACCGAAATGAATCGAATAAACCAAACTAACTAAAATATGGTATTTTATTTGTTAATTATTAAGCATTCATCCTAATTAATGCTAATACCATCGATAGTTTTTGGTTTTCTTGTGCTAGCAAATTATTTTTTGTTTATATTTAGTTTATAAATGCATTTACACATTTATTACCTATAATAATAATATAATTATATTGATCTATTATGTCTTTTATGTATATTTATGTTGCAATTTATTGCATGATAGAACAAATAAATATTCATCTCAATTGTATCACATATAACTTAACGTACTCCGTATATATTAATGAATCTTTTCATTCTAGTCATAAACAATGCAAATTAAACATACATACACTTTTATCGCTCCCGCATACTCGTATAATTATTTAAGACATATTTAATATCTTCTCTTGATGGAGTATATATGGGTCTAGGCCCCAGGACCCACATACTCAGGAGAACAGGAGGCACAACTGTCACCCAGTGGGACCCTCATCGGCCAGGTGACCCTCATCGGTCAGAACGAAGTCAACCCAGAACATGATCCGGAAGCCAGAAGAACCGGGTGACCTCGTCGGCCGGGTCTTCGTCGGCCATGCACTCATCGGCCAGACCCTCGTCGGCCACAAAGAACTCCCAGAACCGGATTTTACACTTACTCATTTGTATACTCCATCATTTACTTTGTATTCGTCCCAATAGCGGTCCAGTTGTAAATGGGCCTCCCAAGCCCAAGGCTTGGGAGCCCAGCCCGTATTTTTCCTATAAATACTTCCTCTGGAGGTAGTTGTAGGGGTTGGAAAATCATTTATTGAAGCATTTACTTGCACTTCTATCTCTAGCTCTCACTTCTCTCTAGAATATAATCTATCATTTGGTGCTTTCATTGAGAGCTAGAACAATCAAGTTAGCATCCTTCGTCGCTACCAAGCACAGCTAACCACTGATCATGGGAAGAACTAAGTCAAACCACAACCTCGTCAGCAAATCCATCCCTGAGGACCAGGAGAACAGGGAACGTGAGGAGGACGCCACGGCCGACCAGGTCGGAGGACGAGATGTCTTCCAGGAGGCCATCAACCTCACGGAGGATCTGCGCAACCAACTCAACGGCGGCGCCCCTGATGCCCGCATCGGCCTGGATAAGAAGCGCGCAGAGAAGACAGACAATGCCACGGCCCAACCGTTGACCACGGCTTCTCCGTCTGTTGACCCACAGGTTCAGGCCGCACTATTGGTCATTATCGTCAGCCTGGCTCAGAACCTCATCGTCCTCAGCGCACTAATGCCAAGGACTGGGGAGAACATCATTCCACCTCCTCGGCCCCAACCGTTGGCCATCAGGCTAGGCAACGATGAGGGGGTGATAGCCCAGGACACGACGTCGTCCCACTCCCACCCTGCTTCCCCTCTTCGGCCCGGATCGACCCCAGCGTGTGGAAAAGCCTCTGCCTTCAATAGGCTGGGTGACATGTGCCGTCGTCCGGTGTCGAAGAGGATGGCGGGACGGATTAGTGAACGCCGGCCTGGCTCGCCAAGGGAAAGTCTGGGGTCTGTGTCCCGGACAGCGGACCAGCCCCGCCTGAACAAAGGCAAGGGAAAGCTGCACGAGGACGACGTGCGCCACCAGATCAACATGGCACACGAGGTCCGCATGCGAAACCAACAGGGCGCCACTACGACCACCAAGGACCCTCGGGACGAGGTTATCGCCCAGCTGGAAAGGAGACTGGCTCAGATGGAGGCCAGACAATCGGCGAACATTCCCACGACCGGCGCCTCCAATGACCCCGGCCTCAATGCACTCATGAACAAGGTCAGCGCCCTTGAGAGGGAATTGGCTGAAGGACGAGGTGACCCTGTCATCCAAGTCAGGACCAGGACTCCCTTCACTAACAGGGTGCTCTCGGCTCCCATCCCGGAGAAGTACATGGGAAACGCCATCAAGTCCTACGACGGCCGCTCCGATCCCCAGGAACACTTCAGCCGCTACCAGAACAACATGCTGATGGTGAACGCGTCGGATGAATACCTCTGTCGTTGGTTCCTCTCCACTCTCGAGGGGCCAGCGTATGAGTGGTTCAACGCACTTCCCGAAGGAAGTATAGACTCATGGCAGGACCTTGCCCATCGCTTCCTCACCCACTTTGCCGGGAGGAAGCGTGCGAAGAAGTACTTCACCCATCTCCTCTCGATCAAGCAGCAACACGACGAGTCACTCTGGTCTTTCATAGATCAGTGGACGAAGGAGACCGAGGAAGTTGAGGGGGCCGATGAGCGCACCCTCCTCGTCCTCTATCAGGGAGCTCTCCGCAGCACCCCCTACGCAAGGAGCCTCATCACCGACCCCCCGAGGTCATACGCAAAGGCGCTTCAGTGCGGGAGTTTGTACGCTGACGCCGACGAGCTCCATAGCAACAAGAAGGACGGAGGCCACCCCTCCAAGAAGAAAAATCCTTCACCGGCCCTGTGAACATCCCCGGCCGACAAGGGTGCCCAGGGCCGTCACGGCTCTGGTGGACAAAGCAAGAAAGACCGCCATTGGCAGCCGAGGCTGGAACGACCGGGGATCCCCCTCACGCACTCGGTCAACACCATCCTCGACTACGCCGAGAAGCACAACCTCATTGAACAAGCTCCTCGAACGACGGAGGAAGTCCATGCCATTCAACAAGGCGGCACCTACTGCCGTTTCCACAAGAACACCTCCCACAACACCGACGACTGCATCATGCTGAAGATAGCCATCGAGCGCCTGATTCGGCAGGGGGAACTCTCCCAATTTGTCAAAGGTGGCCCGCGCAAAAATACGTGGGTAAACACTAACAAATCTGGGGGCGAACCCTCTTAGAAGAAACGGGAGATCGGTAGGCTCAGCGATGATGAGGAAGACTTTGAGGAGCCTCCACCAAAGAAGAGTCATATTCACCTCATCGCAGGTGGAAACACTGGGGGGACTCCATCACCCAGAGGAAGAAATGGGCACAATCCCTCTGCATTGGAGAGGTATCCCACGTTCCCCCAACCGAAGAAGCAGCGGACGGAGGCGATCACCTTCACCGACAAGGATCTACCTCCGGGTACTGAATCACATAGGGACGCCCTCGTCATCCGGTGTGAGATTGGTAACTCGATCATCCACCGCACTTACATCGATACGGGGAGCTCCGTCAATGTGATGTACCTGGACACTTTCAAGCAGCTGAAACTGAGCAAGGCTTTGCTCAAGCCGATCAAGACACCGTTGTCCGGCTTCACCGGGGACTCTATCGATGCCGAGGGCACGATAGTCCTTCCCGTGGAGGTCGGCGACGGCTCCCACCGCGCGAAGATTGACATGGAGTTTATGGTGGTCAACCTTCAGTGCGCCCACAATCTGATCTGGGGCGGCCAACACTGGAGGACCTGGAGGCCATCATCTCCATGAAACACTTATGCTTGAAGTTCCCGACCAGCGACGGCATCGGCTACGCCAGAGAGAACCAAAGGATAGCCAGAGCATGTTACCTCAAGCTAACGAAGCCGGCCGAAAGAGAAGGACAAAGGATAGACACCATCACTGCGACCGTCGCCAAGGACGAGGAGAGGCCACACGCCGAACCGGCCGAAGAGGTCGAGGAGGTCCCCTGGATGCCTCCCGGCCGGAGCGGGTCCTGAGAATCGGGAAGCAACTCCCACAGGACCAACGTGATGGCATCCTCCTAGTTCTAAGGTCGTATGCCATCATCTTCGCATGGGGCCCAGACGACATGTCGAGCATCAGCCGGAAGGTGATCACTCACCGGCTATCAGTCGATCTGGCTTCCACGCCTATCAAGCAGAAGCAGCGCTACTTATCAGCCGACAGACGAGACTTCATCAAGGGAGAGGTCACCATGCTTCTCTCAATCAACCACATCAAGGAGGTGAAGTACCCGACATGGCTAGCCAACGTCGTCCTTCCCCATAAGCCGCCAATGTTCAGAATGTGCGTTGATTACACTAACCTGAACAAGGCGTGCCCTATGGACCCGTTCCCTCTCCCTAATATAGATCAATTGGTGGACGAGACGGTGGGATGCGAGTTGATGTCATTCCTCGACGCTTTCAGAGGGTACCACCAGATTTTCATGCATGAAGATGATGCCGAGAAGACGACCTTTATGACCCCAGAGGGAATTTTTTGCTACCTCGTCATGGCCTTTGGGCTCAAAAACTCAGGCG